ATAAATAATAGACTAACAGGAATAGATAGGATAGGAACAGATTTATTAAATATTTATTTTACTAGTAATGTAAGAAACATGAAGCGGAGTCATTCCTCGACTATTAGCTGAGTTCGGATCGCACCCATGTCTCAGTAGCGATTCGGCTAAATTTCGGTAGCCATGAGACAGAGCCAATTCCAATGGCGTCCTGTCTCTTTCGTCGCGAACGTCGAGCTGCAGTTTTTTGTTCATTTCAAAGCATGCATCCATCAGATCTTCATCGTCTGGTCCTACAAGACAAATCACATGAAGTTAGCGATATTCGGGTTCGCTCCAAGTTTCAGCAGCGTCTTGACAGCCTCGTAATTTTTACAGTATGCGGCAATATGCAGTGGTGTATTGCCAAAATAGTCTTGAGCATCTACGTTTACTTGTCGGTCACTGAGTGCACACATATGGCAGAATTCATTTACCATGTCGCGATCAGTCCACGATTTCTGGCAGATAACATGAAGAGGGGTAAATCCATTGACTATGTTGATCGCGTTCGGATCAGCATCAGCCCTCAATAGACATGACAGCACGTGAAACCGATTTTTAAAGTCTCCGCGTTGATTCAAAGCCAAATGTAGAGGAGTATCACCAGTTGCCGGCAGCACACAATCATTCGGATTCACACCGGCTTGGTCGAGGTATCGTTCGATTGAGTCGTCGTATAGACGGCCGAACGCGCACGCCACATGAAAGTGGGTCAATCCACTCTGAGGATGAGTAAAGTGTGAGTGAGATTTATGTGTGGGCCACTGAGAATGTGAAGGGAAAAATTTCAATGTTTTAAGGGCTAAAAGGGGGCTTAATTATTTTTCAATTTTCAGTTACAGTACTAGGCTGTAAAAGTGAAAAAAAATTTTTTTTTCAAGAAAACACCTGATAACTCTTTTCAATACCCTATTTGAAAGTATTTTGTGCAGTTAGATATTTAGAAACAGTTAAGTACATCAATATAGAAATTGTGTTGACACACAACACAAGCTTTAAACACATCTAAGCTACCTATCGTAGAAATCCAAGAGCGAGCATTAATCTAATAAAGACTATGTGGTTTTATTTTGTTCAATAGCCAATTGGACATGGTCGCAACCAAAAGCTAGTGTTTTATGCAATACGAGTCAAAAACATAAACCTCGTTCAAATAATTTACTTGATCTGCTTGTGTTGTTGGAAGGGTGAAAAAATCAAAAGAAAGTGATTAAAATATTGCTCTAGGCAGTATCGATAGTCGACATTCAGTCTATCATGATGTAAAAGTGAAAGATGGCCGCATTTCATAGTGTATCTTCCTCGATATTGGCCAACCGATAATGCCACTTGGTAGAGGGCTTTAATTTGATGTTGTATTGATACTCTATTAATTTCAGGCAAATCCAAGAGGACAAACACATCTATTTTGGGCCTAAAATGCATTTTTTTGATTTTTAATGGTGTAAGAGTATCTGAATCACTTTTTACATATCACCAATGAATTCCTTATCAAAAAATACATAAAAATACTATGTTTGATTTATTTTTCAGAGCTACATTGGGCCTATGGAGAAAAAAGTTAGTTTTCAGATTCTAACTTTGAGCAGCTGTAGATTTTGAAGGAAGGAACCATGGCACTTTTTAAACACATGAAAAGTTTTGTTTTTTCATGTACTTTTAAGAAATGCATTTAGTTGATAGGTCATTTTTGGACCTATCAACTCATTTCTGATATGACCCATGTATACACACTGAGAAAATCGAACAACGTCGACAATCGAAACTACGATTTCGACTCATGTGATTTTTACGGTACATAAAAATCTTTGCACGGCCTTGTGAACTATGGTAGTAACGAGTAGTCGCACGCGCGAGGTAAAAAAACGTCAGAAGCCTTTTTAGGTATGTATGAATAACGAGCCGCGCTTCTTTTTCTGTTCGCTACGCGATTTCATTGCTAATGAGCCCGCGGCGACGCGGGCATATAATATTTTCTAACATCCAGCAAGTACGCTAAAAAGAGAGAGAAAGAGAGAGAGAGAGAGAAAAAAGATAGAGCTTTGGCACACTTTTCTCGGGCGCACATCTGTAACTCATTGATAAAAGATTTCAATGCAAATTTAACGCGTGAGAAAATTTAATGTGTATATTTTTCTCTCGTCGAAGTTGCTGCTGCTGCTGCGCACAGCGAAGCGAGAAAATAAAATTTTTTTTTTCCTCACACTTCACGCGAAAACGATGAAGTTTGTCTCGAAAATTTGAAAACGCGCGGAAAAAAGGGGGTAGGTAAAAAAGGTAAATAAATGCACATTACGGGGCTCTGGTTCTTTCTCTCTCCTCTTTTTTTGCTTTAAACTCGAGCATTCAGCGCGTTTTTGAACGAAATGTGAAAAATAAAAAATAAAAAAAGGGTCACGCGCGATGAGCAACGAAAAATTTCTCTCCTCCTCCTCCTCGCGCCGTCGTCTACGTCGTAAGCTATTTATAAGAATGAAGATTTCTCCCGACAGAAAAGGGAAGAAAAACATGTTACAAAAGAGAGAGAGAGAAATATAGAGATGAGAAAAGAAGCGAGCTCGGCATATATAGAATATGCTGAAAAAATATTATGCACTCGCCAATATAAGGCCGGAGCACAATGGCTCGAAGCGCAGCGAGCAGAAGCAGTACAGCGTCAAACTCATAATAAAAAATCGATGAAATTTGCGCGTGCTCTAAGTCTCTCTCTCTTGAGAAAGGGTAAACAACATTTTTATATTAAACAAAAATATTTCCATACGAACCCGTGCGTTTCGACGGTGGGCAGCGTACTCGTCGTCTTTACAAAAGAAACCGATTACTTACTTCTTTTTTTCTTTTTTATCTTTTCATTTTGATAAAATTCTCAGATACGCTATGATTATATATTACAACGATATTTTCTTCTTTTTTTTTTATCTCCGCCTCGGACATTGATAAAACGGAACGATAGGGTACGCTCATCAAGATACTTCCGACCGACATAAAAAAAAAAAAGAACGACGAACGAAAGTGCATATATACTGCCAGTATACACAGCCTCGCAGACTCGAAACAAGATGAAAAAAAAAGAAGCAGAAGAAGAGAAGAAGCTCGCGAGCGCGCGAGGGCGGAAAAGAAGCGAAGAGTGCGGAGATTTTTCCGGAAGTTTACGTGTCCAAGTTTGCGGGTTTCTCTCTCTCTCTCTCTCTCTTTCTCCTTCGGCTCTTCCTATCTTCCCTTTCGCGCGTTAGATTCCGAGGCATCGCTCAAAACTTGTAACTAGCGGTATATATACCAATGTGTCTGTGTGTGTGGCAAAGTACACCTCACCGCGCAGCCTTTCAGGTGCTTTACCTCTTTTTCTTCTTGTTTTTTTTTCAGTCGGAATGCAATTGCTTTGAGAGCTTTCGTTCCTAGAAACTGGACTGTACACTTGTTAACTTGTTGTCGGGGTAATTTTCTTCGAGCTTCATTAACGTTCTATCCCCTTCTTTATTTATTTCTCTCCCTTTTTTTTGTTGGCATTTTTTCTCGTTGTCTCTATTCCAAAAATGTTTCGACGCGATCCTCGCGCGCGCGGCGTCGCGTGAGTGTATTGCATTGAAAAAACTCGACAACGGCCCGCGTACAGCGGCAGATATCTATCAAAAGGATAAAATGTCAAAACACGTATATAGCTCAAAAAAATGAATGGTGTATAGGCAGCAGATACTCCGCGCGTGTTCGCCCTGAAAGCTTCGAATCTGGTTTACCAACTCGTCTGTCTATTTTTTTTTTTTTTTACGCCCCACCTCGCTTTTTGAAAGATATAGAAAGTTGAACGCGCGCGAGTGGATGCAAATCCCATCGTTGGTTAGGGCGAAAACTTTCAATTCTGCAGTGAGGTGAAAAGTTTCGTTTTTTTGGGGGGGGGAGAGGTTTTGTTTTTTGTTTGTTGTACTTTGCCTTCTTGAAGGATTCTTCTATCCCAGCTCCACCGGCTGGACTCTATTCATTGCCTTGTACTTGGTAACGAGAGGGAGAGAAAGAAAAAAAGAGGATAAAAAAAGTATATAATTAAGCTAATAATTAGCGCATTATAAGGAGACAGACGAGACGCGGAGTAAAAAAAAGAAAAAGTAGGGAAGCTCCCGTAACTAAATAAGATGCAAATAGCTCGTAAAGTTACATACACACACACACGCATACATTCGCATGCCAAATTTGCGAGCTTTACGCGTATTATACCAACGCTTTACATTATACTTATGCAAAGGAGAGAGAGATAGAGGGGCACGTAATGCGAATGTAAAAGAACCCTTTGTTATACGTGCACGTAAAAGAGGGGTACGAAGGGTTGCACGGAACAGGGTGAGAGGGCTTGGATGGACGCGAAAGACGAGATGCCTCTAATGAAGTTAATGAAAACGTCAGACGTAATACGTGGGCGGCGGCGGTGGTGGTAGTGGTCGCGGCCTAGTCTGCTGCGCTGCACACCACTCGACTCTTCGCGACTGTATAATACATACTTATTACATTGTACTATACGTAGAAGTATGCATAAGTAGACCGCGTGCAAAGCTCGCTCATGGCTATCTCGTATGCGCACGTGTGTGTGTGTGTGTGTGTGCGTTGAGCTTTTGTAACTCGTTCGAGAGAAAGAGGAGCAAAATTAAAAAAATTACTTCAAGCCGAGGCTTCGTATTCGTGGATATATTATAGTAGATGTACATCGCGAGGCTTATCTCATTTTCAAACGGCTCGGAGAAAGCGAGAGAGAGGAGATAGCTTTTAAATTTTTGGCCTACGCCGGTTGTACAATCACTTTTTACAAATTTTTAATTTCATTGTTAAGAAATATTATTGCTAGAAAAATAATTGTTGTCTTGAGGTAGATCAATAACGGAATTTGCTCGATGTTATGAAAATTAAGTTGCTTCGTTTCGATTTGTTTCCATTTCCACGTCATGATATGTAAATATTATTGAACTTCGTTTGAGATAGTTAGACTCACAGCGTTAGTATTGAAAGAGTCAGTCGCAAATGAGATTTCCCACGAGTAATATGGAATCTGGTGATTTATTCAATCCTGATATTAGGTAATTTGTATTTTATAAGGATTACACTACGAAAATCTTATAACAAAATACTTAAAATCTATTTCAGAGTGAAAGAAGAGCCTCGGCATGAACTTCACGATCATTATAATTATGAAATAATTGACACGACACTTACCGTTACTCAAAATGTTAAATACGAAAAGTTTCAGCATGAAAATTCAGTGAGTGTTGATAATTATCTTCCACTATCATTAATAAAACTTTTCTCATAATTTTAATTTTTTCAGGACCACATGCTGCAAGAATATGACGAAAGTCATAAAAATGGACATAACGACATCCAAATCGAATTGGAATGTATGGACATGAAGCCTAATTTAGCAGTTAAAATTGAAGATTTCTCTCTAAATCACTGGCAGGATAGTGACGAGTATAAAACTGGGAGCAAAATTAAATTAGAACCCGTCGGGACAGTGAAAAAAGAAATTTTTAGTGAAGAAGCCACTGTGATTAATGTTGAATGTGTTTCAAAAAATAATGGAAGCACTCCTGCAAGTCATCTAAAAAGACACGTCGATGCAGTCTGCAAAGATGTCACGCACGCATGTGAAATATGCGGCAATGTATTCAAACGAAGAGTTGATCTCAATAGGCACATCGATTCGGTGCATAATGGTGTTAGACATGCTTGTGATATTTGTGGAAAGACATTTACTCGAAAAGATCATCTCAAAATCCACGTCGAGTCGATACATCATAAAATCAAGCATCCTTGTAATAAATGCCAAAAGACATTCTCAAAAAAACGTGATCTCAATAGGCACATAGAGTCGGTGCATAATGGAATTTCACATACGTGCAATATATGCCCAAAGACATTCTCAGACAAGAGTAATCTCAGAAAACACATCGATTCGGTGCACAAGCGAGTCAGACATGCATGTGACATTTGTGGAAAGACATTCTCACAAAAAGTTCATCTCAAAATCCACACCGACGCAGTGCACAATAGAATCACCCAAGCATGTGATTTTTGTGAAAAAAAATTTAGATATCAAACTCAACTCAATACGCATGTCAAATCGTCGCATAATGACAACACTTATAAATGCAAGATATGCGGAAAAACGTTCGGACAGAAACGAAATCTGAAAGCTCATATCGATGTGGCTCATTGAGTCACGCAATCATACCTAACAAATGTATATGATTCATGTTCAATTACGTTAACAATTTTGATGTACGATCCAGTGTAATTGATCGAAAGACTGAAATTAAAAATTTGTATTTATGATATGATGAATTTTTCTAGTGTTATGTAAAAAAAGTAACTGTCATTAAAAGAATGCACTATTTATCGAATCAGAAATGTATCATCAATTTTACCCGATAAATCAATTTTGCCAGTGTTAAATAATTTTGCTTGATTCATAATTATGAGCTGATATATTTCTCTCGAATAATCTGTCTCGCTTATCTCATGATTTACCCTTAATGAAACTGCTTCGAATCAAAATTTTTCTAGCAAAAACATTTTAACGCGTGTTTATTTCAATTTTCACTGTAAACGTCACTTTTGATCGAGCCAAAAATTGTTCGGCTGATTGAAGCCGCTTTAAAATCCTTCACATTCGGGTATTATCGTATAATATAAATAAAAAAGTATTGCTTTGGCAGATAAAAATGTCCTTAATTACATCGTTTGATAGCTAATAAGGATTTATGAATTTGAGGATATCAAACTTTATTTTAAGCACGTGGCAAATAGATCGCGCGTGGAAGTAAGAAATGCGTCGTATTATATCATTCACACACAAACACACAGAAAAAGTTATTAAGTTATCCCGCTGCGGTATACATGACTTCCAAAATGTGTACGAGTATGCGTACGTGTGTTTGTGTGTAGAGAAAGTGTACGTGGCCCTTTGCCATCAATCAGAATCAGCAGCAGTGTGAATATATCGCACAGTGCAATAGTAGCTACAACTGCCTGTAGTGTCTCCGTCTGTGTGTGTGTGTGTGCAGCATTTGTGTGTGTACAGTATCAGCAATGACTGCTGCACTCCAATCGCGAGTAAGTTCACTGTTACTGCAGCAGCAGCAGTTGACTTCGGTTTATTCAACTTTGAGAGTGAGAGAACGAATATGTTTGTGTGTATAGTTCATTTACTCTCGGATGTTTACATATGGATGGATAGATGATACTATTATGGATGATACGTAAGCTATAATGTACTTTCGAGTGCTGCGCTTGTGCGATATATTACACTTGGTTCCGTGACATATATATTACACGCATGGGCCAAACTATAGTCACAACGTAATATGTCTAGTATAAAAATTGAAATGAATGAAATAGTCTTAAAGAATACATTGAGAAATGAAAATTTGAGCTCACTAGTTCTATCGCTCGTGGATCTGCAGAGGATCCACTTTGGATATTTATCTTTAAAATTTTATTAAAAAATCACGGAATAAATCACATCGCGTCGTGAAATACAGCCACTGATTGAAAATGTGGAAAAAATTCCGCTGTAGCAATTTTCAACATTAATAACATTGAACTAATGCCCAAAATATGATGGTTTTAAATATTTTAAATACGTGACAATCAATTACCGTGTTTTTATCGATTTTTCTGTTACAATCTAAATATTTCAGAAAATTTGACCAGTTTTGATGTTATAATACAACTTTCAGTCTCCACCGCCAGATGGCGAGTACCCGTTATCCGTAAATCTGCAAGTGACAAAGTCAAAATAATTGTATAAGTCAGATTACGATATTTAAAAGTTCCCAATTTTGCTTTCGTATCGACGTTGTTCTGTGTTTTAATTTTATCCTATATTTGTTTGCAATAATTATAAAAAAATTTTCACATCTTGCAGCTGCTCTTATAAGAATTATTGCGCCATTCTCGTGTGCTATCAAAATAACCACATTTAAGTAATTATTATTCATTAACTACTTAGGGTCGAACATTTCGCTGATTTTCGAAAAATCAATTTTTTTATTGTTGCATTTTCGAATTGCTTAATTATAACATTCTTAATTTTGGTAGGGAAATTCTAAATCAGTGAAAATCAGGACTGAATATGAGCTTATACAAGGCGCGGCGCTCAGAGGTATTTGTAAACTTTGAACGAATTTTACGATAAACAACGTTTTTCGATACCTTGTTCAAGGATGTAAAAAAAAAAATGAATCAATCCTCTCCAAATTTCGACCATCCGCTCTTGACTATAGCACATACATGAAGTTTTTTCGGAATTTTGTTTTTAAAATTTATTATTGACAAAATCGTTCAAAAAAGTCCGTTTTTTCGTAATTTTCCGAAATATGTCTATAATTTTGTCAATTTTGCAATAGTCAAAAATCCTTCTGTAAGTGCTAAAGAGTCAGTAAAAGAACATGGTAAAAATTTTTAGAGAATCGGTTCAGTAGATTTTAAAAGTTTTTCAACGGACAACAGTAATTTGTCTTATATAATGATTCTTCGTTTCTATTAGTTTCAATTTCTACAGCACGATTAGTAAATATTATTGAATTCAGTTTGAGTTAGCTCGACTCGTAACATTAGTAATGATAGAGTAAGTCGCAATTAATATTTCCAGCGAGCAAGATGGATCTGGTGAACATGATCATGAAATTTTATTAAATGTATTTCAGAGTGAAAAATGAGGCACTCGATGATTATGATTACAAAATAATTAACAGGATACCCGTTACTCAGAATATTAAATACGAAAGGATTTGGCAAGGAAATTCAGTAAGTATTAATAACTATATGCGACTATCCCAGTACCCACTTTTCACAAAACTTTCCTCATAATTTAATTTTTTTTTAGGACCAAATGATTCAAGAATATGTCGAAAATCATGAAAATGAACTTGACGACCTGGAAATCGAAATAGAATGTACAGACATGAAGCCCAATTTTTTGGCGGTGGCAAAAATTGAAGATTGTTCTAAAAATCAGAAGGATAGCGATGAGTATAAAACAGGAAACAAAGTCAAATTAGAAAACGTCGGGACAGTAAAGAAAGAAATGTTAAATGAAGAAGTATTTGACTCTGCACATAATGGAATCACACCTGCATGTTATAATTCCGGAAAATCATCCAGGCAAAAGACTCATCTGAAAGTCCACATTGATACAGTCCACAAGGATGTCACATACGCATGTGAAATATGCGGAAATGTATTCAAACGAAGAGGTTATCTCAAGAAGTACATCGATACGGTGCATAATGGTGTTTCCTATGCGTGTGATGTTTGTGGAAAGACATTCAATCGAAAAGATCCTCTCAAACAGCACATCGATTCGGTACATCATAAAATTATGCATCCTTGTAATATATGCCAAAAGACATATTCAGACAAGTATTATCTTACAATCCACATCGATGCCGTGCATAATCAAGTCAAACACGCATGTGATTCATGTGGAAAGACTTTTCCAAGGAAAAATGATCTCCAAAGACACATCGCTTCGGTACATCGTAAAATCATGCATCCATGCTATATATGCCAAAAGACATTCTCAGCCAAGAGTAATATCAAAAAGCACATCGATTCGAAGCATAATGGTGTTAGACATGCATGCGATATTTGCGAAAAGAAATTCACAACGAACTATAATCTTAAAATCCACATCGACTCGGTGCATCGTAAAATCACGCATCCATGCGATGTATGCCCAAAGACATTCTCAGACAAGAGTAGTCTTAGGAAGCACATCATTTCGGTGCATAATAGTGTCCGACATTCGTGCAATACATGCCAAAAGACATTTTCAGACAAGAGTAGTCTTAGGAAGCACATCATTTCGGTGCATAATAGTGTCCGACATTCGTGCAATACATGCCAAAAGACATTTTCAGACAAGAGTTATCTCAAACGTCACATGGATTCGATGCATCATAAAATTACGCATCCATGCGATACATGTGGAGCAACATTCATACGAAAAATTCATCTCCAAAACCATATTGACGTAGTACACAATGTCAACAAATTGTCTCATAATGGCACCACTTATTCATGCGCGACATGCGCAAAGACATTCGGACAGAAAAAAAATCTTAAAGCTCATATCGACACGGCGCATATTAAGTCACGTAATCAGACCTGATAAATATTCATTATTTATTTTCTAAAGTGTTAAAAATTCTGATGTACGATACAGTGCAATTGTTCAGAAGATTGAAATAAAAAAATTTTTGATACCTTGTTGAAGAGTTTTTGAAAAAAAAAACCGAATCGTGTCTCTCAAAATTTTCACCATACACCCACAATAACTAAATCGCATACGAGACGTTTTTTGAAATTTTGATTTGGAAATATTTATTAACAAAAATGTTGAAAAAAAAACGTTTTTTCGTTATTTTTCGAAGTATGTATCCCACTTTGTCAATTTGACAAATCTTAAACAAACTATTTCTGAATCTTAAACAAACCTCAAAACACGACAGAAAAAATTGACGCGCGTGAAGCGCGTTTGAAACGTACTATTTGTGAATCTCAAACTAACCACAAAACACAAATAAAAAAATTGACGCGCGCGGAGCGCGTCTTAAATGTCTAGTAAGCGTAAAAAATGAAGAGAAAACGCGGCGCCATTGACAAAAGTGCAAGAGCGCGCCGCAGCATAAATAAGGGAGAGGGGAGGGCTTTTAAATTTTTGGCCTACGCCAGTTGTACAATCACTTTTTGCACATTTTTAATTCCATTGTTAAGAAATATTATTGCTAAAAAAATAATTGTTATCTTGAGGTGAATCAATAACGTAATTTGCTCGATGTTATGAAAATTAAGTTGCTTCGTTTCGATTTGTTTCCATTTCCACGTCATGATATGTAAATATTATTGAACTTCGTTTGAGATAGTTAGACTCACAGCGTTAGTATTGAAACGAGTAAGTCGCAAATGATATTTCCAGCGAGTAAGATGGAATCTGGTGATTTATTCGATCCTGCTATAACGTAATTTTTATTTTATTAGGATTAAACTACGGATATATTTAAAAAAAATACTTAATTTCATTAAATCTATTTCAGAGTGAAAGAAGAGGCTCAGGATGACCCTCTCAATGATAATGATGGTTATAAAATAATTGACACGACTCTTGCAGTTCCTCAAAATGTTAAATACGAGAAGTCTTGGCATGAAAATTCAGTAAGTGTTGATAATTATGTTCGACAATCTTTAATGAAACTCCTAATAATTTTATTTTTCTTCAGACCCAAGAGCTTCTTCAGGAATATGACGAAAATCACGAAAATGAACTCGACGACATTCAAATCGAATTGGAATGTACAGACATGAAGCCCAATTTTTTGGCTGTTTCGAAAATTGAAGATTTCTCTCCAAATCAGTTTCAGGATAGCAATGATTACAAAACTGGAAGCAAAATTAAATTAGAAACTGTCGGGACAGTGAAAAAAGAAATTTTTAGTGAAGAAGCCTCTTTGATTATTGTTGAACGTGTTTCAAAAATTATGAACTATAAACATAGTCTCGAAACTGAAATTGACATTGCGCATAATGGAATCACTCCTGCAAGTCATCTAAAAAGACACGTCGATGCAGTCCGCAAAGCTGTCACGCACGCATGTGAAATATGCGGCAATGTATTCAAACAAAGAGATTCTCTAAAAATTCACATCGACTCGGTGCATCGTAAAATTAGGTATGGATGTGATGTATGCGGAAAATCATTCAGATATAAGGGTCATCTCCAAAGACACATCGATTCGTTACATCGTAAAATCACGCATCCATGCGATATATGCCAAAACACATTCACACAGAAGAGTCATCTCAAAATCCACATCGATTCGGTGCATTATGGTGTCAGTCACGCATGTAATATTTGCGGAAATATTTTTAAACGAAGAGGCGATCTCAAAACTCACGTCGATGTGGTGCATCATAAAAAAAGGCATGCATGCGATACATGCCAAAAGACATTCACACAGAAGATTAGTCTCAAATATCACATACAATCGGTGCATAATGGTATTTCACATGCGTGTGATAAATGCCAAAAGACATTCGCAAAGAAAAAGAGTCTCAAAATTCACATCGATTCGATACATAATGGTGTCAGTCACGAATGTAATATTTGTGGAAATGTTTTTAAACGTAAAGACGATCTCAAAAAGCACATCGATTCGATGCATCATAAAATAAGACATGCATGTAATAAATGCCAAAAGACATTCGCACAGAAAAATAGTCTCAAAATTCACATCGATTCGATGCATAATGGTGTCAGTCACGAATGTGATTTTTGTGAAAAAAAATTTAAATGTAAAACTTATCTCAATAAGCATGTGAAATCGTCGCATAATGTTATAACCCATTCATGCGGGACATGCGGAAAGACATTTGGCCAGAAAAGGAGTCTTATAGCCCACATCGATATGGCTCATAATTCGCGCATCAGAACCTAACTTATAATTAAAATTTATGTTAATTTGTGTTAAAAATCCAAATATAAAATCAAGTGTATCTCTTCAAATAACTGAATTTATATAATTTTTATTTATCATAAGGTGAATTCTTTGTGTTATGTTATTATATGTTGTTATATGCTATGATAATATAGTTACATGTCAAAACTGACGGCACATAAGCCCGGCGGCCGCCACTATGTATCAAGCTGAATCGCAGCGTGTGTGCAAATGAAGTGATAATTATGTAATATGTATGCACCCGACCAATTTCTTTTCTCGCCGACTCCGTCGTTTTTGCTGCACGGAAGTTCCTACCTATTTTGTTCGCCGTACAAACAGCTCCTTAATTATTTTTTCCTTTTTACATATGTTCTACCTTACTACAAACGAATTTAATCTCTGTAATAAAATTGTTTGTTTTATCTGTATAAAAAGTGCGCTGTTTACTTATGCAGTTTTATAATAAGTGTATGAGTGTGAATTTTATTCCTCGACCTTTCACTGCAATATGGAAAGATATAAATAACGTCGACGCAATACTTCCAATGGACAGAGTTCCCAAAATCGAGAGTCAATTATTGAGCATGTCGTGGACCTGTGTTGAATCCGTTGACTTTATAATATCGCTCGTTTCTTTATTTTTGAGAAGTCGCGGCCATTACAAGTTTTATAGATATGTTCTTTCGTACTCGATGTTACTTGCTATCTCTCCACCTTGGTGAGAATTATTTTTTCACTTAAATTTCTGAAACATCGTTGCTTTCAAACTCGACTCTCTCGCTGTGATACGATGTAGCGGTGCAAAGCCGGTGGTCTAACCATAGGCATATGATCTCCTTCGAGTTTTTTCATTGCCGCGTTGGATCGCCCCCGTGGTACTTTGGAAAATAACTTTCAAGCTCCGTTATTGTCATGATCCAACGTATACGAATTGCAATCGTCACAGCCTCTCCCTGTGGCTCCTCGGAGGAGAGTCTAAACCATGTTTTCTGGAATTGCCGCAGATCTGAACGGCAAAGACTCGTCCTGTGGCAAATTTTGTGAGATTCGGTCTCTCGGCTACTCTAAACTTGGGAAGCATTGCTGCCGAAACAAATTGGTCAGCCTGCAGGGCGGTGCTCAGCTTCCTTAAAGGATGCGCTCATTTTCATAGCTTTTTTATTTCTTTCAAATAAAATATTATTCATAGAAAAATAATTGTTATTCATCAGGTAGATCGATAACATAATTTAATCAATGTTTACATTACTTTGTTTACATTACTTTCAATTTCCACATCATGATTAGTAAATATTATTTAATTCGGTTTGAGCTAGTTCGACCCGTAACGTTAGTATTGAAAGAGTAAGTCGCAAATGATATTTCCAACGAGTAAGATGGAATCTGGTAATTTATTCAATCCTGATATTAGGTAATTTGTATTTTATAAGTTTTACACTACGAAAATCTTATTAAAAAATACTTAATTTCATTAAATCTATTTCAGAGTTAAAGAAGAGCCTCGGCATGAACTTCACGATGATGATAATTATGAAATAATTGACACGACCCTTGCAGTTACTCAAAATGTTAAATGCGAAAGGTTTCGATATGAGAATTCAGTAAGTGTTGATAATTATATTCCACTATCATTAATAAAACTTTCCTAATAATTTTAATTTGTTCAGACCCAAAAGCTTCTTCAAAATTATGACGAAAATCACGAAAATGAACGTGATAACATCCAAATCGAATTGGAATGTATAGACATGAAGCCCAACTTATTGGCGGTTGCAAAAATTGAAGATTATTCTCCAAATCAATGGCCGAATAGTGACGAGTATAAAACTGGAAGCAAAATTAAATTAGAAACTGTTGGGGTGCTGAAGAAAGAAATTTTAAGCGAAGAAGCCACTGAATTGAATTTTGGACGTGGACTGAACGAAAAAAATGAGAAAGAATGTGTTGAAAAGTCAAACTGTAAGAAGAGTCTCAAAGCACACGTGGGTATAGTGCAAAGTGGTATCAACAATACATGCGATATATGCCAAAAGACATTCTCAAAAAAACCTGATCTCAATAGGCACATAGAGTCGGTGCATAATGGAATTTCACATACGTGCAATATATGTCCAAAGACATACTCGGACAAAAGGAGTCTCAAAAAACACATCGATTGGGTGCATAATGGTGTTAGACATGCATGTTACATTTGTGAAAAGATATTCTCACGAAAAGATTATCTTAGAACCCACACTGAATCGGTACATAATGGTGTTTCACATGCATGTGATATTTGTGAAATGACATTTACTCGAAAAAATCATCTCAAAACCCACGTCTAGTCGATACATCATAAAATCACGCATCCATGTGATAAATGCCAAAAGACATTCACACAGAAGAGTAATCTCAAAATACATATCGAATCGGTGCATAATGGTGTTTCACATGCATGTGATATTTGTGAAAAGACATTTACTCGAAAAGATTATCTCAAAATCTACGTCGAGTCGATACATCATAAAATCACGCATCCTTGTGATAAATGCCCAAAGACATTCTCAGACAAGAGTAATCTCAGAAGGCACACCGATTCGGTGCACAAGCGAGTCAGACATGCATGTGACATTTGTGGAAAGACATTCTCACAAAAAGTTCATCTCAAAATCCACACCGACATAGTCCACAATAGAATCACCCAAGCATGTGATTTTTGTGAAAAAAAATTTAAATATCAAACTCAACTCAATAGGCATGTCAAATCGTCGCATAATGACATCACTTATAAATGCAAGATATGCGGAAAAACGTTCGGACAGAAACGAAATCTGAAAGCTCATATCGATGTGGCTCATTGAGTCACGCAATCATACCTAAAAAATGTATATAATTCATGTTCAATTACGTTAATAATTTTGATGTACGATCCAGTGTAATTGATTGAAAGACTGACTTTAAAAACTTGTATTTATGATATGATGAATTTTTCTAGTGTTATGTAAAAAAAGTAACTGTCATTAAAAGAATGCACTATTTATCGAATCAGAAATGTATCACTAATTTTGCCGATAAATCAATTTTGTCAGTGTTAAATAATTTTGCTTGATTCATAATTATGAGCTGATATATTTCACTCGAATAATCTGCCTCGCTTATCTCATGATTTACCCTTTATGAAACTACTTCGAATCAAAATTTTTCCTCCCACGCCGGTATGCATGACTTTCAAAATGTGTACGAGTATGTGTACGTGTGTTTGTGTGTAGAGAAAGTGTACGCGGCCCTTTGCCATTAATCAGAATCAGCAGCAGTGTGAATATATACTGCTGCACTCCAATCGCGAGTAAGTTCACTATTACTGCAGCAGCAACAGTTGACTTCGGTTTATTCAACTTTGAGAGTGAGAGAGCGAATATGTTTGTGTGTACATTTCATTTACTCTCGGATGTATACATATGGATGGATAGATGATACTATTATGGATGATATGTAAGCTATAATGTACTCTCGAGTGCTCCGCTTGTGCGATATATTACACTTGGTTCCGTGACATATATATTACCCGCATGGGCCAAACTATAGTCACAACGTAATATGTCTAGTATAAAAATTGAAATAAAGTCTTGAAAAATACATTGAGAAATGACAATTTGAGCTCACTAGTTCTATCGCTCGTGGATCTGCAGAGGATCCACTTTGGATATTTATCTTTAAAATTTTATTAAAAAATCACGGAATAAATCACATCGCGTCGTGAAATACAGCCACTGATTGAAAATGTGGAAAAAATTCCGCTGTAGCAATTTTCAACATTAATAACATTGAACTAATGCCCAAAATATGATGGTTTTAAATATTTTAAATACGTGACAATCAATTACCGTGTTTTTATCGATTTTTCTGTTACAATCTAAATATTTCAGAAAATTTGACCAGTTTTGATATTATAATACAACTTGCAGTCTCCACCGTCAGATGGCGAGTACCCGTTATCCGTAAATCTGCAAGTGACAAAGTTAAAATAATTGTATAAGTCAGAGTACGATATTTAAAAGTTCCCAATTTTGCTTTCGTATCGACGTTGTTTTGTGTTTTAATTTTATCCTATATTTGTTTGCAATAATTATAAAAAAAGTTTCACACCTTGCAGCTGCTCTTATAAGAATTATTGCGCCATTCTCGTGTGCTAACACAATATCCACATTTTAGTAATTATTATTCATTAACTACTTAGGGTCGAACATTTCGCTGATTTTCGAAAAATCAATTTTTTTATTGTTGCATTTTCGAATTGCTTAATTATAACATTCTTAATTTTGGTAGGGAAATTCTAAATCAGTGAAAATCAGGACTGAGTATGAGCTTATACAAGGCGCGGCGCTCAGAGGTATTCGAAAACTTTGAGCGCATTTTACGACAAACAACGTTTTTCGATACCTTGTTCAAGAATTTTAGAAAAAAAATGAATCAATCCTTTCCAAATTTCTACCATCCGCTCTTGAATATAGCACATACATGAAGTTTTTTCGGAATTTTGTTTTTAAAATTTATTATTGACAAAATCGTTCAAAAAAGCCCGTTTTTTCTTAATTTTCCGAAATATGTCTATAATTTTGTCAATTTTGCAATAATCAAAAATCCTTCTGTCAGTGCTAAAGAGCCATCAAGAGTACATGGTAACAATTTTGAGATAATCGGTTCAGTAGATTTTAAAAGTTTTTCAACAGACAACAGTAATTTGTCTTATATAATGTTTCTTCGTTTCTATTAGTTTCAATTTCTACAGCACGATTAGTAAATATTATTGAACTTCGTTTGAGATAGTTAGACTCACAGCGTTAGTATTGAAAGAGTCAGTCGCAAATGAGATTTCCCACGAGTAAGATGGAATCTGGTGATTTATTCGATCCTGCTATAACGTAATTTTTATTTTATTAGGATTAAACTACGGATATATTAAAACAAAAAATACTTAATCTTATCAAATCTATTTCAGAGTGAAAGAAGAGCCTCGGCATGAGCTTCTCGATAATAATGTTTATGACATAATTGACACGACTCTTGCAGTTCCTCAAAATGTTAAATACGAGAAGTCTTGGCATGAAAATTCAGTAAGTGTTGATAATCATGTTCGACAATCATTAATGAAACTCCTAATAATTTTATTTTTCTTCAGACCCAGGAGCTTCTTCAGGAATATGACGAAAATCACGAAAATGAACTCGACGACATTCAAATCGAATTGGAATGTACCGACACGAAGCCCAATTTATTGGCAGTATCGAAAATTGAAGATTTCTCTCCAAATCAGTTTCAGGATAGCAATGATTACAAAACTGAAAGCAAAATTAAATTAGAAACTTTCGGGACAGTGAAAAAAGAAATTTTTAGTGAAGAAGCCACTGTGATTAAAGTTGAATGTGTTTCAAAAAGTATGAACTGTAAACATAGTCTCGAAACTCAAATTGACACTGCGCATAATGGAATCACTCCTGCAAGTCATCTAAAAAGACACGTCGATGCAGTCCGCAAAGATGTCACGCACGCATGTGAAATATGCGGCAATGTATTCAAACGAACAGTTGATCTCAATAGGCACATCGATTCGGTGCATAACAGTGTCCGCCATGCATGTGACATTTGCGGAAAGACATACTCAGACAAGAGTAATCTCAAACGTCACATCGATTCGATGCATAATTGTGTCAGTCACGAATGTAATATTTGCGGAAATGTTATTAAACATAAAGGCGATCTCAAACGTCACATCGATTCGGTGCATAATCAAGTCCGACAAGCATGCGATAAATGCCCAAAGACATTCTCAGTCAAAAGTAATCTCAAAAAACACATTGACGCAGTACACAATGAAATCACCCAAGCATGTGATTTTTGTGAAAAAAAATTTAAATATCAAACTCAACTCAATAGGCATGTCAAATCGTCGCATAATGACATCACTTATAAATGCAAGATATGCGGAAAAACGTTCGGACAGAAACGAAATCTGAAAGCTCATATCGATGTGGCTCATTGAGTCACGCAATCATACCTAATAAATGTATATAATTCATGTTCAATTGCGTTAACAATTTTGATGTACGATCCAGTGTAATTGATCGAAAGACTAAGTTTAAAAAATTGTATCTATGATATGATGAAATTCTCTAGAATTATGTAAAAGTAAAGAATGCACTATTTATCGAATCAGAAATGTATCATTAATTTTACCCGATGAATCAATTTTGTCAGTGTTAAATAATTTTGCTTGATTCATAATTATGAGTTGATATCCCTGGTAGAAATCGTAACTTTTTTTTGGCCATTTACCAAATAATTAAAATGTAACCTGACCAAAAACTGGGCAAGCGAATTGGCGATTATTAATCCCTAAATGAAACAATTTTTGGACCAGTTTACCGCCAGGAAAAATATTTTAGTAGAAATGTCCAAAAAATGTCCAAAAAATGTTGTGCATCAAAATACCCTGGATTTATTATTATGATCATTAGGTGATTAGGTTAAGTAACGATTATCATGACCAGCAACAAAGCAGTTTTTTAGCATTTTTTGGTCAGTACTGACATTTAATGCACATTTTTTGACCATTAATGGACTTGATTCTTATAAGGAGACATCTCTCTTTTTGGATGCTGCAACTAACAAGCAATTCATTTTCTAGCCAATACAGCACTAGTTATTTGACAGTTCTATGAGTACATTTTTTTAACATTTATGCCGGGCATTAACTGCTCTCCAGGCCATAATAAATGTTATGATTTCTACCAGGGATATTTCACTCGAATAATCTGTCTAGCTTAACTCATGATTTACCCTTTATGAAACTGCTTCGAATCAAAATTTTTCTAGCAAAAACATTTTAACGCGTGTCTTTTTCAATTTTCACTGTAAACGTCGCTTTTGATCGAGCCAAAAATTGATCGACTGATTAAAGCCGCTTAAAAATGCTTCAAATTCGGGTATTATCGTATAGTATAATTAAAAATTTGGTTTTAAAAATTTATTATTGACAAAATCGTTGAAAAAAGCCCGTTTTTTCGTAATTTTTCGAAATATATCTATCATTTTGTCAATTTTGCAATAATCAAAAATCCTTCTGTAAGTGCTAAAGAGCCATCAAGAGTGCATGGTAACAATTTTGAGAGAATCGGTTCAGTAGATTTTAAAAGTTTTTCAACAGACAACAGTAATTTGTCTTATATAATGTTTCTTCGTTTCTATTAGTTTCAATTTCTACAGCACGATTAGTAAATTTTATTGAATTCAGTTTGAGTCAGCTCGATTCGTAACATTAGTATTGAAAGAGTAAGTCGCAATTAATATTTCTAGCGAGTAAGATGGAATCTGGTGATTTATTCAATCCTGCTGTTAGGTAGTATTTATTTGATGAGTATAAATTTATAAAAATATTCCATAAAAATATACCATGGTGAGAATTATTTTTTTACTTAAATTTCTGAAACATCGTCGCTTTCAAGTTCGACTCTCTCGCTGTGATACGATGTATCGGTGCAAAGCCGGTGGTCTAACCAAAGGCATATGATCTCCTTCGAGTTTTTGGATCGCCCCCGTGGTACTTTGAAAAATAACTTTCAAGCTCCGTTATTGTCATGATCCAACGTATACGAATTGCAATCGTCACAGCCTCTCCCTGTGGCTCCTCGGAGGAGAGTCTAAACCATGTTTTCTGGAATTGCCGCAGATCTGAACGGCAAAGACTCGTCCTGTGGCAAATTTTGTGAGATTCGGTCTCTCGGCTACTCTAAACTTGGGAAGCATTGCTGCCGAAACAAATTGGTCAGCCTGCAGGGCGGTGCTCAGCTTCCTTAAAGGATGCGCTCATTTTCATAGCTTTTTTATTTCTTTCAAATAAAATATTATTCATAGAAAAATAATTGTTATTCATCAGGTAGATCGATAACATAATTTAATCAATGTTTACATTACTTTGTTTACATTACTTTCAATTTCCACATCATGATTAGTAAATATTATTTAATTCGGTTTGAGCTAGTTCGACCCGTAACGTTAGTATTGAAAGAGTAAGTCGCAAATGATATTTCCAACGAGGAAGATGGAATCTGGTAATTTATTCAATCCTGATATTAGGTAATTTGTATTTTATAAGTTTTACACTACGAAAATCTTATTAAAAAATACTTAATTTCATTAAATCTATTTCAGAGTGAAAGATGAGCCTCGTGATGACCCTCTCAATGATGATGATGGTTATAAAATAATTGTCACGACACCCGTCACTCAAAATATTAAATACGAAAGGTTCCAGCCCAAAAATTCAGTAAGAATTGATAATTATGTTTCACTATCATTAATAAAACTTTTCTCATAATTTTAATTTGTTCAGACCCAAAAGCTTCTTCAAATTTATGACGAAAATCACGAAAATGAACGTGATAACATCCAAATCGAATTGGAATGTATAGACATGAAGCCCAATTTATTGGCGGTTGCGAAAATTGAAGATCATTCTCCAAATCAATGGCAGGATAGCGATGATTATAAAAGCGGAAGCAAAATAAAACTCGAAACTGTCGGGACAGTGAAGAAGAAAATTTTAAGCGAAGAAGAGACTGATTTGAATTTCAGACGTGGACTCAGCGAGCAAAATAAAACAGGAACTGCCTCAAAAGAGCTGAACAATGAAAATAGGCTCAAAACTCACAATGATACTAGGCATAATAAAATCACACATGATTGTGATATTTGCGGAAAATCATTCAAATATAAGAGTAATCTCCAAACACACATGGATTCGGTGCATTGTAAAATTAGGCATGCATGCGATACATGGCAAAAGACATTCTCAGACAGAAGTAATCTCAGAAATCACATCGATTCGGTGCACCGTAAAATCACGCATTCATGTGGTATATGCCAAAAGATATTCACACAAAAAGCTTATCTCACAATCCACATCAAATCGGTGCATAATGGTGACAGACATGCATGCGATATTTGCGGAAATATGTTCAAACAAAGAACTGGTCTCAAACGCCACATAGATTCGGCGCATAATGAAGTCAGGCATACATGCGATATATGCCAAAAGACGTTCTTAGACAAGAGTAATCTTAAAAAACACATCGATTCGGTGCATAATGGTGTCAGACATGCATGCGATATATGCCAAACGACATTCTCAGACAAGAGTAGTCTAAAGAGGCACATCGATTCGGTGCACAAGCGAGACGGACATGCATGTGACATTTGTGAAAAGACATTCTCACAAAAAAGTCATCTCAAAACCCACACCGAATCGGTGCATTATGGTATTTCACATGCATGTGACGTATGTGGAAAGACATTCACACAGAATTGTCAACTCAAAGTCCACACCGATTCGGTGCACCGTAAAATTACGCATCCATGCGATATATGCTTAAAGACATTCTCAACCAAAAGTAATCTCAGATATCACATCAATTCGGTGCACAACCGGGTCCGATATTCATGTGATAAATGCCTAAAGACATTCTCAGACAAGAGTAGTTTCAAAAAGCATATGGATGCAGAGCATATTGGAATCACCTATTCATGTGATTTTTGTGGAAAAAAATATAAATATCAAACTAATCTGAGTAAGCATGTCAAATCTTCGCATAATGGCATCATTCATAAATGCGCGACATGCGGAAAGCCATTCGGACAGAAAAAAAATCTTAAAGCTCATATCGACACGGCGCATAAGTCACGTAATCAGACATGTTAAATATTCATTATTTATGTTCAAATGTGTTAAAAATTTTGATGTACGATACAGTGTAATTGTTCAGAAGACTGAAATAAAAAAATTTTTGATACCTTGTTGAAGAATTTTTGAAAAAAAAAAAAACTGAATAGTGTCTCTCAAAATTGTTACCATACACTCACAATAACTACAACGCATACGAGACGTTTTTTGAAATTTTGATTTCAAAAATATTTATTGACAAAAATATTGATAAAGAAACGTTTTTTCTTAATTTCCCGAAATATATGTATACCACATTTTGTCAATTATGCCTCAATCAAAGATCATTATATTAGCGCTATAAAGTCATTAGAGTCATGGTAAAAATTTAGAGATAATCGGTCCAGTAAATTTCAAAATTTTTTCAACGAGGATTAGACGTATGAAGTTTTTTTTCTTTATGCATATGAATCGACTTTCACGTAAAAGATTTAAAATTAATATTATCTAAATTAAATTTGAACAATCAAATATTAAATTTAATGTATATTAATGTTAAATTATTTGTGAATAAATATTTAAATATTCAAATCACATTGATTTTCTTAAATTTTACATGAGAATAAACACATCTATAGTGAACAAAAACTTACTTCAAATGATAATATTCACTGTGTATATAATTAAACTGTAAATTTAAAAAATCGAAAAAAATTGAAGTAATCCCTTGCCGCTGATTGATTTCTTCCTATACAATCCACAACTATACGCGCAAAAAATGAAGAGGAAACGCGGCGCCAATTGACAAAAGTGCAAGAGCCCGCCGCGGCATAAATATATAGATAAAAAAGAAAATATCATGCATACGCGAGCGCAGACGCTATAAACGAATCGGCAAAGCGATGCGGTGCATAGGCGAAACAATCCAACCCCGTGCCACGTAGAGCAACGCAGCGGCGTCGGTGGTAGCAAAGTACAGTAACGCACATACATAGACAGTAGCAGTATTGCATGCATATAAAGCTGCATCACCGCGTGACCTGCAACTCTGTCTCTCTCTCTCTCCCTCTACCCTTGGCAGTTGCCTACATTTAGTATACATACTGCACTGGTAAAGAAAAGAGAGAGAGAGAGAGAGAAAACAGCAGTTGGCAAGAGTCTCGAGTGCGGCACAGTAGCCGTTTCGTACACGAAACGTCTGACGAAATACTGGCGAAAAAAAAAGGAGAGCGCAAGAGAGAAGAAGTAGAAGAAGAAGAAGCGAAGCGCAACCCAGGCGCAATGTATGTGTGTGTGTGTGTGTGCACGCTGGCTGGGCGCTGCATGGCTTTTTTCTGGATAATTTCGTCTGCGCCGCGATATTTTCGTTCAACTTCTTCCCTTTTCTTCTTCTTCCTCTTTTTTTCTCTCTCCACCCCTTCGCTGTGTATTATGTGTGCGTGTGCGCGCGCGGGTGTTTTTTTTTATGTTGCTTTTGCTCTACAAACGTACATCTTCACAGGATAGAGAGAGAGAGGAAAAGGAGAGTACTGCTTGGCGTTGAGAAAACATTCATATATGGCTGATGGAAGCTAAGGAAAGAGGAAATTGAATTTTCTACTCGAGAATTTTTCTCTTACTCCTGTCTCCTTCTCTCTCTCTTTCCTCTCTCCTTTTCTTTTCTTTTTTTTCCTTACTTTCCGCGTGTGGTCCATTTTTTTTAAGATGCTCAACGCGGAATACTAAGTCGTCGAGAGCGCGGAACGGAAGCAAAAAAATTGTTACAACACGGCAGCAGCAGCTCGCGGGGGGTGTATAATATAACAAGAAAAACATTTTTCTCTGCGCTAGTAGGATCGATCGATCTCGATCCTAGACTCCTGCTACTATTATACATAGAATAGATGATGACAATTTTTCGTCATGCAAAAATAACAATGAGCGATAATAACTATGTATATACGCGTAAAGGAGTTTCCTATCTCTTCATCCTTCTGCGCGACGATGCTGTATCCATCCCCGAGCATTATCCTTATAAGACGTTCTCTCTCTCTCTCTCTCTCTAGCAGTCTCTCTTTCGAGGATATTGAATTGAAGCCAGGCTTATAGCTTACAAGACCGTTAAAACGGCAATTTATATGATAACGGAGGCAAATAGCCCTTTATACTTGCAAACACACGCACACACCCACGTTTATATACCCGAGCTGCAACTACACCGCCTCGAGCAGCAGCAGAGGCTAAAGCTGAGCGTCGCTGCAGCAGCAAAAACGTCGAAAACTCCAATGGCAATATAAGCTCCCTCTCGTCGTCGTCGTATGCGGAATGACGCGCGGAGCTTGATTAATTGAATCGGATGGAGGACGTGTTATAACGCGCGCACAAAGCGGAACATCGAATGCGTTTACATTATAAGAGAGCAGCATCGATATGATTTTTGTGTGTCGTCGTCGTCGTCGTCGTCGTCGTTGTTGTTATTGTACACGCGACGCACGAATTCGCATTAAAGTTTATAATCTTATGTAATATGCTCAAAGGGGATGTATCATATAGTGCGTATACATGTGTGTGTTTGCGAGGGCGAGGGAGAGGCCGTTATACGTGATGCAGCGGCCTTCCCCTCCCCGTTATATAGCCCAAGCGTAAATAGGTTTATGTTCCCGGTTCGGTATTATACATGTACACTAGTGTGTATATATATTTACTGTACGTGCGTGCGTATATGCAGCGTGCAGTGCACTGCAGCCGAGTCTATTCTTACTTGCAAATTTCTCTCTGTGTATATTATGTCACCTACATATATATACAGGCGCAGGATGAAAATTTGCTCTCTATATTCCCGACGACGTCGTAGTTAGGACGGCCCTTACGTACGTCAATTTTTTTTTTTTATATTATTGCGTTAAGATTTATTATGTATTATTGAGTGTAGAGGCGCGAGCGAAAATTGATTGCAGAGGGTGCGCAAACAATTTTTTTATTATTATTACCCTACGTCTTTCTCGTGCGCCTTTTTTTAGCCGAGCTTTCAATTAACATCGGCTCTCCTGTGTGCGCGTGCAGTGTGCAGCGCAGCTCGGAATAAAATACGTGTACACGAGGACTCGAGTAACTATAATAATACAAGTTTGTGTGTGTATGTGAGAGTATATAACGTAATGAAGCAAGATTCATTAGCAAAGTTCAGCGATTGCAAGCTTGCTGCTGCTGCTGCTGCTTTTGCTGGGGAAGCGTTGACGTTTCTAATTTTCACGCGATGATCATTTTTTTTTCCACCCTACTATCTCGTTATTTTTTTTTCTTTTTTTTGACAGCTTCCTTGGATATAGATAAAGAGAGAGAGAGAGAACTAAGTAATTGCCATCCTTTCACGCTCAACTGGGCTAATTTCTCGCGATTTCTGATGACGACGACGACGACGATGAGTTTATTATAACGAGTTATGAGCTCGCGATGCTCATCGAGACGGAAGCTGGTCCTTTTTGATCCAGCGAGAAGAATTTCTTTTTATTACAATTTATTACGCACACAATTACATCGCGATCACTCTGGATTTCACTCGACTGTAATTTTTCTTCTTATTCTTGAGATACCAGGACAAAAATCAGTATACTTCTAAGCTCGAATGGATTCTCGTACTCGATTGCGTAATAAAAATACTCTTACGTGATGCACCGCAGTTTATACCTATACCCAAATCTAACGAATGATTTTAGCACGTTTATATTGATAACGTCATCAATCCATCATTTGTATAAAAGCTGCTGCCAAGCCATTAGTTGAAGTTGAAAAAAAAGTTTAAAACTAAATTTCAATTTAATTTTAACGATGGTTCAACTTATTTCAAATGTTAATATTTCAATTACTAAAATAATTCCTATATTTTCTTATGTTCAAGTAAATTTATAAATAAAACTTTGAAAATAAACATCGTGAGATATAGACCACGTTGTCGGCTAATGAAGTCACGTGATCAGCTGGTAAAATCACGTGGGATGACTATATGTGATCGGTCAAGTAGAATTAAAAGGATATTCTTTGAATTTGAACATGTCTTTCGTTTTATTCAAATATTGCATACGCGGTGACGCGTGAATGTTTAATGATCGTGCTCGTACATTGAAATATTTTTTTAAGAATAATTTTACATCCTTCCGACATAAAATTTACAAGTGCTCTCTTTCTTTTAAGAATAATTTTAAGCTTTTAAGAATAATTTTACATCCTTTCGATGTAAAATTTACAAGTGCTCTCTTTCGTAATAATGATAAAATCAGCATTGAAATTATGCCAAATCTCGCCCAATCGACGGACGATCAATCCACCCAATTCGTTTCGCTCGTCTGCTCGCACAGCCGATACAGCTCCTCGTCGCTCATTCTCTCCGCCACGAGCGAGCAAACGGCGTGCGGCAGATTCAATCTACACCCCTCGGTCATGAACAGATCGGCGGCGAAAAATTCGAACTGTATCCTCGCGAAGATTTCCGCCACGTGTCTCTGCACGAACAGGCCCAGATGTTCCAGGTGCGGCCCCGGAAAGACGCGCCTCAGCCAATTATTCCTCCTGCTGCTGCTCCTCAGAATCGAGGCGGCCGCGGCGGGACTCAGCTGACAGGCTCGATACAGCGAGAGGCTCTCGGTCAGCATGATGGCCTTGAGTTTGGCCGCGTCGGCCTCCGCCTCGACCTCGTTGAACCGCCAACGATAGTACGTGCGCAGCTTGCCGCGCGTTTTGTTTCCCGGCACGTACGTATCGAGCAGTCGTTCGCGTTTCTCCAGCAAACGATCCTCGGTCCCTTGGCCCATGTAAAAATCGAACTTTTTGCGGATGGCCAGGCGAGTGTCGAGATCATTTAGAATGAAATCGGTCCTACCGTGGCCCACTGCGCGAAAACGAGAGACGAATAATTGATTCTATGAAATTATTTACGCTTCTCGAATGATGTGCATCACTTACGAATTTCGCAGACTTTCGGCTCCGAAAACTCGTTATCCCTCGCTCGAGCTCTCAACCAGCATTTTAAAAACCTCAGTCTGTTCTCGAAATCCATGTAGAATCCGTGCGCCACCAACAGGTCCATCATCTTGGCTACGCAGAAGGTTCTGGGTCGCTCGTCGTCGGCGTCCAACGCCAAATTCTCGCTCTGCAGCCCGTCCAGACTCGCGGCGCCGGCTCGCTCCAGCAGCAGTCTCGCCAGGCCGAACTCGAAGCGAGACACCGCAAGTCCCAGGGGGCTCTGGCCCGCGAAGTTTCGCGCCTCGACGCTCGCCCCGGCCGCAACGAGCAGCTCGACGATCGTTCTCAGCGCCGTTGCCCTCTCCTCTTCCCGGCCGTAATCGTCGGCGTTGGCGAGCGCGTGAAGCGCCGTCGATCCGTCCTCGTGATCCGGCCGATTCGGATCCGCCCCGTGCTCCAGCAGTATCCGGACGACCGCCGCTTGGCCCAGGTGCGCGGCGTAGTGCAGGGGCGACCTCGTGCAGCCGGCCTGATCGACGTCGGCGCCCTCGCGCAACAGTTCCAGCGCCGTTACGGTGTCGCCGCGCGCGCAGGCCGCGTTCAAGTAGGTGAAATCGTCCTGACTCATTATCCTCCTCTTCTGGTGATCGTTCTTCGTCGGTTTCTTTGCTTGCAATGAGAACCACGGTTTCATCGTTTGCTCCAAGTGTTGCATCCTACGTAGTCGCGGGCTATTCTGGAGGTCGTAGGGTTGAGGTCTTGGTGCCATGATAATTTTTTTTTTTTTTCGATTTCAATGCCAAACCTACTTGAACGTACACGGGCCTGCGTGAGATCGAAACTGTTCCGACGGTTGAGAAAGAGAAAGGGAGCTGAGAACTACGACGATGTAAACATCTCTACGTACTTGTGCCGACTGAAGATCGGCATCGTGTCTCGTGATTGAGTACACATTTTAGAAAGTAAATTAGAATTAGATGTTTAAATGAATTTTAGAGTGTATAACATTAGCTTTAAAAAAACGCGCTATCGTTTATAAAATTAGTTATTGTTCAGTTTATATATTTCTTTAATAATCCTTTGTGAAGAGTTTTCAAATTTTGACCTAATTCAAGTATCTTTTGTAACATGTAAAAATAACTATTTGAACAACCTCGAATTTCGTCAGACTTTTTCGAAAATAAAAATTAATAAATCAAAATCAATACACATGAAACATAGTAAATGTATTAACATTTTCGAGGTTTTTGCGTTAAAAATTTATAACCGCAAGCTTTATTAGAATTTTCCAGATTTAAAAAATTTTTGCAGTCAAAATTCTCGTATTTTTAACAAAACGCCCTTCAAATAATCTATTCATTTAGAAATAAAATTTTTACGGGACCAATTTTGTATGCGCAAAATAATTTCGACCAGTGCATAACGCAATCGGTGCGTTATGAAGAATACTTGGATCGCTGATACAAGCATTTTTAGTTAGACGTAAGGAAATGAAATCAACTCGGAAAACAAATTCTATACAACAAAAAATTTTCATTCGATTGACGATGAATTGACTCATATTTGATGATACGCTCTTGTATAGGCGCTTGGAAAAAGTTGCATTCGCGTCTTTCACCATGGGCAGACTCGACTAGATTACATAAAAATAACCACCTTGTGCCAACGTCCGCGCAGCATCGAAATTGCGAAAAGATCGAGACGCGACACTTGCGTTTTTACACTTGCAAAGTGGACCGGTGATTTAGGCATAACGAGAGAAGAAGATGCGAGCTCTCGGGGCTCGTAAAAACTTGGACGTAATATCTTCTTGCAAAATCAAGTCTTTCTTTCCTTTTCTTTTATTCTCTTTATTTTTACGGTTTTTCCGAAAAATCATCCGAGTTCTTTTTATATCAGACCGATTTCTACATTTTTAATGAAATATGAGAACGCTAACACACCAACGTGAGCAATCGACACTGAACCCTCATTCATTATGAATAATTATTTTAATCTTGCTGTGACTTATACAATTATTTCGACTTTGCCACTTGCAGATTTACAAATGAAGGTACTCGCCATCTAGTGGTGGATACTAAAAATTGTATCATCGCTTCAGAACTGGTCTAGCTTGTTTCAAATATATTGAAATTTTAAACAGGAAAAATGTCAAGAAAATAGACAAGTCAATGGTGATGTATTTTGAAACTCTTGAAATGTTCATTTTTTTCATCATCAGACCATTATTAACTTTTAACATTTCTACCACCATATTAGAACGCCTCTCTCGAGTAAGTACAGAAGCCGAAACTTTTTTCCACATTTGAATCATCTCGTATCACCCGAGCGCGCGGGCGCGTGTAACAAGCCCCGAGTCCATTCTTTTTATCGGAAATATGCTTTTGACCTGGTTCACTCGGAAAATTGAATTTTCGTACTGACGACCAGCTGGAATAGCGTACAGAAAACTTTCGGCGCCCGGCGCGGCAACGAAACTTCGTTAATTGTTTTAATACGCCGCTTGTATTGCGCCCCCCCCCCCTTTACACCCCCTCATCGGGAGCGAGTGAATAAACGAAAAGTCCAGATTTTCCCCTCGACGTAAATGCAGAAATGGGGCGTATGTATGTAGATGAAAAGTTTGCGCGAAAAAGAGAGAAACTTTTCCCCTCGAATTATACTCTCTTCGGTGTGTGTGTTTGTGTGCCGAAGGGCACTGCATGCAACGATCTCATGAAAAGTGAACAAATCACATTTCGTTAATCGGATAAATCTCTCGCGCGTCGGCTGCGGCTGTGCAGGTCCTAATATATATCACAAAAATTTTGATGAAACACAGCTGGGAAATTCGTTGATGAATCGATTTCTCTCTCTCTCTTTTTCCCTTTTTCTACAGAGATCAATAACTTTCATCAACAATTTATACATTTACACTGCCGGACCCTGTTTTAAAAAAAGCGATTTAAAGGTCTTGACAAAATCTATAAATTGATGGGCTCAGAATGTTTCTACAAGTCTTCTTACTAAACTGACAGCAGAAATAGCAAAGACCAGAAAAACTTTTTTTTCGACTTGTTAATTGTTAAAGATAATAAGTGAATAAATGAATAATCCTATCACTAATTTATATGGTTAGAAAGGGCTTGAAAGGATCTTTCAAATGGTCGGTTCAAAATCTTGATACGACTCTTATTGACTGAGTTACGACGTTTCGAAGTTTACTAATTTTTTTACTTTGGTAATGGCAAAAGTGATTGAACTTATATGAATTTTAGACATTTAACTTTTGAGAAAATCAACAGAAACGCCGAGAAACACCGTAGAAGTACACAAGATTTTTACGTAAATCAGTGTGAGTGCCATCCTTTGTGTACAACGTCTCTCGAAGCGGTAACGATTAGAAAGTGCGAAGATCGTCCAGCGAAGTGGGGCCCGTTGCCGCATGAATCAGTAGTTACGTCACGACGCCCATAAGTATACGAGCAGAAAAGAAAATCGGCAAGTGATTCTCGCGATTATCATTGGACGCAATGGAGATACTCGACGCAATGGAGATACCCGACGACGAGGACATTAGGTTTCTCGAGGCCTGCGTGTACGGCAGCTTGGACGAGGTCGAGTATTACCTCGAGCGCGGCCTGAACCCCAACTGCAGCCCCGAGCAGATCGAGGCCGGAATCGATCCGCCGCTCAACTTGATTCTGCAGCACTTCCGTACGGAGATGCTCGACCTGCTGCTGTGCCACGGCGCCAATCCGATCATGACCAACAAGCACGGAACGACTCCACTGCACGTCATCTGCGGGCTTCCACACTCCGCCTTCTTCACGGCTGCGGTATTCTTCGAGACGTGCGCGAGGCGACGGATGTGGTTGCAGCTCGACGCCCGGGACAACGGGGGCTGGACGCCCCTGCAATTGGCCCTGACCGTGTCCAGGGACGGCGACTTGGTGGAATTGCTGCTGGCCAAAGGGGCCAATCCGATGTTGGAAAGTCCGCAGGGCTGGACGTCTTTGGGATTCGTGGTCGAGGCTTACGCGTACAATCGAGACACGGCAACGTTTCGGATGCTGAACAGACTCGAGGAATTGGCCCGAACGATGCTGGTACTAGGCGCCGACCCGAGATTGGCCAACGACCAGGGCGAGACTACTCTGCATCTCGTAGCCAAGGAAAACCACGAATCTTCCATGGACTTCTGGTATCGCGTATTGCTCAGAATGAGCCGCGAAGCGATAATACTCAGCCGCGAGTGGATCGACGCCCGCGACTGGTTGGGCTTCACGCCGTTTCACCGGCTCTGCATCGGCTTGAGAGACCCGATGACCGACTACCAGGCCAGGGTGGCCGAGTGGCTGCTCAGTCATGGGGCCGATCCTAATTCGGTCAGCAGCGGCTTCGCCACGACTCCACTGCACTTTATCGCTCGGCAGGAGAGCAATTTATCCTTGATGGAGCGCGTGCTCGACGTCGACCAGCACGGAAATCGAGTCGTGCGGCTCGACGAGCACGGAAATAGACCCGTGCGGCTCGACGTCCAGGACAAGTTCGGCGATACGCCGCTGCACTTGGCCGCGAGGGGCGGCCATCGACGGATGACCCTGCTGCTGCTGGAAGAGGGTGCCGACCCGAATTTGCTCAACGCCGAGGGATTCGCTCCTCTGCACGAGGCCTACAGGGTGGACGCGAACTCGTTCTTTCTGGACTTTCTCGATACCTGTCGCCGAATCCGCCAGTCGCTGGCGGGCGCCGCCAACGTACGGGACAAGCGGGGCAACACACTCCTGAACTTGGCGCTGAGAAGGTTCCGCGACGTAAGCGGCGCGGAGGTCCACGCGCTGCTGTGCCTGGACGCCGATCCGAATCTGGCCGACGCCAGGGGATCCACGGCTCTGCACGAGGTCTGCCGGATAGACGCGGACTCGCGCCTGCTGGAGTTCCTCGCGACCTGTCGCGAAAACGACCGGTCGCTGCAGGCCGCCGTCAACAGCCAGGACGAGGACGGCGAGACGCCCCTGCACGTGGTGCTGAGAACGTTCTACGTCGACTGCCGGGCGGAGGTCCGGGCGCTGCTGGGCCTGGGCGCCGATCCGACGTTGCCCGACCAGCGCGGCACGACGCCTCTGCACTTGATCTGTTTGAAAAAAGACCTCGTGGACGGGGACTTGATAAGGATGTTTTTCGCGATCGCCGATCAAGGACGATGGCCGTTGCCCGTCAATGCCAGCGACAATCAGGGCCGGACACCTCTTCAGTTGGCCGTGACGAGTCTCAGTCCGGGAACCGTCGATGCTCTCCTGGATCGTCGCGCCGATATCACGCAGCTCGTTTTCCCCACCGAGGCACAGTTCGACGAGCTCTTGAGACCTGCGGAGACCCGCTCGAACGAGTTAAAATTGAGAATAGCGATCAGCGCCTCGACCATGATCGAGCGCCTCGAGAGACGAGGATACGAGCTGGACCGAAGCAACGCCATGACGATGATGAGAATCATCGAAAAGCTCGATTTGTTCCGGATAGAGGTGGATCGTCCCGTGACTGGCTTGCTCGAAAACACGCAGTTCGTCACGGCAGCGCGAGATATTAAGGTAAAAAACGACGGCGACCCTACGACGCTCCACGATCTGCTCGTGTTGCCGCTCGAGGTGGCGGCGAAACGATTCACGTGCCAGGACTACTTCGAACTCGCGCGCGACGAAAAGAAAGTGCGGAAATTCGAGGCCGACCGGACCAGAGTGACTTGTCTCGCGCATCTGTGCAAGATAATGTGGACGAGATTTTTCTTGACCTGGGCCCTGGACCCTTTCGTGATACTGATTCACAACCGATTGCCGCCTATCTGCTGCGTAAAGATCATCGAAAATCTGAACCTCGAGGATTTGTTCAATATTTGCTTGGCGGTGGAGATTCAACAGGCTTGCGAAGGAAATCAGAATAATTAAAGTTTTTTTCGCGTTTCGCGCTATTAAATTATGCAAATATAATTTAATGTAATTCAATATAATACAATTTTATATAATATGTAATTATACATAATTTATAATTATAATTTAATATAATTAGTAATATAATAAATGAAAAAATATGAATAAAAATATTATTCATAGATTGAATAGCATTTTGATTATTTTTTTTTGTTTTTCGATATATTGTATAAGGATCCATTGACCAGATACTACACAATTTTTTTTTAAGAATATTTAGTTTTAGAGCGCCAAAAAATTCCTCGAAGGAATCATCCCCAAGCGAAAACTTTAAAATGGTTCGAATTTGGAAGGAGAAAATATAAGCAGATAAATTGGTAATTTGTAAACGATATGATCATAAAGATTTTGACGTATTATCTCGACACTAGACTGTCCAATATTTCCCGAATTTCTCAAATCCTCGTTCTCAACCTTTGAAAGCTCATCATTTAACTTACAATGAAAGAAAATCACTGTGCGATCTCGATAAGTCAACTCTTGATAGTGTGTATTTAAAGAAAAATGTAAATTTGAATTTTAAGCAACTTCAAAGCGCTAACCCTTGGGTGTTGCGATGGTTTTCACTTTCTAATAGACCCATTATGAGTAACCAATGCTTATGAGAATTCTCCGAACGAAATTTTGATTGTGCACACACGATGAACTCCAACAATCGGGAAAAACAGCATATTCGATTAAAAAAATCGATTTTCTTGCCGCATGAAGAAAAATTACCTGTCCCAGGTAAAATGTGGTTTTGGTTCATGAAATCCTATAATTCTTGAGCCAACCAGATTTCATGACGGAGTTCGTAAATTTCTATCAGTGTACCACGGGTCGGTTGCAAATGAAGAATCCGTGGACAACAAATTCGCGGATAAAAAATCCGCGTATAACGTGGGACGCCAGTATATTTAGTTTAAGGCCAAAAATTCATCGACGTCACTAACAAGAAGACCTTCTCACTTTTGCTCACTTTATACGGCCTATAATTGGTCGAGTTACTTTTGCCTCGAGACGAAATGCAATAAAGTGACACCTTTGGTCAAAATAGTAACTTTTTTAAAACCCTACTGAAAAATTTATGCTCGCGAAGCGCGCCTGAAAGTTACTAGTATTATGAAATTCCTGGAGACCCTAAAAAAATTTTGGTAAAAATCCGTGATCCAGAGGGGAGAAGGTCTGCTTGTAAATTAGAATTTTAAAATGGTTCAAATTTTTAAAGGGAATGTATACATAGATGAATAGGTAACTTAAGTGTAAACAATATGATCTTAAACTATTTTGATATATTTCCTCAATACACTGGTCGTGTTTATATTAAAATCAAACTAGGTTGAAAATTATCTTTCTCTATGAAACAAGTCATAATACCAAAAGATAAAGTTTACTTATTACATTTCTGTGACACCAAAGAGAAATATCTATAGTTTATTTTAAGCACCAAAATGAAAAAAAGTGATGAAAAATCAGAGAAAGATGTCTCCGAAGATAATTCAAGTGAACACGACATTGTTATTTCAGACCACAAACATAACGTTGATGATCTTTGCCAGCAGGAATTTACACTAGAGTCAAGTATGATAACACACCGAGACAAAATTCACAATGAGCCAAAAAATTACTCTTGTGACAAGTGCAAAAAGAAATTCCAGTTCCGAAGTCATTTAAGTAGACACCAAATATCAGAACACAAAGGCCGCAAAGATTTTGCATGTAACGAATGCGAAAAGAAATTTGTGAAAAAATTAAGTTTGTTTACTCATCAAAAATTGGTACACAAAGCTCGCGAAAATTTCACTCGCAACAAGTGCGAGAGAAAATTTGAAAATAAATCAACTTTACTAAAGCACAAAAAAATATTCCATGAAGTTTTCAGAGATTACTTATGTGAAAAGTGTGCCAAGAGATTTGAAAATAAACATAATTTGCTTAGGCATATTAAGACAGTACATGAGGATTGTGGAGATTTTGCAGGTGACGAGCGCGAGAGAATATTTAATCGAAAATCGAATTTGATCTTCCACCAAAACACAGCCCATGAAGGTCGCAAAGATTACTCATGCGACAATTGCGAAAGGAAATGTGTGAGTAAATCAGATTTGTTGAAGCACCAAAAAACAGTCCATGAGGGTAGTAAGGACTACGCATGCGATAACTGCGAGAGAAAATTCGGACAAATGAGTAATTTAAGAAAACACCAAAAAATATTCCACAAAGGTCAGAAAGATTACACTTGCGATAAATGTGAGAAGACATTTGGATTTAAATGGATTATGATTCAGCACCAAAAGACAGTACATGAGGGTAGTAAGGACTACGCATGCGATAACTGCGAGAGAAAATTCGGACAAATGAGTAATTTAAGAAAACACCAAAAAATATTCCACGAAGGTCGAAAAGATTTTGCATGCGACATATGTGAGAAGAAATTTGGACAAAAAACGAATTTGTTAATGCACAAAAAGACAGTACACGAAGGTCGTAAAGACTACGCATGTGACAAGTGCGAAAAGAAATATGGAAAAAAACAGCATTTACAAGTCCACCAAAAGACAGTTCACGAAGGTTGCAAAGATTACTCATGCGATAAGTGTGAAAAGAAATTTGGGGAACGAGGCACTTTGATCAAACATCAAAAGACAGTCCACGAAGGTCGAAAAGATTTTGCATGCGACATATGTGAGAAGAAATTTGGACAAAAAACGAGTTTCTTAATGCATAAAAAGACAGTTCACGAAGGTCGTAAAGATTTCGCATGCGACAAATGTGAGAAGAAATTTGCATTAAAACGGATTTTACTTTCACACCAAAAAACAGTACACGAAGGTCGTAAAGATTATTCATGCGATAAGTGTGAAAAAAAATTTGGAGAAAAATCGAGTTTGATGAGGCACCAAAAGACAGTCCATAAGGTTCACCAAGATTATGCACGCAACAAAGAGCAAGAGGAAATTTGGAAATAAATCCGATTTTTTGAGTCACGAAATTACGGTTCAACAAGATCATTAAGATTTTGTGTATCTCCTTTGAATTTAAGTTGACAACGAAAAACAATCTATGAAATTCTCAGAATCAATCCTTCAGACAATTTTTACAACATTACGTATGTGATAAATACGTTATTTTTTCTCATAATCGATGATATGTGCAATTTTATCCAATTTCATGACAAATGATAATCCAGTACGAATAAATTGTGGCATAAACGAATTTCTCAAACTCATTGTAGACATAAATATAGTTTTTAAGAAAATAACGTTTCATCTCATCAGTGAACTAATAAAAAATACTGCTTTATCTGAAATGGTAAATATATATTGAAATTCGTATAGATGTTCAAGTACAAACTGTTCTAAAATTTTAATAAAACATCCATGACAATAAACAAGTTGCAATGATAGTTTATTTTTTGACCAGACCATATGTGATTACTAATTTTATAGAAATTTCCTAAAGTCTTCTTTGGAAGGCATCGAAATCATTTTTCAAGAAAAGTCGTTACTTTGAGAGAATCAGCCTCGTAAAATCGATGCAACGCCTATAGAAGCGCTGAAGAACGCTGCGGAGTCCGAAATCGTTACGTAAATCCGGTCAGCTTCCGGGCCATCTGTTGCAGGTATTAACTCGGTAGCGCAGCGATTAGAAAGTGTTAGCCGGTCGCTTTCGAACACTTTCGGAAGTGCGGAAGTTGCATATGCCTATAACCGTGTGCTTTTCTCATTATTGCCGCGTTTGCATACGCACGAGTGTATCCTATACTTCGGTGGCGCCGATCTCGCGAGCTTCGTTTTCCCCACCCAGGCGCATTTCTACGAGCGCTTGAAACCCAAAGGCTACTCGATTACGTTGAATTCATCGATTGACTTTCATTTCAATCGTTTTATTTTTCTGTCATTTGATTTTATTTCAGTTTTATTATTAAAAAGTTATAATTTTAAAACTTTCCCAATATATATGTAAAGAAATTATAATTTCTTAAATAAGTCTCGCACGTTCTGCGCATGTCGCGTGCTCGAGTGTCGGCTGTTGTTAATGCTTAATTGTAAATAGGTATCAGAGTTATAATAACAGTTGAAGAAACAGTATTGGAGAGAATAATATTTGAGAAATTGAGAGGAGATAGAATTGAACTTAAATTGTCGTTTCACTGTTTTTTAGGTGAGCTTGTATAAATTGTAAATAGTTGTATAATAATATGATAATATTTTATAATAATAAATAAAACACTGTTTTTTAGTGCAACATCATTGGTTTAATTTATCACCATAAACCATTGTCTTATATATATTTAATCATTTGTTTGTTTATGACTGCTCTTGAAATGATTTTGAATGGAATTTGAATGGAAAATTGTTTTATCATCGATCGTATTGTACAAAACCACGAATACAAGTACATAAAATTGATACTGAAGTGAAAATTGTAATAAAAATCTTAAATGCCAAAGTTTACAGTCAATTTCAAGTATAAAGTCAAAGTTTGAAAGATACTCTGTAAAACTTGAATGTTTTTCGATCCTAATAGCGCTATCACAAAATATGGGCGACAACTAAATATTTTTATTTAAGCGAGTCAATAATTTGACCCCAGGAGCTTTAAAGAACTTACAATTTCCAAAAATATGCTCAACTGAATTAATATCCTCGACACATTTACATTCGTCGTTGGAAACAATATTTTTTCGGGAAAACTACGTATAAATAAGTGATCACTACAGCTTTTCTCGGCAAGACGATACCTTTGAACCAGAGTTTTGAGCTTTTCGAGTAAAAATTTTTTAAGTAGAATGAGCCTTTTCCAATACTGAGATAGATGAGATCGCAAGTTTTTCATTTTCTTTATCACGTTCTCATTTAAATGCAGTAAAACAATCTCTAAAAATCGAGCTACCAGGGACCTCTTTATAAGAAAGAGCAAAGTTAGTTGCCCGTTTATATTTACCCTCTTATCAATCGTGGGTAAAGTAGAGAAATCGAACGAAGCGTTATCATTCGAGAAAGTGCGTAACTCGACCGCTGGCGCTGTAATCGCTCGTCGTAAGACGATATATAAAGTTACGCACAAAGCGCGTATCTGATCATCGATCAACTCGACGATCGAATTGCTGGGTATGGGGTCGAGTATTATATATCGCTTGCATCGGGCGATACAATGCGAGCTTTTCTCGATATACAAATCGATGCAGCGAACAATATAAGTAAGCTCCAACGCGAATAACGAGACATTTATCTCTATTCGTGTGCCTATCAAACTTCTCGTACGCAGACGGACGCACAAAGGGACAGTCGAGTCAGCGTATAATGTGTATACCTATAATGCAACGCGATAGCCGCTCGGCGCGTATAAAGCTTGCGCGCGCAGAAATCAATGCATCCCTCGGCGATTCTCACTATACCGCTGCTGCTGCTGCTACTAGTTCGCACCCCCCGAATCGTATCATAGTAGTAGTAGTATAGCCCAGCTTTTACCGGAGGCGGCGCAGTAGCATCATACACAGACACGCGAGCCCCAAATCCAGGAATCCTGTAATACACAGCAGCAGCAGTAGCAGCAGTAGTAGAATCCCGGGGAGCTCGGAGTCGTAGTCGTCGTCGTCTGCATCGTTATTATATACGCGCGATACAAAAGCATGACCGACGGCAGCAGCTACTGCGTCGAGCTTTCGCAAGCTCGATAATAATTTCGATCGATTCAAAGTGCGCGGGGAGGTGCGTGAATCCGCGTTAACCTAGTGGAAAATTCACCCGGTCGTTAAAAATCATTCGAAAACAAAAACAAAATGGACGAGAATCTGTCGCGGGGCTACGTCCAGCTCGGCAAGGCCAGAAGAATGAACGAGTTCAAGTTCAGCGATCATCATCATCATCATCATCATCATACGGCATCGGGAGGATCATCGGCTGGCGCTGGCGAAGGAGGAGGATTCGCGCGCGTCGCCCCTCCGGTCGACAGATGGAATCTCGTATACCTGTCGCTCCTGCTCGCTGGTGCTGGCTTTCTTTTGCCTTACAATAGGTGCGTGTGTGTGCAAATATCTCTCGTTTTATTATGTGAGTTGTTGCTCTCGAGCGAAAGTGACATTGAGCGTATATATAGTATGTATATGACGAATGCCGTTGAGAGTAAGAGAGTAAGAGAGTAAAAGAGAGAGAGATAATGTAGCGGGTGGCGTATGCGTGTGCTGCGAGCTTATACTACTGACACACATATACTCGTATCAGCTGACTCTCTCTCGACTTGAGAATCGTCGTACGTGTGTGTGTGTGTGTGTGAATACGAAGTTTTCCCCCTTTTTAGCAGCGAAGCGAGGGGTTCGCGTGTATATACGATGAATGTGTATACAGGGAGGGAGCAGCGAGACACGCGCGCGAGCCCAAAAATCAATGATACTACCTGTGCCACCGATTGTTTACACTTTTTTTTCTTCCCTTCTTGATGTGTTTATCAACGCACTTTATTTTTTCTTTCGCAGCTTCATCATCGCCGTGGATTACTTTCAGGATCGTTATCCCGGCACCACGGTGGTGTTCGACATGTCCGTCGTCTACATCATCACGGCCTTCTTCGCGGTGCTGCTCAACAATGTCCTCGTCGAGACCCTGTCGCTCGGCACGAGGATCATCTTCGGTACGCGTTTTCAATTATTTTTTTTATACTTTTTCTCACGTAAAATGATTTTTTCTTTGCTCCAGGATACTTCGTGTCGTTCGTCACGCTGAACTTCGTCGCCACGTGCGAGATACTCTGGGACCTGTTCAGCCTGTCCACCTCCTACACGATCAATCTCGTGGCCGTGGCCGTGGTCTCGCTCGGCTGCACGGGTAATTATCGCATCCATATAGTACTTATTATACTTATATGGGCTTACGACAGAATTTTATTAATTATTTAACGCGCGAGAAAAGAAAAACAAAGCAAATCGATCGTATCGATTGAACTTTCGTTTCTTATTTTTTTTATAATCTCACTTTTATGTCTCTCTTTTGTTTCGACACAACTGTAGTGCAACAGTCGAGCTTTTACGGCTTCACGTCGATGCTACCGAGCCGATACACTCAGGCAGTCATGGCTGGTGAAAGTGAGTATATATACATTTATATATGTGTAATGTAATAATGTACACTTCATTCATCATGTAGTACTACGCAGCTGTCAATATTCGGCAATTCGGCTCCTTTTGGCCGCAGCTTGCTCATTAATTATTACCATACATTACGATAAACATCGATTAAAAAGATAGAGATAGAGAGAGAAAATGTATGAAACAAAATCGTTCTGTCATCATCGCCGCGCACAGGTCTCGCGGGCTTCTGGGTGTCGCTCAATCGGCTGATCTCGAAATCGCTGATCGACGACGAGCGCGGCAACACCTCGGCCTTCTTCTACATGTCCATACTCACCATCGTGCTGAGCTACGTCATGCAAAAGATCATACACAAGACCGAGTTCGTGCAGTACCACGTGGCCCAGTGCCAGGAGAGGAATCGCATCGTCCTCGAGCCGCAGGACTATCAGGACGATCTGGCGGCAAGCGGACTGATGGACCCGACGATGGACGGCGGTAGCGCAGGGGGAGATAGCGCTTCGAGGGGACAGTACGGAGTGCTGAAGCTGCACACGAGCCCGCCGCCGAACAGCGAGACGACCGGAGCTGGAGACGGCGGGAGCGACAGCACGGGCCAGTTGTTCGAGTTCTCGTTCAGCAATCCGGTGTACGATCCGACGGCGCCGACATCTCAGCCTCCGCCGGGTATGAGCAGTGGCGGTGGAAGCAGCGGCGGCGGGACGACCTACAAGGTCGAGGACATCGTGGTGATGAGGGGTGGCAATTACGGCAACGAGCGCATACGGGCGCCGCCCTCGAGGATGAGCAAGCGCTGGTCGGGTATCAAACGTAAGCGCGAACTGTTTGTAATTTATATGGTTGTAGAAGTCGATGGGTACATGAGAAAATTTGCGTATAAATTATTGCACCAACGGTAGAAATTTTATTGGATATTTCGTGTACTTGATTGGTTGTATTGAAAGAAGCATTGAATATATGCAATTTTGATAAAATCAATGTAATCTATGAAATATCAGATGCAAGAATTATATCATTCAGATGAAATATTAGACCAATTTAATTGAATATAACGAAAAAGTACCTCTGTCGAAACAATACAACAATTAAGTATTACTTGAAAATATTCAATTACATCAATTTCTATGTTATAGCAAATTTTATTGTGTAATGTTGTAAAATTTAATTTTAAACATCAACTCTTTTGAACATTTTCGTGTATATCCTTCGGTTAATATTAAGAGGGTAACACACCTGTAATATTTTTCAAAACTAAATTCTCTTTTTCGCGAGAAAAGGTTTCTTTTGAGTGTCAAGAATCATAGGTCCCAATGATTTTATAAGATGAAAAAATAATTTGAAGTTGCTCTTTTTATTAATTTTCTCTACTTATACTCATTTCTTGAAAGATTTTGTTTTCAATGTCTCGGAAAATCATTAAACGGATTAAGTTAAAACGTGTACTATAGCTTCAAAGTAATTTATGAAAGAGTTTCGTAGACGTTTTTCGATTCGTTCATTACTATGATTTTTTAAAACAATTTTCGGAAACATTTTTGACGAAAATTTAACTTTTTTAAAAAGCGTCCATTTACAATACTTTATTTAAAAAAGTCTTCAACTTCAATATAAACTTAGTTTCTTATTTCCATGGGCTATTTTTGAATTTCAGCAATGTTAAACCATTCTAGGGTGGTCTCACCTCTCGACGTATTAATTTTTCCTACAGAATTTTTCTCGCTTTAAATTCACTCTGTAACCATAAACTCATTTATTCTTCCACAGGCGGTATGCTGGCTCGCCTCGAGGTCTCCAAGCTCATCTACCCGTACATGGCCAGCATCGGCATGGCCTACTTCGTCACTCTCTGCCTCTACCCGGGCATCATCTCGGAGATCGCCTCGTGTCGCTTCGGCTCCTGGATGCCCGTCATCCTCATGGCCTGCTTCAACGGGGCCGATCTCGTCGGCAAGATCCTCGCCACCCTGCCCATCCAGTGGACGCGCTCGCAACTGCTCAACTTCTCGTTCTCGCGTCTCTTTCTCATCCCCCTCTTCCTCATGTGCGCCATACCCCGTTACGCCCCCATCCTCCGCTCGGAGCTGTCGCCCATCGTGCTGTCGATCGTGCTCGGCCTCAGCAACGGCATATTCGGCAGCGTGCCGATGATACAGGCCCCGGCCAAGGTGCCTGAGGAGCTACGAGAGCTGGCCGGCAACATCATGACGCTGTCCTACACGACGGGCCTGTGTCTGGGCTCGATCATGGCCTACATGTTCGAGGCCTGCCTCGGGCCACCGGTGACTTTTTGGCGGCTCTGCGCACCACCACCGCCATCACCCGTCACGACGACGACGACCAACAGCACGCACATCTTGACCAGTCATTTATTCACGTTTCATCCGTACGGCTTCGCGACGAGCACTCCGAGACCAACGACTACTACTACTACTACTACTGCGTCGACGACGAGGGCGGCTACGACGATGGCGAGCTTACTGAGCACGAGTCTGGCGAGTCTGGAAAGAATGACGAAGAAGCAGCGAACGAAATTGCCGAAACTCAGAACGACGACGACGACGGCGATGACCACGACGCTGACGAGCCTCTTCACCACGGCCTACATGACGACGATGGAGGCCAACTCGGAGGTCGGATTGATCGGCAACGTGACCCGATTGGTGGCCAACGCCACGGCGCAGGCGTTCGTCAACGCCGACTAAATCCTGTGTACGTGTGTATATAATATAGCGCGCGCGTGTGTGTGTACATAATTATTTTTTCGCGCGAGCCGCGTTGTAAATATTTTACGATTTAGGCCGTTGTAACGTTTTGTATAAACCTATATACCTCCCCCGTTTTCAAAACACGTCTGATCGTAAATTTAAATTTAAAAAAAAAACCAATTTACTACCTCATATACCTACCTCTGTGTAAACTTGTGATATATACGATTCCAAAGAAAACGAAAAACATAATGATAAAAAAATTGATATCTCTAGTCACCCCCCGTAACATATCACGGTACGTAATCTTGAACGAAGAACCAATATCATTGGTCGAGACTGCTGTATTCTTCTTCTTTTTTTTTACTATAAATGTGTATAGTATATTAATCGACGATTAGGATATAAAGGAGAATATATATGTACATTTATTATAAGATTTTTTCTCTTCTCCTTCTTCTTCTTTTTTTGTGCGTCCATTGCCCGCGTAATAATAATATAATTCCTCATAAACCCATTACCTCGATTTGCAAAGGTAATAGCGACGACGATGCCGATGACACTGAATTAATCCGGTATAATAATCCTATACACGTGTTCCTTCCTGAATTTCGCGCGTACAACACGTACAGTACTACTACTCTCACGTGCCGATCGCTATATGTATAAAATAAGTGAGAGGGAGAAAAATTTCTCGCTCGCGGATTTAATGGTTGTAAATATCGTATAATACAAAAGGTGCCGGTCGTTTATAGCGCGCGACATTATTATATACGTATGTTGGCGATGTGGACCTCGAAGGTTGCACCTCATTACACGCGGTTGAGGCTCTTCCTATATAATATTAACAAAAAAAAAGAAAAAAAAAAGACGAAGAAGGATAATGTGAATTCCGTGTAAACAAAAATAATTATGACGCGCGCTCGTTTATCGACGCGCGAGTGGAAAAAAGAAGTGCGTATTTTTCACCTCTCTCTCGCGATGGAATGCGAGAAACTATTTCACCTGTTTTATACGGTCTGCGATGATCGATGCTGGATCTCTTTTTTCCTCGATATACCTGTACGTATAAGTGTAATATAATACGACCATATCTATGTAATGAATGTTAAAACCAAAAAATATCAAAGGAAGAAGTTGTATATTGTTCTTGACGTAATGCGCAAAGTGCAGATAAAAAGCTGGTTTATCTATCCCTGGTAAAAATGCTTGATATTTCGTGGCTAGTTTTTTGACGAACGAAAAAGTTTCTTGAACTTAGAAACTGAAGAGTGAAATCTTTCATTTCAATCATTTTATGATCTTGTAATGCCCTATGTTCAGTGAATGACCACTTTTTTTACGATACAAAAATGCTCTTACAAGAGTAGGTTTTCTGCATTTGAAAAGGAGTACAGTAATTATATTAAATTGGTTATTTTGAATTCAATAATCCAGGCATTAATACTACAGGTTACTTTGATCTTGCAATGACTTATACAATACTTTGACATTGTCACTTGCAGATTCGTAGGGGTAATGGTACTCGCCATCTAGTGGTGGAAGCTGGCTACAATCTTTACAAGTTTCGTCACAAGAGTTATAACTCTTGAAAACCATGCTCCGACTTATACAACTATTTTGACTTTGCTACTTGCAGGTTTACAGATGAAGATACTCGCCATCTAGTGGTGAAAGCATGAACCGGCATTATCGTAGTAAAGTGCTTAAAATTTAGTCTAAATTTTTGGAAACAAATCATTTCAAATGCGCATAATACTTTTAACGTAAGTGAAGCCAACAGTAAAAACATCGGAAACAGACAATTAATGATCATGTATTCTTGAAAATTTTAAATGGTAATTTTTTGGTCATCGGATCATTGGTAATGTTGAGCATTTCTACCAGGGTGTGTATATGAGTAATTACATTTTTGAGCTTCTAAAATATATCAATGTTAACGCTGTTCTTATAGTACTGTTTTTCATATAAATATATATATATTATAGGAAATAAATATAATTCATTAGTTTTCCAAGTGTAATTAGCATTTTGTTAAGTTTACAAGAAAATGGACAAAAAAATAAATATTATTTTCTTATATACAACTTGAAGAACTTTGGTACATTGTTATTGCACGATTTTATTAGAGCTTTTGAATCAAGCTCACTCGATTTTTTCAAAGCAAAGGGCACAAATTTCTCACTCTTTCTAATTTCTTATCGACCTGCATCTTTGATTGATCACCATAAAAATTAAAATCAAAATGAAAAATTTATCGAGCGGCCTTCCACGTTACAGTTTTTTGTAATATTAGGAATTTTGTGCGAGCATTTTTGCCGCTTGACCGTGCATAACATATTCGCGATGAAATTCGTATTATTATGTACAAAAAAAATTCGATATTTCCTATGTATCTTTGGAGTGAACTCATCGGATGACGATATGATATATTTTTATATAACGACGTCGACGAAGCGATTCCAAATGGATTATGACATTATTAGGTAATATGTTATTAGTAAACAATGATTAAATGTGCGTATGTTCTTTCTCGTTAAAAAACAAATTAACGAATGAAGCAAAAAAAAAAAAGATTCGTTGGCAATACAGTCAATTCATGCGTTTTAATATTGTATTGTATATAAAAATAAAGATGTCAAATATAACAACGGAGCAAAAACAATAAAAATCTTTTTGGACTAATTACTTACACGCTCGTCAGCAGATATTATATTATTAAAAAAAACAGATAATTAAGAGTATCATCAGCTGCCTTGAAGCGTATAAAAATGTTATTTTTTTTCTGACCGATCTTCTGCTGCGGTTTTGGGATCTTGGAATTTATCGGAATTTCTACAACTACTATAATTGTTTACCTTGCTCCGAATTAAATGAAAAAAAAAAATCAAAAAAGGATCAACGATCTCCTCGGGCGCGTGTAAAATAATGCGCGTAGGAATTTTTACGATCTAAAAATACGATAAATTATTTTATTTTATTTTTTTTTACGCACGTTCGCGCGTCGTCCTTTTTCTCGTTTTCCGCTTTATTTTAGACAAGGTAAACGAGATCATTGTAAATTTTCATCGTTAATATGTAAAAAAAAGTTGCGCTTCACGCATATCTGTATATTTATATTAAAAAAAATATATATGAAATACCATACTGGAAATCTCGTCGAGGCTCTCCTCTCTCGTTTCGCGAAACCCATCGTCGGCTCTTAATGCGAAAATTAATCTGCGAATTACCAACCGAGGAACGAAGTTTAAAGATTCGCGCGAATGTATATACGCAATTCACGTTTTCAAGTACGTCGGCAAATCCTTAATTCCTCTTTTCAATTCTTCATTCTTTATCTTTTGATGCAGTGGATTTCAATAAGGCAGAGAGAGTACAAAACTTCATCTTTGTAAGAACACCCAATTATTATTATTTATTATTAATATACACAATAATACATCATTTTTTTCCCCTTCGCCCCTTACCCGATACATCAGCTGTCACAATACCATATTTTATAATATATATATACACCTAGATGTACGTATCACAGATCATTTATTATTAAGAAAAAGAGAGAGAGATGAGAGAAGAGATTTCACTTCGTAAACTTGACAGGCCAATCTGTCCGCGCCGTAGTCGTCGTCGTCGTAGTCGTCGTCACACCGTTCGCAGGCCGATTATTCAACAAGCCATTAAGCAGCAGCTTATTTGCAGGTTCTGCAACACAGGCAGGACAGACAGAGAACGCAAAACACGCGCGTTAAAAGATTATTATTGGTACACACTACATACAATAATCGATCTCGATCGATATTATCGCAAAAATCGTTATGAATTATTCAAGTTTTTTTTTTCAGTCGCGTCGCGGTGGGAGATTAAAAGCGAGAGATTCATACTTATGTTCTGTGTACCGTAAACGCTGGGATAAGGCAGCCTCGTGTTTTGCTGCTGCTGCTGCTGTTGCTGTTGCTCGATGGTCGACAATCGACCTCGCAGCGCTGGCTGCTGCTGATGCCTAAAGGGTTGAATCACGGCTGTGCTCTGATGAGGATGATGAGGATGATGATGCGGCTGCGTTTCCCTCATGATGCTCGGCCAGTAGGCCGCCGAACTCGCGGACTCTATCTTGGTAGCCGCCGCTGCGGCGCTCGGCGGCATCGGCAGTCCGCTGCCCGAGTGGGCCGCCTCGCTGTTGGTCCTGTGAAATTTTTTCAAAGCACTTGGCGGATTAATCGTAGCGTCGGCGCTCGCGTCATGTTTACAAAGTAATACGGCGGATCGCGAGAGAGCTTTTCGGGAAAAAGCTCGCGATCCGCCGTCGATATCCACAACAACAACAACAACTTACGAACGAATGAATAATGTAATAGGAGAAATTTTTTTTTTTTCAATCGAACTGAACGCAGACACAATTGGTTTTTATTTAGGTAGGACGTAAAAGTAAAAAATTAAGAACGATTTATTTAAAAGTACACAATACAGTAGACGAGCGGCAGCGCGACAGAGCCGACGATCAACAGTACGCGGGTGGTGGATTTTTTATCGAAGCAGCGAGTGGCTCGAGCCCGTCTGAAGAGCTGATTGCAGCAAAAGATCAGCAGCTCGCAGGCCATGATCGCCACACTGAACAGGAACAACTTTTTCCAATTGGTCAGCTCCTCGACGTAGCTGGAGCAGCAATCGCAGGTGGAATTGCTAATGTCGTTATCCTTGTCTTCCAACTCATCCATCTCCATGGGCATCGTCGTCTCCATGTCCTCCTGGACGTTCTCGCGAAATCGCAGAAAATTCGCGATGATCCGCGGATCGATCGGCGATCGGCCGTAATTGGCCAGCAGATGGCCGAGATAGCGCAGAATCGAGGCGACCAGTAGCCAGATCAGCTCGCAGCAGAGCGCCAACAGTTCGCGATAATCGAGCTTGCGGAGAATCTCGACGAGCTGATGCGCGTCGATGCGTCGTCCTCGTCGATAATAATAATCGTCGTCTTCCTCCTCGTCTTCGCCGACGAAGTCGTTGTTCACGTTGAGCTTGGTCCAGGTGGTGGTCGCCGCGGCGACCAGATTCACCAGGCAAAAGGCGACGATGACCAAGTGCAACGGTTGGACGTTGTTGATGAACGCGTGGCTGCCCTCTCGACTACTGCTGCTGCTCATCGAGCAGAAAGAGGAGGAGAGGACAAGGAGACACAGGGACCAACAGAGAAAGGGATGTACGTGTTTCAGCGCGCGATGAAGGAGAGATGAGAGGAATGAAAAAAAACGTATATGATTGATTCTCCCGAAATACCTGCTTTGTTGGGTATTGAAAATGTAAAAATGGTGAGAATTTTTTTTCGCATTGAACGGCGCGAACTAATTTACCCTTTTTTTAAACCATAAAATATGAGTGACCATTGAATCTGGAGCCTTGGAAAAATAAGAAACGCACATAATTTTCCGCACAACCCGAAATTCGGTCATGAAAAACGACTCTTTTGACAGTGCAAGCAGTTGAAAAGAATGATCCTAGCTCAAAATATTCATGTCCGGGGAGGGGGCAGTTTTTTTCAAACACATGAAGTTTTCAACAGAATAATTATCACTGCTTTACTAACATGTAAAATTTGAACCCACAAACTACACTAATCGAAAATTGGGACATTTTTCAATTGTATGATAGATTTTTTTAAAACACTTTTTAAAGCCCTATGCACACTTAAACTTTACTTTGGATGTATAGAACGTGGTCTCGTAGTCTTCATAGGGCCAAGCGCTCATGAAAATGCATGGTATACACAAATACGAGTTGATTTTGTGATTTAGACACGCCACGGAGGTGACATTTGGCAGAATGTACATCTCCACGGCAAATTTAACTGGCACTAAAAAATTGAAATTTTTTATGTCCGATCAGCAGAAATACAACAATACTGAATGAACGACCGAGCCAATTTTGGCTTTAACTTTTACTATTTTAAAAACACGGCATGTAGTCATGCAAAAAGCAGATTTCGGGAGAATCAACCATATACGAATTCATCGAAACGTGTGTCAAAACTGTACCTGGACGGCAGCTGACTGGGCGACTGCGCGAGGCCGTATCTCGCGGGCATCTTGGCCGAGACTCGGCGGCCGTGAGCCGCCGCCGACACGACGTTTTGGCCGAAAATCGTCGACGTCGTGGCCGAGGGTTGTTGCTGCTTGACGCGATTGTTGACGTGCGGCATCTGCTCGTACCAGCCGGGCAAGTTGGTCCTTTGGTGTTGTTGATGGTGCAACTGGCCGCTACCCAAGCCGCTGAGATTGTCGGCTTGATGATAGTTTCCGTTCCAGTTGGCTCGATTCTCTTTGTAGACTCGCTCGGGTAGTAGCCTCGACTTGACGTCATCGCGATTGAGGATATTCCTAGATATATGAAACGAATAAAAAAGGGCATAAGTTAGATCTCTTCTTCTCTTATTGTTTTTTTTTATTATTTTTCATTTATATCATTTAAAACTTTCTACCAACTTGCAACACATTAATTTTGCATCGTACATCTCTAAAACTCACCCGAGCAACTCGTTGGCGAACTCGTCGTCGTCCCATTTCTTCTGAGTCGGCAATTGTCCGGTGGCGCTCGTCCCGTCCTTTTTCAAGCCAGCTCGCGCCAGCAGCGGCAGTCCGTTCTGGACCAACGGCTGCACCGGCTGGATCACCTTCTGCTGCCTGATCAACGTCGCTTCCGCCGATGCTCTGCAATGGTGCGAGGGATGGGGATAGTGTGTGTGTACGTAGGTTGGTACCACAAGGGGCGGGGGTTGTTTTTTACGGACAATTTTTCACTTGTTTGCGTTTGTTTCTTTTAACGTCGTTTATAGCACAAGCGCTGCATAGAACGGAACGGAAACGAAGAGAAAGAGAAGAAGAAGAAAAAAAAAGAAAGAAAAAGAAAAAGATCCGCTGTACTATGAAGATAGCCAAGAAAGCAGTAGCAGAGAACGTGTCGACGCATCGATCGCACACCCACCTGTTTTCCGCGCCGCTGCCTATCGTCTTGACGCTGCCGTTGCCGTTGGGCAGCTGCTGCTGTTGAACGAGGCCAGCCTGAGGCGGCGGCAGATTCACCTTGTTCATCACGAGCTCGCGCTGGGCCGACATCTTTTTGCCGGTGATGAGGCGCTGATTGCCCAATTGAAAGTACGGATACCTGCGGTAGTACGCGCACGATCGAAAGTGAAATTGTCATAGTAGCAGCAGTAGTGGTATAAATGTGTACTCTGGCACTCGAGGTTGACTGTATAACGTTTGTTTGACTATAGACTCGAGTGCATCGAGCGAGCGCACTTATGGTTATAGGCTTATATACGAATGTAGCTCAAGATCAAAGGCCACTTCGGAAGGAGGAGCATTACGATTGTCTGTGTACAAAGCTACATAATATAAACCAAGTGCCTCTGCCTTATTCACTCGCGCGCGATGCTTTCTCTCGTAAATTAAAGAAGATGTATACGTCCGCGCGATGACAGAGGTCGAGAAAATTGAAAATTTTCGATACGCGATATCGCGATATTTATCCGTTTAAAGGGACGAACCAGTGTGCAAATAAAATGCAAATTAAAAACATGAAAATTCAATGTCAATTTTGACATTTTTACATTGTTAATGTAAAAATATTTTTTGCAAGTTTTTTTACGTCGGAAAATACTTTTAATTATTTGAATTAGTTCAGTATTAATCCATAATGAATTTTGATAACTAAGTGTTATGCCGACATATTTCAATAAAAGGCTAGTTAAATTTTTGACGTACTAAAATACAAAAAAAAAGTCAAAAATTAAAGTTAGACATCATTATACGGCTTTACAATCATAATTCATAGTAGATAGTCCCTGAACTAATTTTAGTAATCGAAGGTATCAACATTAAATTTTCACAATTTTTCAATTTACGGGCTTAAACACTGGTTTGCCTCCCTAATATTTTTCTAGGCAATCGCGTATAGCCCTTTAAAAAACATCTTTCTTTCATAACAGTAAAATTATCTTCCATTGCCCCGTGTTTTGTGTAATAAAATTAAATCTTGTCATCAATTGGAATAAAAGGGCATTAGTCAGATGTTCAAATTTCTTTATTTTAACGTCGTTTCGGTCCCTAGTTCATCCGAAGAGGGTCATGAAAATAAAGAAATTTGAACATCTGACTTGTGCCCTTTTATTCTAATCGATGACAAGATTTAATCTTACTATATTCGTTACCTCAGAGCTTGCTGAGCCGTGGGCCTCTTGGCCGGATTCCACTGCAGCATGTCCTCCATCAGCACCACCGCCTCGTGTCCCGCATTGGGTATCAGCACCTGCAGCGACGTCCTCGTGAAATTCGGAAATCGAAAGTTCATCGCCGCCGCCAGCTGATATCCCTCGGGCCAGTCCTGCCTGTCGGGCGTCCCGATCACCGAGCATATCTTGAATATCTCGTCGATCTCGCTCTTGCCCGGAAACAACGGCCTGAACGTGTACAGCTCGGCCATGATGCAGCCCACCGCCCAGACGTCGATGGGACTGTTGTAAGAGGTCGAGTGGAGGAGAACCTCGGGCGCCCGATACCATCGGGTCGACACGTAATCCGTGTAGGGCGGCCTCGAGCGTATCTCTCGGGCCAGGCCGAAATCCGCGATCTTCACCAGCTCCGGGCCCATGCAGAGCAGATTCTCGGGCTTCATGTCGCGATGAAAGAAGCCGTGCTTGTGCATGAAGGCCAGACCCTGCAGCACCTGGAACACCATGTTCTTGATGGTCGGCTCGGGGAACAGCTTGTCCCTATCCTTCATCAGCTGATAGAGATTCTCCTTCATGTACTCGAAGACGAAGTAGAGGACGTCGTTCTCGCGTATCACCTCCTTGAGCTTGACGACGTTGGCGTGGCTGAGCTTCTTCAGGGACTTGACCTCGCGCAGATTCATGGCCTCCTCCCAGCTGTAGTACTTGCGCTTCATGCGCTTGATGGCGACGCGCTCGCCCGTGTCGATGCGCTCGCCGAGCACCACCGAGCCGAACGTACCGTCGCCCAGCTGATTCAGCTGGATGTAGCGATTCATCGTCATGTAATAGTGTCGTTGTGATTATCCTTTTTTTCTTCTTTTTGTTTTATTTCATTGTCTTTGCCGTTGCTGCCGCACTCCTGCTGGATTTTCGTCTCGCGCGCATCTGCGTGTCGAAAGATATACAATTGTTATTATTATCGTTACGTATATTTACGAGGAGATCGAAGCGGGTCAAAGGCTATATACGTGCATTATAATTATTATTCAAGTGCATTGCATTATAGCGCACACTACCTTGTCTCTTGAAATATTCAAGGTCCGATGCGGGAGGCGTGTCGTCGTCGTCGTCGTCGTATTAACTTGGTTCGCTTCTCTCTTTATTTCTGGGCTGCTGCTGCTGTCTCTTTCTTTTTTTTTATCTCGTCAATGATTCACGAACGAGAGCGAGAGTGTATCGAGTTCACTTCTCTTCGCGACGCATCTTTGCATAATACCTGAAACACGCAGCAGCACGTGAGAGAGAGAGGCGGATGAAAAAAAAAGAGAGAGAGAATTTAATACATAATTTTCTTTGTTTCTGCCTTTTTTCTTTATATTCGCGACTAATCCCGGCGTATATATGTAGGCCCTGCGTGTGCGTCGTTGTATAATACATATAAATATTGGGTTATGTAATGTAACGCCAAACTGGAATTTTTTTTATTGTTTATCGTGCGTGTATCTATAGGTATACATTTTTTTTTCTTTTATTATTATTACGAAGCAGACACGGGGGAGAACGACGCCTAGAGAGTCGTTTGGGATCCGTCGCACTCTCGGTCGAGGATTTATAATATCTCGCGCAAAAATCTCTTTTTTTAACGCGGGCAAAATGATACCCGCGTAAAAAAATTTAGGTTTCGCGGAACTTTTTTTAAGTTTGGCGATTTTGCCGAATTTATATGAACTTCATATGAACTTTGGCCCGTGAGACTCTGCCAAACTTACGTTTTCATGGACTCATTGATTGTGCAAGTTTGGCGAAAGTTTCGCATAAGTTTTGCGAAACATTCCGTAAAACTCATATAAACTTTGTAGAAACCTTGGCCCAAACGACTCACCAAACTAACATCTTCGTAGAGCCATTGATAGCAAAAGTTTCGCGAAACTTAATGTACATTTTGCGTAAATTTCTGCATTCCGCACAGTTAATATACACTTCGTACGAACTTTCGTTCATACAACTCGCTAAACTTTGCTTTTTGTAACTTGGAACTTTTTTCCAAGAAATCAAAAAAAAGTTCGTCTCGATACGATGAATATAGACAAAGATAGATAGAAGCATTTGAAAATTGACAACATTTTGATGAAACTTTTTTTTCAATACTTTTGTTGAGTAGTGTAGCATGTCCCGAACAAAAATTGTTTATATGAAAAATCGTAAATATTTATAAAAAACTAAAAAATTACTATAAATTACAATTAATGAATGTCTGATTTGGCTTTTTATTGGTTTTCAGCTTCAATAATAACTTTTTCATAAATATCTTATTTTTGTGTCCGACGTAAATTACGCACATGGCTCAATTGGTACCGTTCACGACTCCCACTCTCAAGGACCCAGGTTCAAATCCTACCCGCGGACTCTCTCAAAAAAATCTTTAACACAAAAAAATCTTTTAAATGCCTGCGAAGTTTTAATCGATTATCTAATTCTTCATTAAGCCTACACTGGAAGCTAAGAAATGAATAATTTTTTTTATTATTCATTAATGCTTGAAATGAAAATTAAACTTTCGCGAAACTATCGCGAAAGTTTCGCCAAACTTGCACTACTAGAAGTCACCGAAATCAAAGTTTGGCGAGTCTCATGGCCCAAAGTTCATATGAAGTTTAGATCAACTTGCGGATTTTAAGTTTCGCAAAAGTTTCGCGAAACGTGAATTTTTTTTACGCGGGTATTCCGAGGAAGTTGATGTATTAATGCGACATAGATATTCCGCGCGCATTTTTTTTATATAATAATATCGTCGCGCTGTAGTTATACGTGTGTGCGTGTGCATTCCACGGGCGGCTCGTAAACTTGTTGACCTTACACCATCTGCTCCAAGACAGAGTGAGAGAGAGAGAGAGAGAAGAAGCAATGGCGAGCCGATCATTTTTCGACTCCGGATCGGGAGAAGAGAACTCGCGGATGAACGAAAAAATAATGCAAAAAATGTGAAAAACTTCGACTTTAAAGAAGTTATATCAATTTCCTATGCCGCGTACGGTCATCGTGTCTCTCTTTCGATCGGTGCGTGTGTAGGACGACCGCGTACGGCGCGGCAAACGGGTCAGGGTAATGAACGCAAAAGCGTATTATATAGCTCCGAACGAATAATCGCGAGCTTGAAAAATTTAATTATTTTCAATGCGGAATCGAGAGACGCGTTTGTATCTTTGTATGAATATACGCCCGCGATCGCGATCCCCGATCGTTAACGAGCATCTCTTATAATCGCAGCGATCGCCTCGATCGATCCTCCTGCGCGCGCGCTTACATGATACATAAATATATATACAAAACAAAACACAGAGAGAGAAATTTGCATTCGATACGATCGGTTGCGCTCTGATTTACTTATATAATTTATTGCGCGAGATTATTCATAAATTATTTTTCTTTTTTTCTTTCTTTTATAATACATTTCGATTGATAAATATTTTTTTTTTTATTTTCATTTTTTCATTCTGCTCTCGGGCCTGTCGTAATGTTTAATAATTGGATAATAACGCCGTGGCGCGCGCGCGCGCGCATTATATGCCCGATGGAAGCTCGAAAATCAGCAAATAACAGCCTAAATTAATAGGAACGACGAGAGAGACGATTATTGCGTTATATCGCGGCTCGAAGGCGTACGTAATTTGCATGAATAACGAATGCTCAAAACTTACGCAAAGGCCACTTGGCCACGATGGAATCTGGTTTAGAGAAAACGACTACAAAGGCAGCAGCAGCAGCAGAAGCAAAAAAATCTCTGCCTCTTCCTTGTGAAAAAAGCGAGAGAGAGACGGAGATAGAGAGACGGATAGACGGTCGAATTTTGGCGTTATGTAAGAGGATTTAGGGGATTTGTGGACGTTATTATGGGCAAGAAGGCGCGCATCCTTGAAAACATACAATTTTTATTCTGCGTTATAAAAACAAAGAAGGACAACACGAGACTCTGTCATGGTCAAATTTCTAACGTGGTGGTAGTAATGACCAGCAAGGATTTTCTCCGGGGTGTGCAGCATCAGCCGAAGCGTACGTGATTTTATTTCAAAAATGTGATCTTGAATATCAACGAGTCGTTATTGAGCTTAAATTTTTCCTGAAAAAAATAAATCTACGCATTTATGCCGGACATTCCTATAAACTAAAAAAAACTAAATTAAAAACAACAAAAAAATACAAGTCATTTAGGCATGAAATTAAAATCGTTAAAATACCTTTACCGTAAAATCACTAAACGGCGCAGTGCGTCAACAACTAGAGGAATTATACACGCACGTCGTCGCCACCTTTTCCTCCGGCGCATGTATAGCGGCGCAAGAGGGTGTCGATGTTATATACATGAATTATACATAACAAAGCCATTCGATATCGCTTGACAATTTTTTCAATTCTTTTGCAGTTGCTGTTTTTTTTTTCAATGACCAACTCGACCGATCGATTCTTTGAACCGGCTCTAAGCAAAGGTTAATATACTCCAAACGGTGTCGTGGGTGTGTGTGTATGCGTGTGTGTTCGCGCGCAAACGTTAGACGAGAGAGAAAGTTTATGGAAAAAAAATATTAGCCCGCGAAATTAGAGACGTCTGGAGCAGGATTTAACTTATTGCCGATTCTCGAGGCGTGCATTATTATTATAAATTTTCGAGAGTTATTTATGCTTTGGAATGATAAGACGATTAATGGAATGATCCTTGATCGTATCGGGCTGAAATTTTATTCATCGCGGAAGACTTTATTTTTCGTGTTATTTTCAAAAAAAAATATTGAGTATAAATAAATAAATAATTAATTAATCGATTAAAAGGTATCCGAGCATCGGTCGGAAAAATAATAATCGTTAAAACCAACGTGTCTATTGCGTTAGATTTTAAAATATTCCGTCTACTCGCGCGACACGTTTATTGCTGTCCTTCGCTTCGAAATAAATCAAGATCAAGTGCTCGAAAACACGTCGTTAGTCGCACTTGCTTTGATTTCGAGAAAAAAAAAACTTCACCAGCTCGCTTCGCGCTTAGAACAAACACACACAAACACATTGGCCAATCTAATTATGCCGATTGAGCCGAGGCCAAAAAAAAAACTAAAATCCCGCTTATTTAATTAGTTCAAACACGTCTCGTGACCCCCGTAACGATCGTTCCAGAACTATAGTCCCGAAATCCGCGTGTACTCTCGACGGCGTCTCTCGAAGTTGGAAGTCGAGCGCCACTCCTTGTACACTTGCCTGTGGACTATGCAACAATAGATGACAAAAAAAAAGATGTATATAATAAGCTCGGTGTATCGATTTAACTAGGGTCTTGGATACGCCGCTTCATCTCCTCTTTTTTCCGTGTCTCTAAGGAAGAAAAGTAGCACGCGGTGACTAGAATCTACGTCTAAATACTTGCATACGATTCGAAATGAGAAAAGTGATTGTTTTGGCGGGCTTCTGCGTTTCGCGCGCGAAATCTGCGTTACTTTCTTTCGATAAAAATACGCTCGTATATGTGTAACAAAATTTGTTTTGCGAGACATCGAGATATTTTTTTTGTCATTAACATCTTAATTGCTTTATTCATTAATCGTGCGTTGGTAACCGTGTGCGCACTTGCCAAATTTATCCAGTATTTTCTTTCTTGTGCCGAAATTTTCCCTATATAAAAATAAAAATTAATAACCGAACGATTTCACGAGCGATGGTATGGTGTCCGCCACGTATTATGTCACGTATGCGGCAATTTGAAGTATATTGAACTCTTTATAATCCGCGAATTTTATTTTAGGTAAAAAAAGCACATTCGTTATTCCGTAATTTTTTTGAAAATTTAAGCAGCGACACGCGCATAAATCACTCGTAATATTCACGCTCGCCGTATGTGCTTGTAACATTAATCGTTGGGTTTCGGTGTGAACACGCATTAAGGGAATCGTAAAAAAAAATTCAGGTGTAATATAATAAGACGATGAATTTTCAATAGGTTCTCGAACGGCCTTGGATTATCTAATATGAGATTCGCATATGTATAAGTACGAATCGGCGGAGTCAATGAACTTTTCTTCCTTCTCTCTCTCTCTCCCTCTCGCGCTCTTGGCATTAGAACGAATCGATGCTTCCTTTTAATTCTAATACACGCAAACGTTATTCGCGTATTTTTTTTAACGAGAGACAGAGAGACGAGATCGAATCGAAAGTTTTGCAGTCTGTGGGCTCGTCTCGAGTTAGAAGCAATCGATGATGAATAATAATAGCGGCTAATCAGCCCAATTAGCATATGGGTTGCGCAAAGTTTGGTCAGGCTGAACCCGCGCACGGCTCAACCTGTGTCAGACGAATATTTTAGGCACATGTATGTATTATGTACATTTAAATTGCCTAAAATGGAATCAAAACACTGGTTAGTTAGTCGTTGGCCATTCGCATTCAGAACTAATGAGGTTTTCTGGATTGATTAATGCAAAATAATTCACGCTCGAGATTTTCGTTCATTTAGGATAAAATGAAAAATTAGCACGTACTAATCTAGGTATTGGGTAATCTGCGCAATTGTAAATCGGCAATTAGATTTAAGAAGCAAAAAAATTGCAGAAGCACGAGCAATTATTGAATCATAGCTATTAAAAAATAATTTTCGAAGACTTTCCGAAATCCTTCCAAGAAGCGATAATGTATTATGGAATCTATTTCATCAAGAGTTAAGTCAGATGTTCTTGAATTAATGCATTCTACCGATTCACACATTTTTAGGAGATATCAAAGCCGCAGGCTCTAATATAAATATTTAAAACTCTTTTTCTGAAATTTTCAAAAAACGAAGTGGATCCAGAAAAATATTGAATGGAAATCTCAAAAAGTCTGTTCAACACCAATCAATTCAAAGCCCATCGCGAACTTTTTTTAAAAATAAATAAAAACACACGCTCTCCAAGGCCGTTCAAAGAGAAGAAGAGAATAAATAAAAACACAAAATTGAAAATTAGAACGGTAGGACCTCGAACTGAGAGACGGAGGGAATTATTCAGCGAAGAAGTTGTAAAAATTTTATGCCCGAAAGATAGAATTTCGCGATCGATCCTCTGCTCATGAATATGCGAAATGTATAAACGTCGCGCTAATATTTAAGAGCGACGGTCGACGATCAACGATTAGTTTCAACGTTCAAACAAGCCCAATACGTCTTAGTTCGATGGTTTATATTAAAAAAAAAAGCGATTATAATAATAAAGTTTGTCGAATTTATCAAAAAATTCAAGGCAGACCGGGGCGCTGCGCCACGACGGCTTTCGCCTCTTCTCTGAGGCTTCTCCTTGCGTCTCACATAATAATGTATGTATATGCCTCGAGAGGTGAGAGAGAGAGATATACATATACACACGAGGAAAAAAAAATGACCAAACGATGCGCGATTACCGCGCGGCCGAGCGAGAGAGAGAGAAAGGTCGGATGACACTGTGAGAGGAGTCGAATCTCGAGAGTCGAGTGTGAGTGAGTGAGAGAGAGAGAGAAAAAAAATAAAGGAATACAAGAGAAGAAATAATAATAACGACGAGCGATGATAGGGTCGATCGGGAGTAGGTAGTAGCGCGCGCGAATATTTTTATTTTATTTTATTTTTTTTTTGGGTGGGGAATCATCTCTCTTTCGCGCGCGCGGGCTCGGATTGACTTTTTTCGAGTATAAAAGAGGCCGGAGATCGAGTCAAAGGCATCAGTTCCAATCTTGAACTTACAGCAACAACAACAACATGAAGGCATTCTTGGTAAGTGTTGATTAATACAGTGATTGTTTATTGTGCTCGTCGAGATTTTTTGTGCATCGTCGTCGTCAGCAGCAGCAGCAGTCCAGAACTTGTGTGCCGATACATAGTCGTGTTCCGATTTTTTTTGCCAAGATCGAGCTTTGACAGTTGATAGAAATAGAAAATTTGCGCACTGGTTCAATTATTATTGTTAAAACTTAGAGACAGTGTCGTCGAATATTTTAGCTAAACTAAAAATATTCTTCTAATTTTATAGAAAAATATTCAACGAAAATCTTTTCCGAAGTGTACCTCGGCACGTGCTTGACCTTCCTTTTTTTTTCTCTCTCTTCTCATCAGATCCTGTGCGTCGCCTCGGTGGCCTTGGCCAGGCCGGACATCGGTCTGAAACTGCGCCAGCAGGCCCTCCTCCAGGCCCAGGCCCAGCACGGCCAGGTCGACAGCTACGGCCAGCCCCTGGGCACCCCGGCTCAGCAGTACGGCCCACCCGCCAAGGTCTACGGCCCACCCTCCAACGTCTACATCCCGGCCCAGCAGCAACAAGTCCGCGAGAGCACCTACTACAGCGGCCCGATCGCCAGCCAAGGACACGCCCTGCCAGTCCAGCAAGTCCGTGAAACCGTTGCTCACGTGCCGGTAGCCCAGACCCCAGCCCCGGCTCCACTCCTCCCCGTGGTGCCAGCCACCAACTTCAACTCCGGCTACGAGTACAACGCACCGAGCCACAACCAAGCCGGTAGCCACAGCTCCGGCAGCTCCCACTCGGGCTACCACTACGGCCAAGGACACCAGGAGGCCAGCCAGGAAGCCGTCGTGCACAAGCACGTCTACGTCCATCTGCCACCACCAGAGGCCGATGAGCACTTGGCCCCAACCGTCATCCGCACCGCCCCAGCCCAGCCCCAGAAGCACTACAAGATCGTCTTCATCAAGGCCCCGACCGTCCAACAGCCAGCTCCAATTGTCCACGCCCCAGCCGTCCAGAACGAGGAGAAGACCCTGATCTACGTCTTGGTCAAGAAGCCAGAAGAGCAACAAGAGGTCGTGATCCCAGCTGCTCAGCCAGCCACACCCACCAAACCAGAAGTATTCTTCATCAAGTACAAGGCACAGGTCAGTAAAAATTGCCAAGACTCATTCACTCGCTTTCGAAATTCCAAAAAAAAAAACAAAAACTAATATTTTTTTTGTTATTTCCGACCGACAGAAGGAAGGCGAGAACCGCGACGCTTCCCTGCACTCCGGACTTGAGCACGCCGTCTCCGGACACGAGCACCAGCACGTCCTTAACGGAATCGAGGAGCAGCTCAGCCAGGTCCTCGGACACAACGTCGAGGCCGTCCAGAGCCACGGTGGTGTCCACCAAGTCAGCGGTGCCCACGCCGAGGCCCACCACGACACCGCCGTCCACGGTGGTAGCCACGTCGAGGAGCACCACCACGAGGAAGGCCCATACTAAATTTGTGTCTTTTTTCGGATGAGAGTGAAGAGTGCCCGCGCGTCTTTTGTTTTTTTTTTTTAAATAGCTTCGTTTAAAATTGTGATAACTTAAAAAAAGTGAAAAGAAAAAGAAAGAAAAGAAACCAGCGACGAATTGTGTTTTGTTTATACCGTAGATATGCCGTATACTGTAAAGCCAATTTGTGAGGGTGAAAAAAAAAACAGCGTCGTCGAGAGGATCTCCTCACAGAAAAAAAGCGTCGGAGATTCGCTGGACAACCAAACTAGTTATAAATAATTTTTTTGCACCATTGTATTACCACACGAGAATAAAAAATAAATTGTTTTGTATTTTTTTATATATAAAAAAAAAAAAAGGATTAATTTATTCAATTATTAGACCTATAGTACATAATATATAGAAAATGATCATGAATCACGATCGAATTCCTTCCATACACAAATGAAGCTCAGCGATCTTCGATAAAGGATTGAGAGGCAAGAGTGACCTTTGTGGTCAGAGGCCTCGAACTGACTCGCGATGGTCGATATTTTTGAAAAGTCTCAAGTGCTTCGATCGGTTCAAGGCATTCATCACCTCGATTGCAAATAGGGCAATTATTTTTGTTTTTCAGATTTCCGATTGGCAGGTTTGACAGCACTGTCGCTGTCAAAAACATCGGTATCCCAAAGATCATTAAAATATTCAGAGTTAATAAATTACATGAAAACAAAAGATTTATGTCCGGTTCAATTTCGACGAAAAATCGATCATTAAATCTAGTCCGATGTGTAATAATTATTAATTGATTGATTGAAGTAAATGATGAATAAAACTTCACCATCGGTATAAACTATGAATTATTATTCTTTTTCTTTACTTTCAGTAACAACGGCATCATCGATGATACATCGTCATTATCGTTAACTATCGCTCTCGGAATCGCAAAGATCGGTAAGCGATCGAAACTTCACTTAAAAATAAAAAAAAAGAAAAAAAACGCGTAAAATACCGCCTCGACGAGGCCCTAAGCATAATGAATATCGACAAGCTCAATACTCGCGTGCCAGTGCTATTGTATTATGTAGGGATCGAGGACACTCTTAGGAACTGGGACACAATTTAAGTTTCGGTGTAATGTCCTACCTACATAGTTACAGTGTGTGTTATAACGAGCTACCCCAGTCCGCGAGCTACTCCACGCCGGTCGTATATATCCTTAATGTACGTACGGATATTAGCATTCTCGTTATTATGCACATTTTGTACATCCGTATTCTCTATATCGGCCGTATAATAAAAGTTATTTTCGAGTTACTGCGTATTTACACACATACATACACACACGCTGGGCTGGGGGGGGCTGCAAAATTTACACCACCGCCGCAAGGTTTCGAGAGGTGGGGTGCAGTGGGGGGGAATGAATCATCGCGTTCGCATCGGTGCGCGATCGATCGAGATCAATCGTACCGATAACTCGAAAGCGAGAAGGCATATATAATGCGCTGAATATTTGAGAAACTTACCCGAATGCTTATGCGTGGATAGGCCAATTGATGTACTCGAAGGTGCGGATTCGAAGAACAACAACGACGTCGATCGATGTACAAAAACACTATATATCCTCACGCACCAAATGAAAACAAATCAAAGCTGTCAGTCACAACATAATATTATAAAAGTCAAAAGTCACACGCGACGCATCAACGGCAGCACTACTGAGAATAATAAAAAGTCGTCGTCGTGTGTATCGTCGTCGACGGGCGTAACAACAATAATAGACTACTGCGGCTGTCGACGGCGACGAGGTGCAGCATTATTTCGTCGGCCGTGTCGCTCTATATATAGATATCGTCGTCGTGTGTACACGCAGGGAGTTATCCGGCGCAGTGGTGCACACACGGCTATCGTCGTCGTCGTCGTTTCCTTGGCAACAAACTCGACCGACGGAACACACAAACTCTGTTTCGCGCGTTATAGCGTTATATTATATGCTTCATATTATACTATACATGTGTGTGGGCGCGGAAAATCGGATAAGTATATAGGCACGCTCGTGGATAATAACCCTCCTATTTTCTTCTTTCTTTTTTTACTTACAATTGTATACGCTCGAGAGTTATACATAGTTTCAATGTTATATATATATCAGTGGCTTATAGTATTTACACTTGTTATATACATATTACATACACGTGTGCGCGGCGATTGAGGCTCCAATTTCGTTAAAGGTCTGAATCGATTTTTTTTATTTACGGTTCAATCTCAATCTCTCGCCGCGTATCGATTTAATTATTATCGTTTTCTTTAGTGGTTTTTTTTTAAACTTCGCGCTCGAACGCATGCGTAGAGAGGAGACATGTTTGCAGCTGATTTGACACACAACTATGGGGGGGTAGGTAGGTCTAGCAGACGAGTTACTAAACTACCGTCCGTGTGTGTTTGTAATCAATATGAGCAGCCGGGAACGATAAAGAATGATATCGTTGTTGTTAAAGCTTTGTTGATTAGTATCGGTAAAAAAACTGTAAAATGGCACAGAACACAGTGAAGAAGAGGACGATCGAGGGCAAGAGGAGCGACAAGGAGACGACGAAGAACGTCGACGAGAAGAGGACGAGCGGCAGTAACAAGGACAAGAACGAGGACGAACTAGTCAAGCCGTGAGTGAGCCTGGATTTTTATCAATTTTGACAGTTACTACCACTACAACTTCTTCATTTTTTACAGAAAATACGGTCCTCACGTGACCTTCCCCTATCAGAGAGTCTGGTCGAGATGCGTCCTCATCGTCGGAGTCATGCTGATCGTCTGGTACAACAGCAAGGCCGGCAAGGAGGTGGCCCTGGCCCAGCGCAGGGACGTGCTCATGGGTCGCACGGCCGAGGTTCGATGCTCGCCGGAGTACCGCGCGGATCTGGCCAAGTTTCCCGGCTGCGTGCCGGAGAAGTGCGCCCGCGTGGTCACGGACAAGCTGCTCACAGCCCGGGAGATCGACGCCCTGCTGAGAATAGCCGGGGCGGGCTTCGAGCACGGCGAGTCCGACGGCGGGGCCAGCACCCTGGACCTGCAGACCGGCGCTCTGAGCAAGGGTCTGCAGTTCGTCGACGCGTTCAAGATCCATCGCGAGCGCGACATCTTCCAGCAGGAGGATTTCGCGGCGTTCAAGTATGTATTTTGAAAATTGAAGTTGTTTGTTGTGACTTTGGAGCGTAATGACATTGAATTTTACGCTGTTTCAGGGTTGTCAGAACAAAAATACAGTCCGCCATAGCTCATCACTTTGGAGTAGACGTTAAAAGCATATACTTGACGTATCCAACTTTTTTCTCTAAAATAACTAATAAGAGTGCTAAGAGAATTCACGATGAGTATTGGAATCCACACATTGACAAAGTTAGTTACAATCTTGATTTTACTTTTTGAATTAATTCAAAATTTATTAAAAATAACTCTTATTTCAGGACTCCTATGAATCGTTCCACTACACAGCTTTACTATATTTAAATGACTACGGTGAGGACTTCAAAGGTGGAAGATTCATTTTCATAGATCAAAATAATGTAAATACCACAGTGGAACCTAGAAAAGGAAGAGTTTTAATGTTCACTTCTGGTAAAGAAAATTTGCACGCTGTTGAAAAAGTTACTTCGGGCACGCGTATGGCATTTACAGTAGCTTTCACTTGTGACAAAAAGTTTGCTACTCCGGATCCAACGCTGAAGAAGTAAAACCCACTTGTGTGCTTGAGTGTTTTTTACATTCCAAATAGTTGAAATCGAATGTAAAATTGATCTACCTTCCAGTGTATGAACTTTGAATAAACAAAGATCAATTTTATCATAGTGAATTGATGAGTTATATACCTATAAACTTTGATGGAAATAATGTTTTGAAACAAATGATGCACAAACTTATTTTTGTATCTATATCTACAAGCAATTTGTAACTTGTTGATTAGAAAAATTAAAGTTACATAGGAATTTCAGCAACGAACAAATTATTGTACTGAATTATCAAACGCACTGATTATTTAAGGCATTTAGCAAGAGTAAAAGACTTTAATATTGTTTTAGTTATGTAAGGATAATTATATTGTATTGATTGTTTAAAAATATTAACGAATAAAGATTTGAAAGTATAAGCATAACAGAATATTTTTTATATTGTTTATTTATCATAAGTGTTCATACATCAAACATTATGCATTTTTTAAATGCAAAGTTGAATAAATGCACAGCATGCAAATTTTACAGTGATTTTATTCCATTATATTTCGTTATACTTATTTCTAGGAATTAAAATTATTTTGAATGAGCTTGTACTAATCGAATGTATAAATCATAACTTTTTCAAATCAATTGTACAGATGTAATAAAAAAATCTTCGACTTATTTTAACTAATTATTAACATAACAGTTTCTTTAATGTAAAAAAATCAATTACAAATTGTGTCCAACAACTGCATCTGCTACTTAAGCAATTATTAAGGTATACTTTCAACGCACAAACAATAGTCAAATACATTTATGTTTTATACAACTTAATTATGGCCACCTGTCCACTGATGTACATAAAAAAGTCGCAAAGTTTAATTTTTCCATTATTAAGTTAACAGAGTACATCCGTCAGAGTAAAAATTAGAGAAATAACTCCACTACAAATCAAAAATAATTAAACTTATCTTACATGCTAATTGTCAAATCATCTATGTTTTTTCATAAATAATTACATTTTTTACATATTTGTTAAGATCCCAACGCGTTCATTCACAATGAAGCGCAAAAAACTTGGCAAAATGAATCAATCTACTTTTTACAATATTATATATAGTATTATTAGTAATTAAACTCTAAATGATGATGAAGAATCATGAATTTGTAACAAATGATAGCGAGATAATGATTAATATAAATAAGTTGTGTGCAGAGAATTTTCCAGTAGAAATATATCTTTGTACATTAGTAAATCACATTATCTTTCCGTCTTACGTACGAAAATTTAACTTGAATCTCTGGCTTTTGGTAAATCTAGATAATTGACTACAACGACTTAAATAATTTCCGCTATTTGCTTGACGCCTTCACCGGACAAGATGGTTCTGTGGTTGCCCGAGATTTCTTCGATTTTCACAGTTTGGTTACAGATCTGTAAAAAGTAAAAATGTTTGATTATTCACATGATTCGTTTAAATGTCATTTCAGTTACGAGTGATCGTCAGGAGAAAGTAAAAATTACCTGTGACAATCCATAATCCAAATTGAGAGTGACAAAGTTATCTTTGGCTTTGCAAAGCGTTACTTGTCCTTGATATTTGCCCACAGGTTTGTAGGAGTTAGCTGCCCTCAATTTCTTGTAGAACAGAAGACTGGCTTCTTTCACGTCGTCCTTGTTGAAAGGCGTCTGTCCAATGAGTTCCAACATCTTTTTGTACATATCATCGTCATTTGTGGTTTCTCGGAGCATGTTGTAAGCCTGCGCAAAATAATTATTTCATTACGAACATGCAATTTCAAAGCGAGTAAAAGTAAACGAAGGGAAAGAAAAATTTACCTTCAAGAATCCGATATTGGGATTCATCTGTCTCACGAAGTAAGCCAGGGCCTTTCTGACGCCGTCGACCTCGAAGTTCTCGGCATCGGAACCGGTCTGTTTGCCGATGGTGCGGCAGTGCTGGGTAATGAACTCGGGCGAGCCGTCGAGGAGCGTCAGCACGACCTGTTCACCGGCTGTCTCGAGCTGCAGGGCGATCTCGAATGCGACCAGCGCACCGAATGAGTAGCCCACGAGGGTGTATGGTCCCTTGGCCTGCACGTCCCTGATCTGTTTGATGGTATGCGTGGCGAAGTCGGAGATCGAGTCCAGAGGCGTGTCCTTGGTGCACTGAAGACCCCAGACGGGACGTGTGATTTCGGAGGCGAGACTCTTGAGCGAGGCGATGACGCCCTCGATGGCCGAGACGACGAAGACGGGGGTGCCTTCGGCGCCGCGGGTCTCGAGCTTGATGAGCGACGTGCGTGGAATGATCTCAGCGCCGGAGCACTGGAAGAGCAGGGAGTCCGGGCTGTTCTCGGCTGTGGCACTGTGAGTTGGCGATGCGGCTGCTAAGAAGAAAGGTCGATACGGTTAAGTGGTGTCTTTTTATCATCAATTATTCAAGGCTTCGAGAGAATAATTAAGATATACTTACGTGTGTCGGAGGTTTCGCCGCTGCTCGACGCGAATTCTTTCAATTTCGCGAAGGTCAGTCCTCGGATCTCCTGTGGGCTCAGCACGATGTCGTAATTTCTCTCGAGCGTCTGCTTGATCTCCGTACCCATGAGCGAGTCCATGCCGAGATCGGCCAGACTGTTGTTGGGATTCACGGCCTTGACGTCCTTGATGCCGAGGATATTACCGACGGCTTCGAGCAGACCGACCTGGCTGCCGGCGTCGGCGGCTTTGTTCTTGTCGGCCAGCACCATCGAGGCGAGGACCGGATGCGGCTGCTGTAGGAACACGTCCATGGTGGCTAGACAGCTGGACATACGTTGGGGCAGGGTGCCGCCAACCTCGGTCTCGTTGTTGCCCATGGTCTCGAGGATGAGGCCGACGTCGCCGATGGCGCCCCACTGAATGGAGAGACCCGGCAGTCCCAGGGCCTGTCTCTGCTCGCAGATGCGCTCCATGGCGGAGTTGGCCAGGCCGTAATTGGTTTGACCGGCGTTACCGCGTCCGCAGGACACGGACGAGAAGCAGACGAAGTAGTCGAGGTCGGGGCAGTGTTTGCGCGAGGCGAGATCGAGATTCTTCGTGCCGTCGACCTTGGGCAGTGCCACGGTCTTGAACTGCTTCTCGTCGAGATTCTCGAGGAGAGCGTCGCGCAGCACGGCGGCCAGATTGAAGATACCACCGACGGGCTTGGCGGCAGCGAGAAGTTGCTCGGCTCCCTCCAGGGTGGTCACGTCCTTGGTGGAGACGTCGATGCGGATGCCCAGAGCGCGCCATCTTCTGATGCAGAGAGCTTGATAGCCGGTGCGCACGCCCGATCTCGAGGTGAGCACGATGTGGCGGGCTCCGCGCGTGATCATCCAGTTGGCGAGCTCGAGACCGAAGCCACCGAGACCTCCGACGAGCACGTAGGACTTGTTGGGGTTCATGTAGGTGCGCGGAATCGAGGCGATCGTCTTGGGAGTGGGCTGGGTGACCTTGGCCGGCTCCTCGTCGCGGATCTTAAGCAGGACTTTGCCGATGTGCTTGCCGGTGGCCATGAATCGGAAACCTTGCTCGATCTGCTGCTCGCTGAACACGGTGGACGGTAGTGGTCTCACCGCGCCGTTCTCGATACCCTCGTTCACGAGCCTGACGACTTCGCGCTTCTCTGGGCCGTCTGAGTCGAACAAGGCGTCCAGCAGAATGCCGTGGAACGACGTGTTCTTGAGGAACAGCGACATGCCCAGCGCGGTGTTGTTCGACAGATCGAACTTGCCGATCTCGCAGAAGCGACCGCCGTTGGCGAGGCAGCGCACGCTGGCCTGCAACTTGTCGCCGGCCAGCGAGTTCAGGACGAGATCGACACCGCGACCCTTGGTCTGGGTGAGCACCAACTGCTCGAAGCTGGTGTCGCGCGAGTTGCCGATGTTCGAGTCCTTGAGCTGCGGGAAGTTGGCCTTGAGGAAGTCGCGCTTCTCCTTGGAGCTGACGGTGGTGAAGACGGTGCAGCCCATGTGCAGGGCGATGGCGATACTGGCCTGGCCGACGCCACCGCTACCGGCGTGAATGAGGACGCTCTCGCCGGGGCGCATGCGGCCGCGCACGCACAGCGCGTAGTAGCTCGTGGCGTAGACCACGGGAATGGTGGCGGCCTGCTCGAGGCTCCACTTGTCGGGCACGGGCCAGGTGAAGCCCGGATCGGCCAGCAGGGTGGTGGCGAGACCGCGCGCCGCGATCATACCCATGACGCGCTTGCCCTTGGAGTCGCGGCCCGAGAATTCGAGACCGAGGATGCAGTCCTGGCCGGCCAGGTCGCCGGGCAGAGCGTCGGCGTTGAGCTTGCCGGTGGCCAACATGATGTCACTGCGAGAAAAGAAGAGCGAATTCGATCAGTAATCGTTCCACGAGTAATCTATGGGTGAATGAATTTTTCATGGAGGTTGTAACTTACCGGAAATTGAGCGGTGCATAGTAGACGCTGCAGAATTCCTTGTTGGGATGCTCCTCTGGGCGATAATAGCTGAGCGGGCCTTCGATCCATCTCAAGCTGCTGAGATCGCCTCTGACCAGGGCGTTGATGTAGGCGTGCTCGACGTGCAGAGACGACACGTCGGTCTGCTGATCGAGCCTCAGATGTCTGTAGCTGCCCCACTGCTGGCCCTTGAGGACGTTGGACATGAGCTGCTTGGACAGCTGCTCCTGATAGAACGGATCCTGCGTGGAGAACTTCTGGGCGTTCTTGTCCTGAATGAAGACGTAGCTGACGTTGTGACCGCCGGCCTCTTGGCGTACGCAGGTCATCAGACCCACGAGACCGAGGAGCTCCTCGCCTTGGCAGACCAGCAGCACCTTGTGGTTCTCGGTCTCGGCCTTTTTCAGGGCGTTCTTCAGGCCCTCGACCCACATGAAGTTCTTCTCGGTTATCTGAATGACGATGGGCTCGCTGGTTTCCTCGACCTTCTTCAGGAGCACGTAGTTCTTGCCGAAGATGGCCTGTTGGGCGACGATCTCGAGGCCGCCCTTGCGCGCGATCGACGCCAGGGTCTTGCCGGTCTCCTCGAGCAGAGCGTATCCGCCCGATTTGATGGAGGCCGAGACGTTCTTCAGCACGGCCAGCTGATTGTTGGTCAGCAGGTCGGCGGCGAGGATCAGGTGCAGATCTTGAGCCACGGGTCCGGCCTGGGCGTCCTTGACGATGGCCTTGATGCCGGACTGTTCGAGCAGGTGAGCGTGACTGTCGGGCGCGACGGTGACCAGTTGCAGGTCGACGCTCAACTGGGGCTCGCTGAGGAGCACGTCGAGCACCGTCGGGGCCATGAGGGCCTCGGAGGCGCGCTCGCCAGCGATCTCGGCGACCTTGAGCTTCAGTCCGCCCAGGTTCTCGCGCACCACCTGCAGCAGCACGGTGAGTGCGTGAAGTCTGGCGCGAGTCGGGTCCTCGACCAGCGGCGTGGCGTTGTCGTAGGGCACGAAGAGGTAGCGCTCGTGCTTGGGCGGCGCCTGGGTCTGCTGGCGTCTCGGGGCGAGCGAGGCCTTCATGCCGCGCAGCTCGATGCCGCCGGACTTGATGACGCCGATCTCGGGATAGTTGTAGCAGGGCACGCCCTCGCCCTCGCCGAGGCTCTCGACGAGCTCGCGATGCTTGGCCGGATTGATGATGGCCTGTTGCAGTCTGGTCGGCAGGTAGAGATCGCGCGTGTCCTTGGCCAGGATGGAGAACTGCAGCATGGTGTCGATGAACGAGATCCAGTCCTCCGACCAGGCGAGCTTGCCGGCGGCGGCGTGACTGTCGGCCGACTTGATGCCGCGGAAGATTCCGGTGTAGTCGTAGCCACGAAGACGAAGCTCTTTGTAAGCGTCCTCGGTGGTGAGCTCGAGGAGGCTGGGATCTTGGGCTACGGTCGGTGGCTCGAGAGCCAGCTGTTCCTTCTCGACGTCCTCGGGTACGCGGATTTTACCGATCACGGCTACGGAGCCTCCTTCGCATATCTCGAAGTCGCCAGTGCCGTCGAAGATGTTGATGAGGAACTTCACCGAGCCCTCCTTGGGCATGATGGTGGCGCGCTGGAACTGCACGTCCTCGAGGACGACCGGGAGCTTCTCGTACTCGACGCCGCGCAGCTTGGCGAACGTGCGCCAGACGATGGTGAGGTAGCCCGTGGCGGGGAACAGCACGCGACCGTCGATGGCGTGGCCGGCGAGGGCCGCGTCGGTGTCCTTCGACAGATCGATCTCGATCACGCTCTCGCCGGAGCGCGAATTTTTGCCGGAGAAATCGGCCACGTCCCACTGGATGGAGTGGTCCCACTTGACCAGCGAATTGAGCATGGGCGTGCCGCAGCTCACGGGGAAGCTGACCAACGGGTACAGGTTCTGGAACTGGGGCTGACCGCCGGCGTTGTAGACCTTGCCGATGTTGCCGAGGAGGAAGGCCATGTTGTTGGTGTGATCGCGCTTGTGCAGACCCACGTTGGTCACGGTCTTGGGCAGGGATCTCCTGAGGATGGCCTGCAGCAGGCAGTGAGGCGCGATCTCGATGACGATCGCGTTGTCGGGCACGTGGGCGAGAGCCTCTTGGAACAGCACGGGGGACAGGAGATTGTTCACGTGATAGGCTGGCGAGCTGAGCTCGGCCAGAGGAGTGCCCCACTTGTCCTCGGGAATGGAGCTGGAAATCCATCTAGCCGTACGCCTCTTCGGATACGGGATGATGTTCTCGAGATTTTTGCGCAGAGTCGGGCCGGCCGAGGCGATGTATTTGCTGTGGAAGGCGACGCCCGAGCTCTTGACCTGCTTGGCGAAGATATCCTCGGCCTTGAGCTCCTCGACGAATTTCTCGATCGAGGCCAGGGGTCCGGAGATGGAGACGGAGTCGGCGGAATTGTGACAGGCTGGGAACACGTCGGCGGGGCAGCGTCTCTTGGCTTCCTCCCAGCTGAGACCCACGGCGGCCATACCCATGTTTGGCGCAAGGCCGGCGACCTTGAGCGAGTGGCCTCGCCAGTAGGCCGCGAGCACGGCTTGCTCAGCGGTGAACGTGCCGTCGGCGTAGGCGCAGCCGACCTCGCCGACCGAGTGGCCGACGATGCCGTCGGGCGCGATGCCGAACAGCGTCAGGAGGTCGCACAGGCAGACCTGAATGGCGGCGATGGTCACGAAACTGTTGAGCACGTCCTCGTAGGTCTCGTTGGTGCCGTTCATTATCAGATCCATGAGATCGACGCCGCATGGCTTGAGCGCCGCGGCGCACCTGAGCATCGAGATCTTGAACGTGGGAATGCAGAGGAGCTCCTTGCCCATGCCGGCCCATTGGCTGCCCATGCCCGAGAAGACGTACCAGACGGGTCGTTTCTCGGCGCTGTGGTACTCGCTGATCTCGCGCTCGTTGATCGAGCCCAGGATCTCGTAGCCGCGGTACGAGTGGCCGGGTATGTTTTTCGAGTGGATGCTGTGCACGAGAGCGAGAAACTCTTCGTCGTGCTCGTTCTGCTTGACGGCGTCGAGGAGAGCGGCTACGGCCTCCTCGGTGCGGCCGGAGACAGCGACGGCCCGTGGAACGGGGCTGCTCTCGGTCTGGATGACCGGCGTCTTCTTGGATTTGGGATTGCTGCGCAGCACCACGTGGGCGTTGGCGCCGCCGAAGCCGAACGAGTTGACGCCGACGAGGCCGCCCTCCCAGGGCGTGTTCTCGCTCACGACCTTGATGCGGCCGTCCGACAGCGCCGGGATGTCGAGGTTCGGGCTCTTGAAGTGGAGATTCTGCGGTATGACGCCGCGCTCCATGGCCACGAGCACCTTGGCGATCGAGCAGAGACCGCTGGCGGGCTCCGAGTGGCCCATGTTAGACTTGACCGAGCCCATGAGCAGGGGTCCCTGGCGGTCCTTGCAGAACAGCTCGGCGATGGAGTTGACCTCCTGCGGATCGCCGACCTTGGTGCCGGTGCCGTGGGCCTCGACGTAGGCCACGTCGCGCGGATCGATGCCGGCCTCGGCGTACACCTCGCGCATCAGCCTGTTCTGCATGTTGCCGTTGGGGAAGGTGATGCCCTGGTCCTTGTGGCCGTCGGTGTTGCACTTGCTGTTCACCACGGTGGCGTAGACGCGGCGCGCGCTACGGCTCTTCTGCAGGAATATGACGACGGCCGCCTCGGAGCGGACGTAGCCGTTGCCCGAGGCGTCGAAGGCCTTGCAGGCGCCGTCCGGCGACAGCATCGACAGTCTGTGGAACTGGAGCGAGCTCGTGGGCTTGAGAAGTAGATTGACGCCCGCGACGATGGCCGAGTCGCACTGGCCGCTGCGCATCGCCGCCACGGCGTGATGCATCGCGTAGAGCGACGACGAGCAGGCCGTGTCGAGGGCGAACGACGGCCCCGAGAAGTCGAAGGTGTAGGAGATTCTGTTGGGGAACATGGCGCGACAGCAGCCGGTCAATCCGTATCCTGGCGAAGAGAATGAATAAAATTTCAATTAGCGAACTGTGAATTTTTCTTTTATAAAAATTTAACAATCGAATTAAACCTACCGTTAACCATATCGGGATCGGAGGTCCAGTACTCGTCCGACTCTGAATCGGACACGCCGACGAACACGCCGGTCTTGGTGCCGCGCACCTCGCTCGGATTCAGGCCGGCGTCGACGATGGCCTCGTGCGTCAACTCGAGCAGCATGCGCAGCTGCGGATCCATCACGTTGGCTTGCTTGGCGTGCACGCCGAAGAACGTGGCGTCGAACGACGCGAGATCCTTCAGTTTGCCGGTGCGCGCGGGCAGGCCGTGTATGCCCGAGGGCCAGCGGCGCTCGTCGTCGGTGACCAGATCGACGCCGGCGAACAGCTGGTCCTTGAACTCCTCGATCGACGAGGACTCGGGCAGGCGGCCCGAGAAGCCCGACACGACGATCTCGTCGTCGAGCTGGAAGGCGGGCCGTCCGCCGGCCATTTGGGCGCCGTGCCGTTGTTGCTGAGCGACGCCGTTGCGCGGCGGCTCCGGCATCATTGAACCACTGGTGGTCGATCTAGCGGGCATCTTGGTTTGTTTTTTTGTTGTTGCTGTGTCGCGTATACAAGAGAATTATATGTAACGAATCAAGCGATCCTCTGCGTGTGCTTTGCTTAGTGCCGGGAATCGGAGTCAAGATTTTTGCTTCTCTTCGAACGGAGCGTCAAAAAAGTTTCGTGGACAAATAAACTGAAACAGAGAGCGAATAAAAACATGAGTCTCGGAGCGTTCTTCATTCATCGTTGTATTAACAGCAAAGCGGAGCACGCGACAAGTTCAAGTGCACTCGTCGTCGTCGTCGTCCCCTCCGCGACTCGACTCGCGCTTGCGCGTTTCGATGCGGATTAGAAAAGAATCGCGCAAAAATTGCATCGCGCGATCGATGCGCGGAATTTCGCTTCTACGTAATAAATACGCACGATAAAAAAATGTTTATTATCGTCCAGTTATAAAATACGTCATTACTCCACGCGTCTCTGTAAAGCGATACGCGACGAGAGCGAGAGAGAGAGAATAATCGTAATTTTTCTGCTTTTTTTTATTCATTCTTATTCCGTCACCGCTGCGGAGCGTATAATAATACATATAGCATGTGTAACCTGGTCACCTCACTCGGAAGGCCGTAGCGAAAATTGATCGTTTCTCGCTCTCTCGGTCGCTTATACAGCGTTATATTATAAGTACGACGGAACGACACATATCGTTCGACAACGAGAATATGTACATATAGCGCGCGAGTGTGCGTGTAATTGAGCGAGATAATCTCAATACAATTGACCGGCGGCGCTCGCTCGCTTTGCTCGCGTGTCTTTTTTTTTTTTTTTTTGCTCTCGTCGATAATCGCGAGCGTGATTTAATATACGCTCTCGCTTATTGTAATTTAGATAATGAATTAATGCGCGCATCGGCGACGACAACTCGATTCAAGTGTACGCGATCGATCAGGTTCAATTGTAGATCGATGCAATCTGGAGTTATTATTAATTATTATTTATTATGATTATTTCGAGCGCACACACACACATACACGCACACGATTGGTATATGTCTACGTTTTGTCAAGTGTCTGTGACGAAAGATTGGCGCGAAAAGTATACATTATAATATTTACTTTTCAATTACGTTGGCTATTTAACGTGTATAAATAATGTAAGCCGAGAGCCTCGCGAGAGAGAGAGAGAGAGAGACAAAAATGCTAATAGCTGACTCGGCGGCTCCGAAACGAAGCGTGTCTGTGTGTGTGTGTGTGTGACGAAACTTCTATACAATTACTGGTGGCGATCACGCGCAGAAAATTTTCTCCCCCGGACAGTGCGTGACAGCTCGCGCGAAAGAGAAATGCACACATTAATATTATATCGATATAATCGGTGCAGAGCAAAAATCGAAATCTCGAGTTCGTGGGAGGTATATAACGCAATGTGTGTCCCCGTGGCCTGCAATGCACCGCGCGACGGAAAATCTCTGGCCAGAAAACACAATCTGCATAACACTACTCGCGGAGAGCTGATATATGCGTGTAATGTAATATATCTCATCTATGTCACACGAGAAATCAAACGTTATTTTTCTTTTATCTCTCGGGCTTTATAAATCACCGATAGCACCGTTTTCTCTCATTCTTTCTTTTTTGCTCGTTTCGTTGTCACCCGCAGACGATTTTTTTTTTTGTGTTTTCGCTTTAAAAAACCCGTGTCTCTGGCTATTTAAATTCTCTCTCTTTCTTCTTTTTCTTTTATAAACGCCGCACGCAGAATCGGCACACTGCTAATATATATATACACATACAACCGCGTGCAAGAATTCGAAAAAGAGACGCACGCGCGCCGCAGACAACACAGCACGTGGGCGCTGTGCTGCTGCTGCTGCTGCTGCCTGATCGTGACCTTGAACTTGACGTTTGTCACACTCTGCGCTCCAAAGGCCGCACTGCTGCTGCTGCTGCTTATTACGATTATTATTATACACGTGTAGGCCTGAAGTTTACACTTCTGCAGAGCATATATGTATTACGTAAAGTATATTATATATATAAAATATCGTACGGCTTCTCTCTCTCTCTCTCTCTCTCTGTTCAACGAGAGAGATACACGCGGATATACATACAGAGATTATCGCGAGCCGCGTAGTACAGCTTGCGTCGAGATATAACCGCACCACTATCGCGATATTCTTTTTTATATTATACATATATAGAAGTCAGCCGATGTTCACACGCAGATGTCAAAAGTGATAAAAAATTTCCCCATCACTAAAAATAAAATATAAAAAAGTCGAAGAAGACGAAGTGGAAGGAAGAAGATCACCGTATCGATATCGGTACACTTGACGATTACTCGCGCGACAATTAGACGCGTTCCGATTCGTTTTGATGTACATTATCGCGACAAGGTCTCGGGTCGGGGCACACACAGCGCTTAGCTTGCTCGCGATCGGAAATGCACGATTGACACTTCTCGCGCCGGCACCGGAAATTCGACGATTCAATATTTTTTTTTTTTTTTTTTAATTAATCACGATCGGGGAAGACACGAAGAAGGAGGCGAAGAAGTAATATAAATATGCAAGAAAAAAAGACAGGTAAAAAAAAAAGCGGAAAGAGCTATTTGATAATAGGCAATAGTCGTTCTCGCGTAGTCGGATGGACTTTTGCAATTCAAATATCGTGTCGCGTTTTGATGTTGTATATAGACAGATATATATACCTGCTGCGTGTAACACGCGGCCGATATATATATGTGTATCTCTTCGTCGTCGTGTCCGTGTTATGTTTATATTTCACGAAAATTAACCGCACAGCGCGAAAATGTCTATTACGACGACGACGACGATGTATATAGGAATAAGGTGCGTGTGATGTACACACAACGACGCAAATTCTTCGATGTTTGCAATACAGCACGCACATACACACACACACACACTTAAAGCGGACTAATTATATTTTACAATAATAAAAAAAAAGGACACTAACGAGAGCAAGAAAAAAATCGAAAAAAAAACTAGAATTTTTCCGTTCGTCTTAATTATCGAGCGAGAGAAAGAGAGAGACAAAATAATTATTAAACGTTACTTTACAAATCACTTCTTTTTTTCTCCTTGTGTGTGCGAGTGTGTGTCTGTCTGTCTGATTCTCTCTGTCCTGAGCGTGTCTTGGACGTGCTTCGTTATACACAGGAGAGAACGACGCGAGACTTTGTCTATCGTCCCAGCAGCAGCAAACGCCGATCACTAACTGACTGATGGGTGAACTTGAGCATTATTATAGTGCTATACGGAGAGCGCAGCAGCACTAGACCCCGCGCGAGGGGGACACACTTCGGTTAAACTCGCACACACACATACACGGAAGCGACATAAACACTTACTTACTTGTACGCGCGCACACACACTCGAGTTAACGCCAACGAATTTCTATGATATATCTAATACGTTATAATACAGAAGTGAACACATTTGCCTTCTCCATAAAGATATTTTAAATATACACATAAATTATACGGCATAACGGAGCATAAACGCGCGTGAAAGATTTTTGATTGTAACGCCCGATAGCGAAAGTAGTAGGTATATAATATATATGGTAATTACGGAAGATCGTACGATATTTTTCTTCATTCGTATACAAATTTTTTTCTCGACGCTGCTGCTGCTGCTCTCGACTTTTCCTCGTCGCCTGCGACAAAGGCAGAGAGAGATATATATAATCTCGACTCCGAAAAAAGTACAGAGAAGCTCGAACCAAGTCAATTATATCGGAGCAACCGATCGACAAACAGCAGCTCCATTACTCCTTTCGATCGAAAAACCGATTTGGAATTTAACGAAAGAAAGAAATAACCACGGATGACAATGGCTTATTTTTTTTCTCTCGGGTAATAATGGGTATTGTCCTGCGTGTTAAATCGATTATTAAATACGTAAACACCCTGAGAGACACGTCGTCGTCGTCATTCATACACACTTACGTGTACCTTACGCACCGCTACGGGTATATCTATATAGTTTCGCGCGGTACACGTGTTGCTCTGCTCCACAACGCCGACGAGCCGACGATATACCTATATATATACAACAAACACGACTCATAGTATACACGCGGTGCTGTGCGAGTCAGCTGTGCCGTGGAGATGGGATCGGAAGACGATCACGTGATCGCGTGATTTTCAACAACACGCGGAATATATATATAGTAGCATTATATATATAATACGGAAAAAACGGTGTGTTGCCGCCCCCACCAAAATCCCAATTACGCTCGGTACACGCGATGATGATGATGATGATGATGATCCATCCACGCGAGCATTATTACAAACAGAGAGGACGCAACGATGTATTAAAAATAAATAAATAAATAAATAATAAAGAAATTGAGATGACGGAAAAAAAAAAGAAAAAGTCGTTCTCGAACTTGAAGCTTTTCGTTCCTTCTCCGTAACGTTCTTCTATAACGATATATACGTGTGTTGTACAGATTGCACGCGTGGCTTGTGAAACTGTAACACACACACACACACAGCACACGATTCCCGCGGATCGTACGATTTTTACCCAATCGACCGCCTCATTATTATCATTAGACGCGAGACGGCTTTTTTTTTTACTCTCATCCTTGCTTCTTTTTTTTTCTTCCTCCGCGACTCGCGGTCTATATATTTCGTTACATCGATGTACATAAATGCGACAATTATTCGTACTACTCGGCTCGCTCGTAATGTAGCGCGCGCGAAAAACGGCAGTTATAATTGTAAACATAGTTTTCGAAAGCCACTTGCTGCAGCGCAGCAGCAGCAGCGAGCTACACAGGAAAACCGTTAAAACGTTAGAGAGAGAGACACCAACCAAGTCAATTATATCGGAGCAACCGATACACATCGTTGTGTATCCATCTGTAATCGTACGATGCACGCCAACCTTTTTCGAAGAAAGAACTGTCGAAGCTCCGATAGTGCGTCGAAACAGCTGTATTTCGTCGAGGTGCCGAAAAAAAAAAAAAAACAAAGAACCGGGTAGAAAGAGACACGTCGAGAAACAGAAGAAAATTTTTCGGACGAATACAATGTAACACTTTGTTCTCGTGGCTTTTTTTTTTTTATGTATTGCGGTGACGTAAATTCACGCGAAAGCGCAATAGACTATGTACATGCGATGACGACGACGACGGCGGCGGCGGTGGCGGCTATGGCCCCCCGGATTATTATAAAGAGGTGTGTATGTGTGTGTGTGTGTGCGCGAAAAGTAATGGTTGAGCAGCGCAAGCAGTGGCATTTTTACGCGTGCAAATTTGCTTTCGCACTGACGCGCGCCGTTTCCTGTCTAAATTCAGCTTTCTTGCTTAAATGCATTTGTAATGCGGCTTCTCGGGCCAATTGATTTCATTCATGTCGATTTTTCGCGAATTACCTCGAAGACCGAATTATGCGCGTATATGCAAGAGACACCGATTCGAGACGCGTCGCCGCCGCCGATCGCCCGAGTAATTTCTCGAAAAAACAAAAAATTGAAAAGAAGAAAAGTCAAAATCGCACGAAGAGTTCTACTATATACGTAACGGCAGGTGTATATTCGATGTGTATATATGCAATACAAACATTAGCGAGAGACGCGGCGTTACATCTATACGATATACGTGTGCATATAGAGCCGTCACTACTGCAGTTACAGCAGTAGTATATACCTATACAGGCCACACTCACACACCGAACGCGATCGATACGCATTCGATAGTAGCGTATACGAAACTCATAGTATAAAGCGCGTCCTTCGTGGCACTTTTTCGCGAGATCAATATGAGCTAGCTGGCGTGCATTATATTATTTAAAATAAAAAAAAAAGCTTGGAAACGGCCAAAAGTAGAACGATAACGAACGCATTAAACGTAACCTGCAAAAAATAATATAACAAAAAAAAAAGAGAAGAAGAAATGAGGCAAGAGCTTTTTCGGGCGTGCGTCACTTTACCTTTCTTGTAACGGCCGATATCGGAGGGAAAATCTTCGTTGACGTGTGTGATCGTTGTCGTTGGCAGTTGTACGTTAGAAAAACTGTATCTCTCGTCGACTGAATATTTTCTTATATATAAATAGCAAATGTTGTAAAAAAAGTTACACTACGATGTACGATGAGATAGAGAGTATTTTTTATATTGTCACTTTCAACTACTCGTTGCACCGCAGCCGAAATGCAGAGAGAGCGTGTCAGCGTTGTGTATTATCGAACGAATTCAAACGCTTGGCAATCGATATTCTAATTTGCGCCGCGTGTCAACTGTAATTTTCTTTTTTCTCGTTTTCTTTGGCTGTCTGCACGTCCGTCTCGGGCGGCTGACGAGTAAGGACTACCACTCTGGAACTGCGCGCCGACGGTGCCTCGACTGCTAATATATAACGTCGTTGTCGTCGTCGTCGTCGTCGTCGTCGCTCTCTCTCTCAACAACGGGGGCGCATCTCTTTTTCTATTATACGCGCGCCGCGCGGCGTGGTAGTATAAAGTATATAGAGTCAGTCCGGAGTCGCAGCACACAACGCATGTGAATCGGATCTTTCCACGCGTGGCTCGGAGTCTCGCGAGGCGACGATAGAGAGAGAGGGACACGACGTTAGCTATATAGTTGTAAGAGACTAACGTGTGTGCACATGAGTCACTGTCTCTCTCTCTCTCTCTGTCTTTCTTTTCCGCAGCAGAAAACACGCACACAACGTATAGCGGTCGTATAACGCGCACAACGCGTCCTATTGCTCCTTAGGTGTTCATATAGCTTCTCTCTATCGTTGTTGCTGCGCGCTGCTTTGGCTGTGCGGCTGTGGTGCTCTGCTGCTACTCGTGGTCCGATGTCGGACCATGCGACGCCGACCAATGGGCGACGAGTCGTGTCTCTCTCTCGCGGCTGGCAGGCAGGCAGGCAGGCTGCTCTGGGGAGTACTATTCACTGTATATACTGTCTGCAGTCTGGGGCTCTCACCGGGTGGCGCATGCGCCTGTTTTTCTTACCCGTCTTCTGCACAGAGAGTACTTGAAGGCCGGCTGTTTTCTTCTCGTTGCCTGTAATACACGTTATAAAATAATACTTTTACTCGTATGACATTACGTTGGACGCGATGCAGAAAGCGAGAGCTAGCTAGATGTAGCTACGTTATACAATTAATTAAGAACTACGAGGAAAAAAGGCCGGCTGAGCTAGCTAGGATGCCGGGTGTGTACTGTGTACACCTATATATCGATCGTAATTTAAACGACGAAAACCCCATTGACCTACACGATTGCGCTACCAAATCGATGACAAGCTCCGACAGAAAGCGTTTGCGGGGTTGTCATGGGCGCCGGTGCGAATCACAGCTTTAAATTTGCACTCGACTCTCGCTACGACTTGCGAGCTTTCGTCGCTCTTCGGCATTAAGTCACATATATACACGATGCAGGTGTTTGCATGGCCGCAAGTCGGCGCTCGATCGTGTATACTCGTATATCATTATTATTTTTTGTCACACAACACACACACACAGCGCACCTATTACCGCTGCCTATGTGTATGTAATGTTTTGTTATCGCGGCTTTTATCGCGCGGTGCGTAGGCGTCGTACGATTTTCTAACGTCAACGGCACCTGCGTCTAACGATGTCGAAAATCTCGCACATCGATTAAAACGCTACGCGCGACGCTGTTATCGAGACGTTACATATCCTCGATACAGGTATAGCTGTAACGGAGTCGAGAAAAATTCGAGCGAGAGATGTTTGATTTTCAAAAGTAGAGAAAAAAAAAAGGTAAAAAGAAGCTACTTGTTTTAACCGGGGCCTGCCTTACATACTGACCCAAATAATCCAGATTTCGGTTACGCAGCATCCGCGCGCTACATATATATATAATTAACCGATCGTACGATCGTACGGAGGAGGAGCCTATTTACCGAAGAAATTTGGAATATTTGAAGTTCAAGTGCGCGGGACGTTGTTACAAAACGGGATCATCGTCCGATCGATACCGCGAGAGCCTTTTTTCCACGCCGAGCGAGTCTTCCGATACATTGAATCATCGATACATACAATCGGCGTCCGTGTGCTCGAGCGAAAGCGAGATGGGTGTCCACCACGTGCTCGTCGCGTGCGAATATTATATTATATTACACATTATCGGCAGTCGCGCTATTAAATCGAACCCGGATGACGATGATCTTTGAGCGCGAACTTTTATCGAACGTGTCGTCGGTGGCCAATAATTGGCGCGTTGCGCTGCGCGAGCAGGTAGTTTACATAGTGTTATATTTTGTATGTATACACGGAGTCGGCGAATTTTAGAGTTCGACGACCTCGGAGCCAAAAAAAAAAAGAAGCCGAATCGTAGATAAAAAAAAAAAGAGTAACGATCGTATCGCCGAAATGCTACGAGTTTTTTTTTCTTTTTGACCGTGAAACGTTACTTTTTAATCATCGATTTCTGCGACGTAATAATGATGATAATAACGATAGTAAAAGTTAAAGACAGAGAGAGAAAAGTGCCAAGCAAAGCATTTACAATATCATCGCCACGGAACATTTATATCCATTTTTTTTTTTTTTTTTTTTCAACTCAAGAAGATTGTGAGTGCGTATTTGAACTCTATACTGCGATACATGGCGCGATCCGCGCGCGCGCGAGACCATTTTTTTCTTCTTCTTCGTTCTTCAAACGTTGCACAACCTTATCTAAACATTGAAAAAGCTCGCGAGTCGATTGATGGATAGGATAGGCTCTCGCTCGACGTGTAAACATAACGTAACCGCGCAATATATGCTGGCTAACACACTCGTACGGATGACTTTAATGGTTTTTTTTTTTTTGACTCGTGTGCACGTAATAGACATTTTCTCTGAAGGCAGGTATGTGGAATAGAGCGCTGCGGAGAATCCAAAATTCGTGAGGTGAAAAAGAAAAAAGTGAGATCAGTCGGAGTCGTACGGTCGAAAGTGCTACATAGCTCGGCGATGCTCTCTTCATGCTTTTCCCATACTCATCGTCGATTTTCGAGATTTTCTCTCTCTCTCTCGCGGATCACCTGACTTTACAATAACCGACGCGCTTTAAAATCTGATCCCCATCGTAATTTAAATCTGTGTGAACTACTACTCTCTTTTCCAACCTCGAACTTTGTCTCTCTTCGAAAAATCAATTCCTGACTTTCTCCCTAACTTCGACTCCGTGTATTAGAGTGCACAGTGCGCATGCAACGGCGATCGCGGAAGGTCGCGGAAACGAGATCGTTATCGAATCCGCCGGCCGATGCAAATTGTACATACGTACGACGTCCGATCATCGCGCGTCATTATGTGTGTATATCGTGTGTACAGCGCCAAACGTCCGTCCGTCCGCGTTGCATAACGTACGCCACATAATATACATTTAATGCAGATTCTGCGGATCTATTTCGCGCGCAAAATAAATGCATACATAGTGTCAGCGTTTAAATTATTAGATAAATCGTCGATCGCGTCGTTGCATTACGATCGATACCCACATTTTCCTCGTTTCGTGTGTCACGTACGGGGCATGTGCCACTGGAGTCAGCACACATCATTTTTCTGTATCCGTTCTTTCGCTCTTTACTTTTTGCTGCCCTTCTTCTTTCGCTTCTCGTTGGCTTCCTCCTCTCTGGCCAGCTCCAGCTCGATCGACCTCTGCTTTTTTCGACAGGTGGGCGTCTTCGAGTACCAGTCTGATAGAAAAAAAATCAACGAATTCAGTTTTTTCTATACCCTTCATGTATACGAATGAGTGAACAAAAAAAAAAAACTCACTAAGGAAAGTGTCCTCTTCCTCCTTGTAGACCGGCTCCCTCGTGCTGAGCGCGTTGATCAGCTCGATGTGCGTCAGCGGTCGCACTTTCAATTGTACCATCCGTTTAGTCGTCATTACCTTGATGATGATACACGTAAAACGGATCGTTTAACAATCGATTCGATTCTTCATCGTCGCGTATCGTATCGCATTATATCTCTCGTATCATCAATATCCGATAACCAACCTCGTTAATGGCCTCGACCACGGTGCCGATGGTGAAGCCGTCGCACAGTCGGGCCATGGCCGACGTGTCGAACTCGCGACTCAGCCCCGAGTACCTGTAGAGCAGACCCTTCCAGACGCGCGACATCGAGCCGTAATCGGGCCTCGGCACGTAGATCACCTTGTCGTAGGCCTGATACATGAGCTTCTGATCGGCCTCCCAGGGCGAGCGCGACGTGCCGATCACGATCACACGGTCCTCCGGGCCGATGCCCTTGACGAGCTTGGCCAGGTCCTTCTTGAGCCGCTTGGGGTCGGTGCGATCGGTCTTCGGGACCTTCTTGACGAACGGCTTCTCCGCGCCCTCCATGAATATCACGGATGGTTGCAGCAGCCTCGAGACCTGCGGAGGATTATTTCATTTTGACAAATTTTTTAATTATCTCCACAACGTGATGAATCGTGTGTGTGACAAAAGTGTGTGTAGCGAATAAACAACAAAATTTTTTAATGTATAAAATTATAATTTATTTATAGAGGCAAGTTATATAACTGTACAAATTGATTCCATATCGAATCCAAGTAATACTTTTACAATGCGTCAATTGCACATAAATTCGTAGCACGCAATAATTAACAATAATTAAATAATAATTATTTATTTTCGTCGCGCACTATATCCCTATCCGTAATATCCGTTCATGCCGTAAGCTCCGTAGGGGAGTTGGCCGCCACCGTAGGGCGAGTAGAAGGGAGTGCCGCCGCCGTAGCCGGGCCTGATGCCACCGATCTGGGATCCGTAGGGCCCGTACGGCCCGTAGCCCGGCTGATTGATCGGATAGTAGTTGACGGGATATCTCTGGGCCGAGCCGAAGAGGAAGCCGAAGGGCTTGGCGGCGCCGAAACCGACGCAGCAAACCAACAGCAGCACAAGGGCAACGAGGCTGACGCTGCTCTTGACGAACATCTTGGACGAGTGATTTATATGGTGCACACACACGCACAGTGGTATTATATATATAGGTACGTTGAGACTCGCGACGAGCGAACGACTGACGATAACGGCTTACGGGACGTAGGACTTTATATTTATAATCGCGAAAAAAAAAAAACGCCGAGGCGTTGTCGCTCTACAATCGTCGTATTGTTTTTCTTTCTTCACGAGGTACGCGGATATCTGCGCGGTCAAGGTTTCGACATACCTCGTTGTATTATCTATATAACGTTCTTTGGGCGCGTCGGGGAAAATATCAAAAAAAAAGAAACGCGAAGATGACTCGTTTCGCATACTTATATCAATACCATATACCTGCGCCGCGTACGCATTATCGCAATGTTTGAAAATAATAACTGGAAATCCGTCGTACGCAATAAAAAAAAAGAATTTCGCCTCTTCTCCGTATACGCGAGCCGTATAGCGCTCCCATTAAAGAAAACAATGTGCCGTAACGTGAAAAAAAAAAGTAAGTAACGCGTGTACGCAAACCTTGGAGATAAGATGTAGCAGCATGACTAAGCCCGACTTGCCGGGATACTTGCCGGCCAGATTGGCCGGGGTCAGGTCGAAGAGGGTGGCGCCGAGCTCGTGGCACACGGCGTTGACCAGCATGCGCTTGCCGCTGCCACGCGGCCCGGCGAGCAGCACCGAGCGCACCAGCGGCGTGGTCTCGCGCACCAACTCGCTGCCCAGCGGCAGGATGCAGTACTCCCTTATCAGCTGTCTGATGTCACCTGTGTGTAATTAAGAAAGAATGTTAATTGTTTGTTTTTTCATTCGTTCGTAGAGGAGAATGTGTGTAATGGTCGAAGTTTTATTGGAAAAAAAAAATCCCTTGGAATGACGTGTTTTTACGACGAGTATGTGGGTAATTCGAATTTCGCACGGAAGTATAAAATGTGGCGGATGGCCCACTTTCTTTGGAAGAATATCGAAACAGAAACTTCGACACGATGGTACGTGACAATTTTCGCTGAATAAAGATGGGTTTTTTGCAATGATAGTCCCGATTTCCGTAAAGTCTAACAATGGTTTGAAAAATTGTACTCATTTTCAGTAAACGTTCGTCGAGCTTCGTTTGATTCTACAAAAAATAAAATTTTCACAAAGTTAATCCTTATCAAAGATTTTAATCATAAGAAAGATAAAAAATATTATTATAAATTTAAAGACGAGCTAGCAAAAGTGCATTAAACTTGACATATTTGAAGCATTCGTTTTCAAAATAAAAATTCATATCAACGTGTCATGCGTTTCTTAATAAAAAATGACGAATCAGGGTATTTTTTTCACATCTCAACCAATCGTGAAGAGCGAAGAAAAAAAAACCCGACGCTCATATAGTACCTATGGCTGGGAGCGGATCCTTGCCCCTCTGGCCCAGATGAAACTCGCCGTAGGAGCACTGGCCCTGATAGCTGTCGAGCTCGATCTCGGGATACGTCCTGACGATGCCCTGCTCCAGCAGCTCCTCGAGCAGCGACTCGGTCGTCCGATCGGGCGTCAGGTCCTTCTCCTTCTTGCGCTTGTTCTTCTTGCCGCTGCGTCGCGCGCGCTTCTGCGACTTCTTTGCAGCCGCACCCCGTTTACCCTTGTAGCCTCGGTCGCGATCCAGGGCCGCTTGGAGGGCCTCGACGTCGGCGCGCAGCGCCTGATCCACCTCGAGGCGCACCTCGCGCTCGACCTCGCGCTCCGCCGCCGCAGCGATCATGTCCAGGTAGGCCGACTGCGCGGTGTTGGCGGACTCGTCCTTGCCGCGCCAGATCTCGCGGTACTCCTGCGAGGCACGGGCCAACTCGGCCAGATGATTGGAGGGTTGAGGTCGGAAGTAGCCCATCTCCGACTCGGCCTCGGACTCGGCCTGCGCCTGCTGCTGATCGGCGTCGGCGTTGCCGCCGGCTTTGCCCGCCGATTTTCGTGACTTCTTGGAGCCACCGGCCCCGCCTCCGTCCTTGGACGACGACACCCCGGTGGACTTGCTGAGCGAGCTCTCGGTGTCCTGCCGGCTGAATATCAGCCTCGAGCCGCCGTTCTCGGCCGACGGTATGTCCGGTATCTTCCCGGTCTGCCTGTAATGCGCGCCGATCCACGCCCTGATCTCCGCCCTCATCCGCTCCTCCATAATGGCGCTCCTCTCCGCCTTGATCCTCCGCTTCACCTCCACCCTCAGCTGCTCGTACTCGGCCTGATACGAGTCCTGCAGCTCGTACCGATCGCGCGTGATCCTCTCCAGCTTCCTGGCCGTCTCGGTGAGCTGCTGGGCCGGCGGCAGCATGCCGATCAGCGACATCTCGTCGAGTTTGCGCTGTCGGACTCGGGCACGGGCGCGCCAGCCTCGCCAGACCCGCTGTATCAGCAGGGCCGATCTCTCGGCGACGAGGGGGTCGCGCGCGTCCTTGGCCTCGGCCGCGCGTATGCTCGAGCGCTCCTTCATGTCCAGGATCTCCTTCATGAATTGGAAGCGGACTCGGCCTTGTCGCGCGCGCTCGTGTGCCTATAAAAAATAATGTTCTCGCTTGAGTAATAATAAATAGTTTTTGAAAGCAACCATTTATAAACTTACCTGAATGAGCCTAACGGCCGCTCGCTCGGTCATGATCCTTTTCTCCGTCCTGTCCTCGAGATGGCCCAGCGCCCTCAGCGTCCTCTCGATCAGCTGCCTCCTCTCGGCGATCTCACGGGCTCTCTCGCGCCTAAAATACCTCGGTATCCGGCTCTCGACCTGTTCCGGGGTCAGCCTCGTCGTCGGGTCCTCCTCCTCCAGACGCCCTGACAGCAGCGCCTGATCTCGAGCCCAGGCGTGCTCGCTCAGCTCCACCTCGACGAGCTCGTGCTTCAACTCGATCACGCGGCCCAAACAGCCGTCCAGCAGGCGTCGCAGCAGCTCGCGCTTCTGGGGCTGCAGGCACTGATCGTGGCAGTCCTCGAGCCGATTGGCGCAGTCGACGTAGCGCGCGTAGAGGCCGGCCAGACGGCCACGGACCTCCGAGGCGCGTTCCCTCTTGCCTGCGCCACCGCCGCCACCTTCGGTGCTGCTCCGAGATCGTTGGGTCCAGTCGGTGTCATCCTGCACGAGGAGCTCCAGCTGATCCTGGCACTTGGCCCAGAGCTCGTCGCACAGACTGTTGGCCATTGATTATTATTATATCGATCGTTTTAAGATCGCACGTAAACGTACTCGAGAACGAAGAGCAGGACGAGAAAGAGAAGCAGAAACACGGCCAGGATGAGGATGTCCTGCTTGAACGATTTGTTGATCGACATTATTTTTTTTTAATATAACTTTCACTCACTAACTTTACGCAACGTACGATCATCCACACGCGCTCGCGGGTGTACATCTACTGGGCCACTGTACTGCTGCGGGTGCATATCGCGTGTGCCAAGTTTTTTCTTTTCCTTCTTTTGTTTTGGCGCAAAACACCGCAGCAGCAGTGGCCGGCCGGCCACCCACACACCCCCATAGAGAGAGGTGGGTATATAGCAACGATGCAGTTTCCGCATGCGGTATTACGTATACAGAGGAGGAGGAGAAAGAAGGGATAAGGTTTGGTCGATAATCTTCTTATACTCGGCACGCGCGATATTTGTTTATTATAAACGTGATAATACTGGTTGCTTCGTGTTCGCGTTGTCTCAACAAACTGCCATATCGAATTTCGTTCGAAATCGGAGGGACGGAATCGAACGCGCGAAAAATTCGTTACACGAGTGGATGATATTGCCTATATATGCATAGGTGTATATGCGGCAAAAAGCCGGTATGTTATCGCCACTGCAGCGCCCAACACAATAATAATAAGAAGTTGACGTTTGGCGCCCCCGCCGGCCGCTGCGCAAATATACCACAACACTTCTGCAATATCGAAATCGTCTCTCGTCGCCGCTGCTGTATGTACACGCTGATCATCGTTGCCCCTTACGTGCAAATTGTGGTCCTGTTGAATAAGTTTATACGAGTTGACGCTTATACCCAAGACGGTGCTTGTGTTTTTCACTCAACGTTTATAAAGAATATACGAGGCACCGTGTTGTGCTGGCTTGTGCGTGCGTACACCCGCTCGAGTCTCGGCCTTTTGAACGAGAAGAAGTATCGCTGAAAACAGAACAGTGAATAAATCCCAATCGATCATCATGTCGAGCAGCCTCGAGCAGATTGTCATGAGCACGAGGAGTCTCAGTTCCGCGGGTGAGAATAATGATGCACACGCCTCTAATATCTATCCTATTTATTTATCAAAAATCCCTCGAAGCAATCTTCCCCTTAACCCAGCATCGTCATAACCTACAAACGGGCGGTTTGTTTTGATTGTTTTTTGATGTTTTTTGACTTAATGCGTGTGTTCGTTATTACGCAGGTGACTTTAAGGAGCTGGTCACGCTGCTGCCGAAACACATCGAGATACTGACGCGGAATCACCAGCATCTGGATAATGTGCTGGAGACGCTGGACCTAAGCCACCACACTATTGGGATGCTAGCCGTCATGTACGTCAAGATGAACCTTTTCGCCAACAGCAACAACAGTACGCTTGAGCAGTTCAAACTGTTGTTACCGCAGCTCCAAGAGTTCATCCACTGTTGTAACAAAGAACAAATTTCGTTCGCCTGGGAAACGTGTAAGTCGATGGTACTGATTTTAGATTCTGCGGGCTACGTGATAGTTGAGTTAAAAATTTTTCACCCATGTTTTGACTAGTTGCCGATTTGTGTCACCTAATAACGAACCAGCTCATCGACTTTGGAATACCCATTACTGGAATCAAACTCATGATGAGAGCCATCAAAAAACTTCAGTCTAAGGACACACATTTGACTGCTGTACATGCTGATCTTTGCAAGCTCTGTCTGGCATCCAAGTGCTTGAAGCCAGCTCTGAAATACCTAGAGAAAGACATAAGTCAGATTGACACTGGAGAGGATGCAAAGCAATTTTTACTTTACTTTTATTATGGTGGCATGATCTACACAGCGTTGAAAAAGTATGAAAAAGCTCTGTACTGCTTTGAAGTTTGTACAATGACGCCAGCACAGGCTATCAGTCATATAATGGTTGAAGCCTATAAAAAGTTCATGCTAGTGTCTCCAATTTTAATTGGAAAAGTACAGTTTCTCCCCAACTACACTTGTAATTTAGTTAAAAGGTAATATCTTATAGTATTCTATAGAAAAAAACCTTGATATACGTGCATATTCATCAAATTTTGTTTTGCAAATTTTTCAGACATGTTAAAAGATTATGTGCGCCATATGTTGAATTATCAAATGTTTATTGTACAAATAATTGTGATGAAATGAAAAGAGTCATACGAAAATACGAAGAATCACTCATTAGAGATAAAAATCTTGGATTAGCCAATCAAGTTCTCAATTCTTTGTACAAAAAAAATATCCAAAGGCTCACAAACACATTTCTTACTTTAAGTTTAACTGATGTAGCTGCCAGAGTAAAATTATCAAACATAGCTGAAGCAGAAAAATATATACTGAATATGGTAAATATGAATATTTTTAAAGAGATATTAAAAAATTATTCTTCAATACTTGATACTGATATTAATTTATTTTAGATTGAAGATGCTGAAATTTTTGCTGTAATAAACCAAACAGATGGAATGGTTGTTTTTCTTGATGATCCTGAAAAATATAACTCTCCAAGAATGCTTGCAAAACTTGAAAAGGAAATGGAAGAATGTGTAGAACTTGGTAAGAAAGTTCTAAAAATGGAAGAAGAAGTTATAACTGCTCCTATTTACATCCGCAAAGTTTGTGGAGGAAATGAACAAGAAGAACAAGCTCTTGCTAATTCACCTGCTCAAAATGCAACCACAACTCAAGTTCAAGGAAAACAGAATACTTATACAATGTAAAACAAGCATATTTTGAACTAGATATCCAGATGATAATTTAAAAAGATTGAACTGACAACTGAAATTAAATATTTCAATTAGTTGTTAAAAGCAAATTTATATAAAAAATTTTAAACATGTGATATCAAATTACGAATGTTTGGAATTTAAACGGAGAAGATGTGCTTACATCATTTTAAGATGTTGAACTTTTGCACTAAAGCAAATGGTCGAAAACTTTGCCAAACTAACTTTAAAAATAAAAAATTTATAGTTTTAAAATTAATAGTTTTTTCGATTCTCAATCGTCTTGGTCACAGGTTGTCAGCAAACTGACGGCTTTTTTGTATTTATTAAAATAAAACAACAAAAAATAAATTTAATATTTGGTTTATTTTATTGTTTATAAAACAATGTGGTAACATCTTTAATAATTATTTTACTTAATTCATCTATACTCTCTGTTCCATCAAGAAACTGTATTTCACTTTCTAACTTTTCATTATTCATTATTTCCAACCTATGTTTCAAATATTCAGGCCACACAACTTTATCAAAATATCCAGGAACATCTGGAGGGTTGTAAACACGATTTTTTCTTCTATTCCAGCAAACTTCTTTACTTATATGCAAAAAATACTTTTTATCACACAAATCAGCAATTGGTTTATAGTTGTATAATAAAAATCCTTCTAAAATTAAAATTTTCCTATCCACGCCATTTTCTTGATTAAATGAGTTGATTGTTTGTTTCACATCTTCATACATCTGCGGCATATCCATACTTGACATTATTTCCCAATTGAAGTGATTCAATTCTGATACAAGGGTATGCCGCTTATCATCTTCTGGTAAAAAATACGAATCCTGATTTATTAATACTGAATCTTTAAAGTGTTCATGTACTTTTTTTGAAACACTTGTCTTTCCGCTACAAGTTGGTCCTGATATTCCAATTACAAGATACTTCATTTTGAGTGCACTATTATTACTACAGCACAACCAATGCAGAGCTTGCTTACGCAGTTTATAGGTAACTAAGATTATTTTCCAACTCATGTGAGCATGTAAGTTGTTATCTTAATAGTTATATAATCACTTGATATTGTACAATTATGAGTCTTATTCAACATTTTATGGCAATTGATGGTACATAAAAAAACTAATTATTTGTACTTTTTGAACACAGGAAATGATTCCTTTCTTATCTATTCTTTGCCTTATTGTTCAAGTGAAGCCTTATATGATAAATTGTGAAAATAGTTAAACCTCCTATGAAAATGAGCCCACTTATAGCTGGTACAAACAAGGCAATACTGTGCGACATAAACATTGCTTTCAATCTGTCATCTTCGAAAAAGGGATAACCAATAACCCATAGCGTATAGTACAGAAAAATGACACTTGCAGATATTAATATGACTTTTCCTTTTTCTCTGTCGCTTAACATTATACTTCAATGATGCGGTGCAACGGTGAAGTTTTAATTACTATCTGCTTGTACACGTCATTAATGCAATCAGCCGACACTTTGTACGATGTATTATCATACTTCACATTCTTCAATTTAAACCTGTAAAAGATAAAAGAAAAAAATAACAGTTTTACGCATTAAACTTCTGCTAGCTGCAATGTCAACAAAGTGAACAATTGACTCGTAAAAAATTGTCACTCATGCCTTACGGTACACACTTACCGCTCCTTTCGTTGCTTTTCAAATTGATAAGCTCATCCGACGACCTTCTATTATTTTTTCTACCTTCCAATCGCAGCAAATGCCAAGTTTTCAATGTAACTCCTGCAATGCAACACGCAGCGTAAATAAGCTGTGCATGTGTATCGACCATTTACGTGTGTTTCTATTGCAGCACAGCCGACAGCGGCTGAATGCGCTAAACTCGCGTAATTTTTTAAACTTTCATTTGGATTTCGATCTTCATCGTTAAATAGAAGTGATGACAATTAAGTTTTATAATACTATTAACACAACGTGTATTACTGGTTAAACACTTGTATTGGCTTTTCACGTCAACTCTTCTATATAATAAATAAAAATTATTAACATCGATTATACATTTACTGGTATAATTAAGCACGAAAGCATATGACTTTTTATTGACAATTTTTTTAAATAACAACATTAAATAAAATTATTATTTAACACTTTGCGAGTTATTTTTTAATTCATGTCATCTGAATGCGAAATTCCATTTTATATCAAAAAAGAAATTTTCAATATCTATTGTAAAATTTTCTTCAGAATTTATTAGGATAAAAATTTTATTGTCACTCTTATATTAAGTCTGCAAACCCAAAAAAATAATAATTTAAATTCTAGGGTTGCTGAACAGTATGATAGTGTTTGGAAGAGTATCGAGCGAGTTATTATTTTTTTGAGATTGTCGAAAATAAAATGTATAAAACAAAAGTAGACAATTAAAGAAATTCATTTCTGTATGTACAAATTTAAATTTGCCACTCTCTTTGGGTGCACCCACAGTTTTTGGAGTGCGCCGCCGTTCAGTTTCTACCACGCGTATAATTCATGCTTATGCCGCTTCTAGGCTTTCTCGGTCTTTTTTAGCTGGCCGTTCTGAGTGTTGCACAGGTATGGTACAAGTTTTGCATAGTTTTTAAACAATTAATGTATGTAAAAATAGTTCTAAGCAAACTTGCATGTTTCATTATTCGCACCGAAGATGATTTTTCGCTTCACATGTTGAAAATAGTGACAATTTACTTATTAACACGTGCTATTTACGAGCGTCCTAACCTCCATTGCAAATATCTTCGTATAATTTTAAGGTTTTCTGATGCTAGAAGAATTATTCATAGCTGGAAGCAACTTTGTTACAACTTGATCAATTTTTGATAATCATTGTATTCATATTGTACATGCCTATTTTGTTTACTTGACCAGCATATTTTAGTAACACTTGTGTTGCATTTGATGATTGTTGCATATTTAACACTGAAATATCCTCTTATTTATTGAACAATTTTTATTTTCACAGTAATTGCAAGATGAAGACGATAAACACTTATCAAACAGTGAAAATCCCTCAGGGTTTGACTGTCTCAGTCAAATCCAGGACTGTCACCGTAAAGGGACCAAGGGGTGTATTGAAACGCTGTTTCAAACATCTCGCTCTTGACATCAGAGTGAGTACAAATTAATTTCTTATTAAGGGCTTAAGAAGGCTTGAATAATTTTATATTTTTATTCATATTATTAAGCTGAAATTTGAATAACATTTTTTTTAGAAAACAGGCATAAGAGCCTTTTTCTATGCTTATCGCTGAAGATCTTTAGACTGATACCAGTATATTTAAGTCTTTGTAAATATCTCACAGGACAAAGTACTTTCTAAAAGGGTATTGAAAAAGGCTGTTATATCTGTTGTCTAAAAAAAAATTGTTCACTTTTTCAGCTCAATACTATAAATAGATATATAAAATTATTTGAACCCTTAATTCATATTTTATTCAGATCTCATTGTTTATTCTATGATGATATTGTGGATTCCCCTTCATTTAATTATAAATGATTAATTCGTTTCTGATACAACCAGTTCATTCAAACACTTTAATATGTTATTGGCATCCATTTTACATTGATTTTTGGTATTTCAGATGGTCAACCCAAGATTATTGAGGGTAGAGAAGTGGTTTGGAACCAAAAAGGAATTGGCTGCAGTAAGGACAGTATGCTCTCACATTGAGAACATGCTCAAAGGAGTCACTAAAGGATATCAATACAAAATGAGATCCGTATATGCCCATTTCCCCATCAACTGCGTATGCACTAACGAGGGCTCCACCATTGAAATCAGAAATTTCTTGGGTGAGAAATTCATCCGCAGAGTCGAGATGGCTCCAGGTGTTACAGTCACCAACTCCAAAGCTCAAAAAGACGAGCTGATCTTGGAAGGAAACTCTTTGGAAGATGTTTCTAGATCTGGTAAGTTATTCATCACAAGTTGAAACTTTTATGTGTAAAGAGATTCTACTTTATTTTTTTATATACTTTATTTTGGTAATGGTCATGTGTTTCATTCTTGAATTTTTTTTTCAGCCGCTCTCATCCAGCAATCTACATCTGTCAAAAATAAGGACATCAGAAAGTTCTTGGATGGTCTCTATGTGTCAGAAAAGACCACTGTTGTTCAAGATGAGGAATAAGCTAGATCGAATTGTTTATAAAACAAATATAAATATAAAATCTTAAATATAAGTGTAAATACAAAAACATTTGCACTGAAAATCTATTTTTTTTAATCAAACTTTTACCCTTATTTACAATGGACAATATACTTGAAAATAATTTTTAACATTGAAAAAACCGGATGCTAAAATGATGGATCAATAAGTCATTGAATTTGTTTATCATATTTTTCTTTATAAACTAAAAGTAAAAATTAGTTATTGATGAATCAATTACTCGATGCTGAGTACTCACTTTTTTTAATTTGATGGTATACTTGATGCTCCATAATCATTCAAATTAATAGCTACTGTTGCGTGTGATTCTTGAATCAAAGCCTTCCTTATGAAAATAATATACCAAATCGAGCTATACTCGTGAGATCTTATAATCGTAAATCAGATCGACATTCCAAAAGCTCGTTTAATTTTAATTGCTTTCTGACTGTAGAATCGCTGAAAAGCGTGTCGCGTTTTGAAAAATCGTCAAGCACGTTCCAACACAGTGACCGCTTTTCGAAATGACTGTCACCCCAGATGTGCGGAAATCAACGCAGAACTCGTTATCGCTCGCTGCGACCTAGTGCGCAAAAAATGAAGAATCGTTTCGCATAAAGTATCTCCGTTATTTCAAAAATTTTCGAACGACTCTTCGCGCCGAGTGTCTATGTGTGCTTGTGAGTTCGTGTGTTAGATTTTCGGCGTAATTTCGTTCGCATCATCGTGGCGCATGCAAAACTCGCGGGTCATCGCTACTCATGCCTCGATCCGCAGAATCGACAACACAACGCCGAAATCATTACATTTCGGAGAGATCTTGGATTCTCGCAACGACACCGCAACGACGTTATATGTGTATAAACATGTGTGCGCCGATATATATACACACACGACACACAACGCGAAATCGCCTGTCTGCCGCCAGTTTTCTCGAGAGATTCGCGTCGCTCGCAACACAGCACGTCGTCGCGAGCTCGCGTCCCCCTGATTCGCGTACTTTATCGTTCCGTCGGTGCTTGAAAATCGATCGGTTATCAACGATATTCGATGATTCGGAATAAAAAAACAATAAAAATTAGGCAGCGGTTAAATAAACTGACAATTCGAACGTAATATTCGTTTATTTTGGTATCGCGCACTCGCGAGTGCAGGTGCTATATTTATTTTTTCATATCCCGCGAGAAATAATTCCGAAGGACCATTCGGAAAATATATTTCTCCGTGTGTGCAGTGGTTTATTATTAATAAATATTGTGTGTGTATGTGTGTGTGTGAAAGAAAATAATAATAATAAATAATAATAAATCAACGAGGCAAAAGAGCTTGAAATACACTCTTGTAACGCATATCTGATTATCATGTGCAGACGTACTTACGAGGAGATATCGTATGGATACGCGATTGCCATTGACATCTCGAGACTCGCGAGAGATGTGTGTATGTAGCAGGATAAGAATGACGAACATATTTAGATGATAAAGAAGCGAACCAGAGAGAGAGAAAGAGAAATTTGGACTTTCCGTCCGTACAAATTGATACAACTGTTTCATTCGAACAGTAATCCCGGGCGAGGATCGTATACAGCTATTACACGGCGAACTTACTACCCATCATCATGTTTGTTTTGAAAAGTTTGGCAAGTATCATATATCATTTACCTCGTCGTCGGAATTTAATTAATTAATAATAATAACTCGAGACATTTTCTAATAAAACAGCGCAGAAAATTCTCATCGAGAAAGGAACGAAACGACGTCAACAAGATCAGGCCTGCACAGCCTGTGGCCGCAGCCGCAGCACCACCAATGCAGCAGCAGCAGCAGCCGACCAGGAGGAGAATCGAGAAATCCGCGACGGTGACCGCGACCGCAGCCGCGACGAGGACAGCGGCCGGTGCTCGCGATGCGGCTGTAGCCGCCGCCGCGGCCACAGTGGCAGCGAGAGCCAATTCCGTTGCCGCCACGGCTGTAACAGCAGCAGCAACGACGAGGAGCAAGAGTTTTCACGGGACTCGACCGAATCCGGCCGATCCGGACTGTCATCATTGCAGTCGTCGCAGCAGCAACACCAGCAGCAGCAGCAGCAGCAGCAGCAACGACGACAACGGAAACGACGACGATAACGCAGCGTTATCCATTACGAACGTGAACGACGACTCCTTGCTCGACGTCGACGATTGTCAAAAGAACGAAGGTATGCGGTGTCGATTTCTTCGAATCCAACGTGTACGTGTCTTTACTGTATCGTGTTTAATTCGCAGCATCGGAGGAGCAAGGGCTAGCAGCCAAAGCATCGACGTCGTTGACGACCAACGTATCCACGTCGCCGTCCTCTACCACTACCACCACAACCACCACCAGCGCGCGACGTAATATCTGCGCCTGCTCGAACTGTCGCGGCCTGGCCCAGCTCGTCGAGTGCGCCGTCTGTCTCGAGTGCCTCCAGGGCGGCCAAATCCGCTGCTGTCCCGTTTGCGCCAACGCCGTCTGTCAGGGTTGCGCGGGCCGCCTCAAGCACTGCGCCTTCTGTCGCTCGGCTCGGCCCCTCGAGCCCAATCGGGCCCTCGAGCGTTTCGTCGATCGCCTCGTGCTGCCCTGCCGGAACGCGAGGCAGGGCTGCGCGCGCGACTGCACGGGCGAGACTCGCCGCGGCCACGAGGCCACCTGCCGCTACGGCCAGATCGAGTGCCCGGTGGGACGCACCACCGTCAAGTGCGGCTGGCTCGGCACGACCCGCGAGATCGCCGAGCATCTGGACGAGCATCACAAGCTCAGGGTGCTGGAGGGCCGCGCGTTCGCCCTGGAGATAGGCCAGTTCCGGGCCAAGATCAGTCACGAGACCAGGGGCTGCATCTACACGATCTGCCTGAGCTGTCACGATCAGCTGTTCGTCATCAAGATCCATTTGAAGCGGATGCAGCTCAGGCTCAGCTGCGAGAGACTGGGTTGGACCCGCGAGCTCGACGACGGCCTCGCCGCCGACGAGTCGTCGTCGCCTGCTGCTTACGGGATCGCCGTGCAGACGTCCTCCTCGTACGAGTGTCGTCGCAAAGTCAAGTTCTTCGTGCCCATGGGCAGATACGAGCGAGAGGTCAAGGAGTTCACGGTCGACTGCAAGAAGCTGCTGCGAAAAGACCATGTGACCGAGGCGCCGCCAACCGACGATTGTCCGTGCGGCGCCGGTGATAATCACGACATGGTGAAAATCCAGATGAGAGTCAAGAGGCTCGACGAGAACGAGAAGATCAACGACAATATCTTCGTGGATCACAGATCGGCGGGTCTCGTCTCGTCGGTCGATCGTCTCAGAGGACGTTAGATGCCCCTTTTGACGAGATCTTTTTTTGTTTGTTCCAATTACTCCTATGATTGGTGAAACTCGTTTGTTTTTCCTGCTTTTTTTTTGTTTGTCGAGAGAATGGCAACGTTACGGAATCGATTTTGCTTCGTGTCATTTTCGTCGAAAATCACAAAACAAAATTAAGCTCGTGTTTCGTTTTTCGCTCGAACAAAAAAAAAAAAAAGAGAGGAAGACGCAGAGAAAAATATTTTGTTTAACTCGTTTCGATCGTTAAATTTTCAAAATACGGAGCTTGCGAAGCTTTTTCTTGTTACACGGCTCGCGCCGTTCTTCGGCCTCGCGCTTTAGACAACCATTACAATTTTTTTTCGGCCCGAGGGGGAGTTGTATATATATAATTCTATCGCAACGATTTCAGCTTTGATATGATTCACAGAGATTTTCTTAGCAGCTCCGATCCGCGCGCACACATATATAAATTCGTGAACGTGTTGCGCAATGATCATCAAAAAGCGTCGAGAATGACGACAACGAATTTTTTTCACACTCGACTTTGCGATGAGATAAGTAAAAAGAAAACAGCAAGGAAAAATGCGCAAATCTGTGTACGCGGACGCACGTTTCTAATGAGACTATAAGTGCTAAGATGAAAATTCGAGCGCAATTTGTACAACCAAATTGATGTATATAGATTTATATAGTTTAATATAAAAGTTAAGGTATGTAGTTAAATCAAGTCGTGTAAATAATTCTATTACATATAGCTTTAGTTTGGTTAATTCAAGTGTGATTTTTTTTTTAATTTACCAAATAGATATAAGTTACCTAGAGTTTACCTTGAAATAAAGCGAAAAGCAAAAATAATTCAACAAGAAATTACACATTTTGCATTTTATAGCTGCTTAAACAGATAACTCGAATTTAAGCATCATTGATTTATTAATCGTTTGCACTGTTAGCTATTATTTAAATCAGATACCTTATAAGTTACAATTTTATTAGTTTTGACAACCGATTTTAGGAAATCTGAATATATTGTAGAAAATAATTAAGTAAAATGCATAGAGCTCATTGTTAAAATGAAAAAATTTATTTGTATTTTTGTTATTTATACGTGTTTGTGTAAAAATGTAAAAAAGTAATTACGTTAGTTTCAATGCCAAAGCGCATCTAACACTATTTGTACATATCTATGTCAAATCATTGTTTGATATATCAATAAATTTCTAAGTTTCATTAATAACTGGTTTCTTTATTCAGTAATATCATTGTAAACAATAAATCCTTACAATAAAAATTTATATTTTTTTGTACAAAACAATAAAAAATTCACTCTAAAATTTTTCTAATGCTACGTACAAGTTTTTACAAATCACACCTTGAATTAAAGTGTAAAGTATTCGAAAACTTATGAGGGAAAAATTACGTGTATTTACACATCATTCTCACATTGAAACTTTTATTCTAGTGCAATCACACATGCTTATTTTCTTAAATTTATTATCCATTGAATCTTTTATTATCAAAATTCGAAATCTATTGCCAATACCATCTATTAAAAAACTTCATTATCACTCTAAGATACAATTCTGATGGAAACAAGATCTACTTATGTATTCCTGTATATATATTTTGATGATTTATGTAAAAACATGTATATAAATAAGTAACTGTTTAGGCCATTTGAAACTAATACGATACCCATCCGTTAATTCTAGTCTTGGAGCCCACAGAAGGGACGTTTGGAAAAGATGGATCAAAGTGTGTTGGATCTATCTTTTCCAAACTTCAGTTTCGATCTTCTGTGGACTCCAGGACCATTCTAAGTTTTACTTTTTCAGCAATGCTACAATTGAATAATAATAATTGCTTGGAAATTCTAAAAAACGTTACTTTTTGGAAAACAATTATGCTAAGTATTTTTCTACACCACGTTGTGACCCTGTATTTTGAAATTCAATTATATATTACAATACTTTTTCGTTTTCACAATGATTATAATGATGCAATTATAAGTTATTTGTTCATGCTATTTTATACTCTCCTCTATATGATATTTTCCTTTAAAAACCAAATTTCAAGATTGGTAAATTCTTCAAATTATCTCGTATTATTATTTGAAAATATTTTTGTAAATCAGTCAACATGGCTAAAATGTGTAAAACTTTTTTAGGATGAACACATGTTGTATATCAGTCAATTACTGTGACTTCATGGACACTAATTTCCTTCCACGAGCTCTAGCTTCTGTACGTACATTTGTATACTCAAACCAAAAAATATTTGGTATAAGAGTAGTATCTCGAAGTAGTAAATACTCTGATATTTTCCTAAAAATTAAATTTAACAAAATTTCAATTAATAATGGTATTAATTATGTTTAAAAAAGCATAAATTACAAGAATGATGGCATACCATGATACAATCACTGGGAAGAATGGAGTTAGAACTAGATGAACAATTACGAACCAAATAATACCTAAAACACTTCCTATAACAGTCCCCCATAATACTTGAGAAGTAGAATGGTATTGCAGATAAATTCTACTGTAGGTCACTAATATGGCAAAACCAATACATATTCCCATGGTAAGTAATCGCCAAAATCTCTCCGACAACGAAATATTATTGTTTTGGTGAGATCTGCAATAAGTACAATTTTCATATAGTCACTCCTAAAAGCAGTGAAAATAGTGAAGGCATCTTCTATTTACCTGAATATCATAAACAGAGTCATGTAAGTGGCAAAAAACCACATGAATTGTGCATGAGTTGATGGCATTCCATATTCAGAGTACAGGCCATCTCTTCTCATAGGTCGAGCTTCTTGAATTGTGTGCTTGAGTAAAAAGTTAATAATCTCATTGGCAGTTACGCCTCCAAAAAATGCAATCTTAAACAGAAATAACATTCATAAGAGAAACAATCATTTACTTTGAATGATTGTCTTTTAAATTTTATACTTACAGTGTGTAAATCTCTCCTAAAAATCATCAATGTTAAAAAACCAGCTATAACGGCAAATGGAGTAAGACTAATGATAGCCAGTATTAAGCCTAGTAAATTGCCTGAAAAAATAGTAAATTCATTAATATGGATTTATTGCAATTTACTTAGGATTTATTTTTATGAAAATGAACCATTGAATATTCATTCGTTGGAGAAAAAAAAAACAAGTAAGAAAATTATAAAGATGATTATAAATCATAAATATAAATATAAATATAAAGAAAATTATAAATCATACCCACACAACAAATGCTGCAAAAAAGTTACAAAATATAACATGCATATACAGAAACAGCAAGACCATCGATGCAACGATTCTGTTATCGTTCACGGCCCAATGCCCGAACTTTACCCAAAAAGTGTCAAAAAAATGTACCATGCAACAAATATTCCAAAAACGTTACAAAATATAATATGGCTATACAGAAACAGCAAGACCATCGATGCAGCGACTCTGTTCTCGTTCACGGCCCAGTGCCCGAACCTTACCCAAAAATTATCAAATAAATGCACCATGGTGAAAATTATATAATGGATCAAAAAGATGGATAAAACTCGACGGGAAGAAAAGCTGCAGGTTACAAGTTGACGAAAAAAAAAAAAAAATTAGAAAGGCGGCTAGTACACCGCCACACGTGCATTTCATTCGGGAATCGAGTATCATCGATCATCATTCAAGGAACAGATGTGTTCCATGGCCTTGTTGTTTCAGAGCCCCCCGCAACGCCTTTTGCCTACGTGTATGCGACTCGTCTAAGACGACGACAACGTGTCCAGAAAAAAAAAACGGGAAACGGAAGATAAAATTAGACCCACGAAGAGAGAGAGAGAAATCCATTGAAAACTCGGTAACGACTACTCCGCGGCAGTCGCTCGTTCACGCCGTCGAAAAAAGTAGTGGGAAAAGAAATTACGGAAGAAACGCGTATTAAGGAGGAAAACAAAAACAAAGCATGTGCAGTGTGTACTGTGTGTGCTAGGCTAGCGGCAGCACGCACAGACAGACGGACACTTTTTTGGGCAACGTTGTTTTTTTTTTCTTTTTGGTCTTTACCTTTTGGATACTCGACGAGGGTGAGCGAGAGCGGCACCCACGCCTCGGGGTCGTGACTGAAGCTCGACGACATGACGACCACGATGATGTATACGCGAAGACGACGATGGACACGAACTCTACGTGTCCGTGTGTTGTGTATATTTTCCTTATATGCGTAAAGTAATACTGCTGACGACGGCGATGATAGATCCTCGCGTGTGTCGCTTGCTCTGCCCACCGCTGCTGCTGCGCCGCGTAAACAAAAAAAAATCACAGATCCGTTGCCCCGTACAAATTAATAATAAATAAATAAAAAACAACAACAACAACAACAAACAAACAATAATAAATAACAACAACAACAAAACGACAGTATCGCGCGCGGGGGCGGCCTGTCTGTCTTGTCTGTCTGTCGTTGTGTCCGTGCACACAGCACCGCGCGACGATCAGCACAGCAGCAGCCTGTGCAAGCCTGCCAGTGCTGCCTGGCCTGGCGGACTATTTGGCAGCTCGGCTCGGCAGCGGCTGACACGGCCGCGGCGGTGGTGGTGGAGGCGCGTGCAGAATCGAGCCCCAGCAAAAACGATGCGATATATGTATACAATGTACATATAGGTATATGTGAGAGCTGCGCGCGTCTATACGGATCGCAATATAATCTTTACCCTGGACAATTAGCGCGGGATGCGATATTATACGCAGGGGGGAGATTCGCATTTATCATTGGCGTACGTCTCAATTTTCGCTAGGGCAAGGAAACGGCTATCCGAGCTTCTTGGCATACACGAAGCTCGAATAACCACGACGTTTTCATTATAATACATCGTCGTTTTTCTGCACGCGTGTATATAATACTTATATCCCCCTGCGGCGTCGGTGGGGGGCGGGGGAGGGGGGGCTTCTTTTATATACGAATGCATATTTCAATGTGCTGTTCTCTGCACTCTCGTAAACTCGCAGCGCGCTGTATGCTCGCTTGCATATAATCACGGCGTTGGCGGCGGCGGCGGTGCACCGCGCGTTATACACACATACGCGTGTCTGTATATATGTGTGCTATGTAGTCGTCGAATTCGGAAAACTCAAAACTGAGAGAGTAATATATCGTGTCGGGGAACGACGACGACGCATGCGTCGGACTCCGAAGTACGTGTGGAGTCACATACACACACCGATACTATAATATACAGTTTTACTTTTGCCTGCCTACACACAGCTCCTCTGAGAGGCCGCTTAGCTATACTTATATATCGCAGTGTAAGTGTGTTCCCGTGTGTTGTGTTGTATATATACGGGGGATAGCGTATAGATAAAGTTCACCGCTTCGCAGGTTCTTTGTGTCGCGTATCGCGCGGCGTTTACACGCATACACAGTGTGTGCGTGTGTGTGTGTAGTGTACCAACGAGAGAACGCGTTTATATGGACTGCGTACACATAACACGAGAGAGTAAAAGAAAAATAAAAGTATTACACATAGGAGAGAGAAAGACAGACGGAGAGAAATAATATAATATAGTCTCTCGGTCGTCGAGTCGTATATACACTACGCGTGTTGTGTGCCGTGCATTGTGTCCTATTGCGCGCGGGTAGAGAGAGAGAGATATCACCTTGCCGTGATCTTTAAACAACAAAAAACATCAGCAGCAGCGGCGGCAGCAGCGAACTACAGTCTGCAGCACGACGTCCGATTATCGTGTCCGCCGCATTATTATATCGAACAATAAAGTCGCTCGCGGGTGTTGTGTTAGTATTTTTTTTTTATGTTCACTCCTTTTTTTTTTGGTTCGTTATTGTTATAAGTCGATCAAGAAGTAAGATCGTAATTAAATATAACCGTATCGCATATAAACGTGTGCCTGCGTGTGAAACGCAACGACGCATCATTTTGGAGTTTATTTACACACGTTCGACAGAGAATCATAAGCTCCGGTGAATGAAGTCGAGCTGATCCACCGCCGACGCCGCCGCCGCCGTCGTCGTCGTCTCCGAACGGCAACAGCAGCAGCAGCAACAGCAGTGGTGGCTGAGCGGCAGCCGCGGCAGCGAACGCAGTAGCAGCTCGAAAAAAAAGCGAGAGAGACACGAAGAAAGCCGACTACTACTCTACTGCTGCTCCGGAGTGTCTCTCCTGCTGCACATTGTTGTTCTCTGTGTGACGTGATAAGCACGACAAACTAAATTGTAATTAGTGCGCAACAGTATAATCCAATTAATAATATTAAACAAAAATAGACTCTATTGGTGTTGTTATAAGTTTCTTAGAGAGAGATATATGCCGTGTTATAGTTAATATATAAGGAGGGAGAGCGAGAGAGAGAAAGAGAGCGAGAAAGAAATTGAAATGAAAGAGAACGGTGACGATGATGATCGAAAAGCGTGAGCGTGAGAGAGAGAAAGAAAGAAAGAAAGGAAGGAAAAATCTATCCAAGTGAGAGCGGCCGAGAGGACTACGAGCGTGAAAAAAAAAAAATTAATAGCATAATAATCCGAGAGACGAAAGGGCTGGCTTTTTTCGTCCAAAAATCAATAATATAACAACGACCGATCGGCTTCGCGCGGCTCTTCTCTCCATTATTGATAATCGAATAATGTATTTATGTCCCTACGTAGGCATTTATATAGACACACACACATACGTATTGATATAAAAAATTGAGGCAAACCTCATGAATTTATTTACGTGTAGGATATATACAAAAGGTGATTGTGTGTATGTGTGTGTGTGTGTGGATCATGTCTCTGTAAAAATTGCAGTTGCACTCTTGTCAGACAAGTGCATTCGTTGCAGAGTGTGTCGTTTCTTCTGAGGATTATTGAGCCAATGAACTTGATTCTAATTCTCTCTTAGCGCCTCGATATCTGTGATTTATCAATGAACTTTTCAGCTCATATATCTAATCCAAAGTGCTATCAAATTGTTCCCTGGTGATTATAAGTGTCGTGTAGATTTTCCCTCAAAATAGAACTACCGTTCTTCAAATTGCCTTACAAAAGGACTCATTATTGTGTATTTTGTTTCTGTAGTTTTAAAAGCAGAACTACGTTTAGTATTCAAAAAGTGATGATCTGCTTTATGGTGTCAGATATAAACTTAACTTGGCATATCAATGCCAATTGATATTTGTTTATATCAATTCTGTTGTTATAAATATCTTGTTAACGCATTGAATAAGTGATATGGAAATTGATCAACTTTTATTAATTGCTATGAAAAACTTTAACAGCAATTATACTATCATGCATAATGATTATTATTTCTGGAGGTCTGGTTCAACATATTACAAATTGTCTCAAAAATTACTGATTGTGTTAACGTAGCTTCAAATTTCATTGTTTTCTCACTTTTAAAGCATGGTGGTCAAACAAATTGAAACTTCTGAATTGGAAGCAGTTGAAACTTGGATTATTTTTATGTCGCAGACCTGTTCTTGTGTGGTCTTTGACAATTTAGAGTAAATAGTTACTTCTGTAGCCACCATGCACTTATTAATATATTTCAATAGCCAAGGCTACAATATTTTAATCAAACTTAATACTAAATTTTATCTAAATTATTATTTACATTTCAGGCACAGTGGTTTACCTATTAACCATCAGTTGATCGGTGTTTCGGAGGACACATTACCTGGATGATTGTTCTTGAATCTCAAATTTACAAGTATTAAACCTCTTCAAAATGGACAGTAATGAAAAAAACGACAAAGCAAAGAAGCACGACAAATCAGAAAAACGTGAAAAGCCAGAAAGAAAGGTAAAAGAAGAAGTGGTGGAAAAAAATTCGAAAAACAAACACGATGAGGACAAGGAAAAGAATGATAAAAACACTGATGATAATGCAAATCTCAGTAGCGGAGAAAACGACGCTGGAGACGAATTAAAAATCGGCGCTGACGAAACTTACGACACGAGAAGCGAGGTATCGTCGAGCAGTTCGGAATCCGAATCCGAAGAAGAATCGGAGGAAGACGACGACGACTCGAGCACAAAATCACAAGACTCGGACTCGTCGAAATCGTCGAAAGAAGCTACAAAAAGAAATAACAGCCGGAGTGCGGTCAAGCGTAGATTGTCCAGAGATTCGTCTTCCAGTCCAGAGCCTAACAAGAGAGCTAGATCGAAAGAAAGCTCCAAGTCCAAGAGTAAAAGTAATTCTTCCAGTAAAACATATGATTATACAACCAAGTTAAATTACTTGTTCAGAGATGCTAGGTAATTCATTGTAGTTGAAATAAAACTATAGAGTTTTTAACTAGCTTGACTATAATTATTTACTGTTGCAGGTTTTTCATAATAAAATCAAATAATGCAGAAAACGTTACCCTGTCAAAAGCTAAAGGAGTCTGGAGTACTCTTCCTCAAAATGAAGCCAATTTGAATTCTGCGTACAAAGAGTGCAGAAACGTTTTACTTATATTTTCCGTCAAAGAATCAGGAAAATTCGCTGGATTCGCGAGACTCAGCACAGAATCGAGAAGAGATGGTACTCCGGTGTCTTGGGTAAGATTTTATTTGACATTATAAAATAGTTTTTAGAACCTTTGTACTATGAATTTTTCAATTATCAGGTGCTACCACCCGGATTGTCAGCCAAGGCATTGGGCGGTGTATTCAAAGTCGACTGGATCTGTCGAAAAGAGCTGCCTTTCACATCGACGCTACACTTGTACAATCCCTGGAACGACGGCAAGCAGGTGAAAATCGGTCGAGACGGTCAAGAAATCGAGCCGAGAGTGGCCGAGGAACTGTGCAGACTATTTCCCGAAGACGACGGTACTTGAACTACTCATTTATAAAGTAAAATTAATGTAAACAAACGGTTCAATGACCTCACGATTTATGCATTCAACAGGAATCGAGATGACGCCGATACTGCGTAAATCGAAAGAAGCCGCCAAACACGTTGTAAAATCGACATCGAACAGACACCGCGATCGCACCGTGATCACGCCCCGATTCATACGCACTCGTGGACGAGGCAGGAGACTGTTCCTGACGTCGAGATCTCGACTGGCTTCGCTGGCTCGTGGCGATCATCTGGGCAACGATCATCGCAATCATCGGGATGCCCACCGATATCCGGGCTGGTTCAACCGAGCGGGTTACGCCAAGTCAGTATACAACCCCATTGACGAACAAAATTTTTTTCTTTCTGCGGTAAATCGTTGTTACACGTTTTTTTCTTTCTCGACAACCCCGCCCAGGGGATACAGCGGAGCGGCGGCGCAAGCAGCAGCCGAGGCCTACGTAGCCGACTACATGCGCAGCATGCACCAGCTGCCTCGACTCCCGTACCCGATCTCGTACGACACCCTGGCAGCGGCGCCTCCGCCGCCTCCGCGCTACTACGAGGGCCTACCGCTGCCGCCGGATTACGGCGCGGCGGCGGCCGCCGCCGTGGCGAAGAACTTCGAGAAGCGCAGCTACGAGAGGAGCGTCGACGAGTTTTTGTGGCGCACGAGTCGGAGCGGCAGCAGCAGCAGCAGGCACGAGCACAGCAGCAGGTCGTCGCGCGACCATCATCACCATCATCGTCATCGCGATCGCAAATGAACGGAGACGAGACAAACAACAGCAACAACAAAAAACTACGACCTTTTTTTACGACGAAAATTCACGAATACTGTATAATCTTTTTTCTCACTGATGCGTGTGTGTGTGCGCGTGTGTATGTAACGATGGCGTGCGTCTTCCGTTGCGAATGACATTCGTTTTCCTTAACTTTTTTTTTTACTTTAAGTAAATGAGAGTAAAGTAGCGTTGAAGCTGTTTATTTTACCTGCGGTGTAAAAAAATTAATGTACGCGTGTGTGTGTATGTGATTATCAAGTAACTTTTATAAGATTTTGTAACGCCTCTTTCGAGGTGATTAGTACGCAAAATGATATATCATTTCGGTTGTTAGTTTTGCATATGATTCAATGTGAATGAGAAAGTAAATCATGTATCGATCTCATACAAATTAATTCGTAACTTTGTACAAAATGTAACCTGAACTTGAAGCGAACGATTTAATCTTTTTAATGAAGCTAAAGTATATCTTTTTTGTTCCATAATTTTCGCGAAGCGCTGATAGCCATGGACTATAACGTAACATTTTTTGTTTAACTTATGGAATTAAGTCGTTGTATGATAAAGCACTCGAAGGATTGCCTTAGACTTTGCCATTTCTCTTTTTACAAGGTAAATTATTATGGTAGAGCGATGCGTATATAAGCCGATGAATAAAAAGAGAAATAACAAATGCCAATAATCGTGTACAAGAGATGTTTCACGATTTCTCGTGATTGAAATAAAGTTACATTATAAATGTACAACTTAAGGATAAAAATGATCGATGATAATGTATGCGGTCTTGGCCTTTTACTACAAAAGACATTCTAAATTCAAGGATGAAAGTGTGAATGGTGGATTTTTCACTGTAAATTGCGACAAAGAATATTTCAGCACAATCGTTTATGATTAAATGTGTAAAACGAAATTTGTTCCTCAAAGCAGAAGATCTTTGTATAGATTGTGTAATTCACTATACATAAATACTTATTTTTTTGTAAATCAAACGTAGACTTCTCACTAGATTACGATAAAGTAAAATAATAAAAAAAAAATTAGTTAATATTCGTTTGGAATTAATTCATTCATGCATGCATTCTTCACCGAATATCCATGCATAATAAATTATTCCACAACCGACGATACTTTCTTTTCTCGAAAGAAATTCGTAAATGCACGATCACAAGCGAGAAAAGCATTAACTACTTTTTTTTCGATACCAGCAAAAGATGATGAAAAAATTCGATGATCTACAATTTGTATACGATTATATTTTTTATAATTTAAAAAAGAAAATGAAAACGCAAACAAAAGTATCATATATTGCGTTACGATAACAGTATTTGTGACTAATTATTCCTAGACGAAAAAAGAAAAATGACCGCCTGTAAACTCCCGTTTTATTTTGGTTTCCTCTCCAAGCGGGAAGCTCTTTTCTTTTATTTAGCGATCTCCATGAAAAACTATTTAATTTTGTGGCATAGACGATTATAAACCGATATAGATTGAGAAAAATAATAAAAATCACGGCTGACAGACGATTGAAGCCTCTATATAAACCGAATCTCGCCGCTGCGGTTCCTTCTTTTTCTCCCCCTTTCAAAAAATTACTCTCCATGTATAATAATATATAATAATGTGCCAGGGAAATTCGAGCGAGATAAGAATTTATCAGTTTCATCCCAGTACGCCTACTACTGCTACTATATACACGAGATGTGTATATATAGTGTCGGCATGTGTGCGCCGAGATCTCGAGACACAGGAAGTTGCGCGCCGCGCTCGCAGATGCGAGGGAATTCATATGTATACACAGGCACATTTTCAGTTTCGAATCGTCCACCGTCGAGGTGGTTTGCAACGCGAGTTCCACACCATGACACGCAGAGATTTTTTCCTCAGATTCGCCCTGATCCTGCTGCTCTTCCTCTGCGGAATCGTCTACAACAATCTGATCGGCAACGCTCGTCGACCGTCGACCGTGAAATACGCGCCAAAGTATCGCGGCAACTTCGTCCTCGGTGATTTCGCATCGAAAAAACGATGGCAGGTCGACGCGAAGATACTCAAAGACAACAGAGCGATGCTCGATCGGATAGCGCAAACCTGTCGGGAAAACAATCTGACCGAGACAACGACGACGATCGCGACGAGGAGACACTTCCTCTACAGCTCGGCTAATCGAGCCCTCTGCTGCTGGATAAGAAAGGCCGGCTCGACGAGCTTCACCAAGCTCTTCTCCGAGCTGAACAATCGCTGGATCACGGGCGACAATTATTACCGCGAGCTGAATCACATAACGCCGCGCAGCGACTCGCAGCTGGTCGATCTGCTCGGCAGCCGTGGGACCTTTAAATTGCTCGTCGTCAGGCATCCCTTCGAGCGTCTGGTCTCGGCCTACAGGTAAGCTGTATGTAACTTTTGACCCTAAAAGTCGGGCCCGGTAACACGAAGATTTAGATCTTTCCTTTGCTCGAAAGAGACCGAATCGAGGATAACACGAGATACACGGCGCAGGCGTGGATCTACGTGCCGAAGATATTCCACTTGACGAGGCCGGAAATATTCGAGTCTCCAGGGACCGTCGATCTGTCGCTGAGCAGGATGTTTCACGACGACAGAAGGTATATGATTCATAAGATCTCTTGTACGAAGCATCGAGTTACAAATATTTGTTATATTCGACAGACTCAAACTCGTACCGACGTTCGGTGAATTCGTCGACTGGCTGCTGCAGCAAGACCCCGCCAAGGACGACCATCACTGGAACCAGTATCACAGGCACTGCTCGCTGTGCTCGGTGCGCTACGATTACGTGCTCAAGCTCGACAATCAGACCCGCGAGGCTCTGGACTACGTCTATCGTCGTATGAACGTCCGCGACGTGGCCGGGGTCAGACTCGGCCGGCTCGAGAGCACGAGAAGCGGCCCCACCGACTTCGAGCGCACCTGCGCCTACTTCAAGAATCTGACGCATCGGGCGGTCGTCAGCCTGTACGACAGGTATCGCGTGGACTTCGACATGTTTGATTACGACTTCGATCGGTACTTCGAGTGCACCGAGGGCGATTGACAGACAGACACACACACACACACACACACATGAATGAGTAGTTGACGCAGTTGCGGAGTTTTTGTGTACAATGTCGAATGATTTATTCGAAGAAAGAAAAATATATGTCATCTTATAACGTTTGATACAAAGGTACACTTGCTTGTAAATATAGGAAAAGAGTTGAACGCGCGTTACACGTTCATTTTGCTATTAAATAAGAAGTTTTTCAATATGAAAACATTTGTTTACAAAAAATTATTTTCGTAGTGAAAAATGACCTATGGAAGTTGACAAAAGAAAATGAAATATTAAATATTAATAGTAATAGTACAAAGTATACTAGCTAACTTATTGTATAAATTTACAGAAAATAAGTTTCCTCCCCTCTGCTCTTTCTTTGCTATAAATCTAGTTATTGATGACCTCGCCGATCATGTTGACGTCGTCGCTGTCGTCGTCGTCGTCTTCCACGATGAAACAGTCGTCGTCGTCGTCCTCCGTTGGCCTGTGCTTGGAGGTCGACGCGACTGGTTCACCACTAGCCGAGGAGGGCTGCTCTTCGTCGTCGTCCATAATTATGCAGCAGTCGTCGTCGCTGTCAGCGGACATCGGCGAGTTGCTATCGATTTGGAGCCTCTTGGTGGGTGTATCTATAGTCGAATCCTCGATTTTCAGCTTTTTGGTCGGGGTATCATCTACAGTTGAATCCTCGATTTTGCGTTTCTTCGCCGAGCCCGGTCCTGACGGCTCCGGAGATTCGGACGAGACTGATTTGAGATGGGACTGTAAAAAAGATGGTAAAAATATTTATATTAATGAGGTAATTAAATAGGAATTGCGCAAATCGAATTAATGCGATAGTTACATTGCCATTTGACGTCGAAGGCGTTTCTTCGGCTTTCTTCTCTTTATCGGCTCTTTCTTCGTTTGTCATCAAATCTTGCGGCGTAAAATCTTTAGCTGCGTGCTCTATTATCCAATCTGGCAGTTTCATGTGCGCGGGCGGCTTTTCTCTGTGCACTATCGTTGCTTTCAACGAGTAATTCTGTTGGAAATCGTCGATCGCCAGTATTGTTCCATCTACGATGCCAACTTCTTCCAATGTCTTCTTGTTGTTTTCTTCGGTCTCGCCGGGTTCGCTGCTAATGACAACAATTCCTTTTCCATCAATTATTACGTCTGGCTCGATCATGTTCAAGCCTTTTTGTAATACGTATTCTTGAAATTCTAGAACTGACATTGTCTTTGTGTCGACCGCCATGGCACAACAGTTCGTAGGGGCGCACACGTAACAGTTTGGATTCGGTGGATTCAGACGTTTTTCTGGGACAATGAGCTGATTGCGATGGTTCATTTTGGGTCGCAGGTATACAGATTTGCATTCATCAAATTTAGATTGAAGAACGCGGAAAGCGTAAAGGACAACAATACCGGCAATGATGGCATTTGTTGTGGCTATAGCTGGGATAATGTTACCGGCCATTGCTGGAAATATTGAGTTAAATTAGTAAAACATACTATTGATCACAAGGAATTCAATATGGTTACTTAATATTACTTACATTTGATATCAAATCTCGTTTTCTGCGCAATGCCAAAAATGTAAGCTCTGATATTAGCACAAGCTGCCACAAAGTCCATTGCCGCTTCATCATCCTTATCCCATACAAGATGGTCATCTGCTGCTTTTTTCCTGCATTCTTCAAAGGCCTTGCTCAATTTACCTATAGAATCTGCAAACACTTCTCCACATTTGGCTATACTCCAGTGCTTCTGATCTTTAAGACCAGCTTGATTTTCTTCCTTGTTGAGTTCAGTTAAAAGTTCAGGTAATGTACTCCATTCTAGTGGTACTGGAGGTTTGCGTTTTTTCCACAAATTATCCATACTCAACAGATATTTTATATCATCATGGAAAAGTTTGTTGAATATTTTTTCTGGATTATAGTTAGTAGATTGTGCCCATGTTCTAGTAGATACTCTGTCAACATTGCCTTGTTCATTAGCTTCTTTTTGTAGAGCTTCTTCTCCAGCTGTATCACCAGCAGCTTCTGGATCAGCAGTATCAGGTGACACATCTTGATCAGGATCTTCTTCCCCAAAAAGTTGACTGTAAACATAATTTCAATTATTTATAATGCATCCAATTTACTCATGATGTAAAACAAAAAAGAAACACTTACTTGAACAAATGTTTTGCCCAAACAATGCAATGAATTGGTTCACTTGGTGTATTTCTAATGGTACAACCAGGAAACGTTTTCTGAGGTGCCTTGGGCATACACTCATAACACTGGGTCAAACCTTTTCTAATCAGCTCAACTTGTCCGTCGTAACCCGCTGTTCCTGATTCAAGCAGCGGTACATCTGCAGCGAGACACATGCGATTTACATGATTTCTAGCAGCTCTGTTGTCTAATGCATTCATAACAAGGTTGAATTTCTTGAAGTAGTTAACGCTATATTCTTGACTGTAAAGTAAGCGATACAAATATATTGTTAATAAAATTTCTCTCCGATACATCATCGTCAACAGAATAAAAACAATAACTCACTTCATCACGCTAGCGTGGTGAGCAATGATGTTGACCTTAGTATTGTACTGCATAGCCGACTCTCTCGCAACTATGGCTTTGGACTTGCCAACATGTTCTTTTTGAAACAAAAACTGTCTATTCAAGTTACTCACATCAATGGTATCCAAATCAATCTGGAAAAAGCACCCAAATTTCACTCTCAATCGTACTTCCCATTGTTTTTCGCGTTCGTAAACGATCAATCAAGAGACGTCTGTGTTGTGGTTAACCAAACAACCAAGTCTCGTATCTACTACTACTACAACTACTTACGATTTCGATGTCAAGAAAGCCGGACAGCACGAGATTCTTCAAGATCTCGCAGCCGATGCCACCGGCCCCGACGACGAGTACCTTGCTGTCGAGGATGGACTGCCTCAGGGGCTCTTGTAAAACACCCTCGATCGCTGCCATTTTTGCGCCTTAAATAATATTTACTTGTAAAAGTACAACAACAACGTGTACTTCGAGGAAAAGAGAGAGAGACTATGTGTGTATTAACCACACACGATTGCGTGCGATTCGCCGAGTGCCGCTATGTGCCGCGCCGCGCGAGCAATGGATTTGCGCCTATTATTGTTATGATTATTATGGAACGTGTTGCAGCGCGGCGCCGATGCGTGGTGGATATTGCCGGTAATCAAGCTGAAATCAGAGTCTCTGGCGTATATAACTGATGTTGACAATGGGGGCGAACTTAACCTCATAAAGACTGAATTTACGTTGGTACTATGTGCGCTGCAAAAAATTAAAGAATTCAATTGATTCGTGAATTAACTTAAAATTTTGATGGATAAATGATACGTCACGATGTCTCCTTACGTAAACAATAACAAACACTTCTGAAGCATCGAAAATTTATTTTTATTTACCGTTGACTAGTTTGAAAAAGACGATTTCGAATTTACACCGCCTTTGTAACGAGATCACAAAGTACCCTAGGATCTGGTGAGAAAAATCATCGTAAAAAGAGAACCAGAAATTCAATTGTGAAACTCGTGCGGTGTGCTCTGCTACTACTGTCCTCCGTACTCGTGGTGTTTTGTGTATTGTTTTCGTATGTAACGACAAGTAATGATTCGTGTCATTACAACGCGGTTGTTCGAGCGAAAATTCCGAAATCGTCAACAATGAGTACTTGACACCGTAAGTGCATTAAAAAAAACAAAGGAGTATTTCCTGACTGTATACAATTAAGATAATAAAAAAATTCTACACGTTAAGGCCAGTGTTAGGTTATGTGCCAGTTAATAATTTATTATTAATTTATACGGGATGGATTTAAACGACGACACTTCGATGGAAGACTTCGACGACGACTTTCAAATGGCACAGATTAAAATGGAGCCCGTTGTCATGGGCTTCCGAGAGGATTTCATGACTGAAATGTCGACCAGTCCCAACGATAATTCATACAAAAAGAGCGACGATTCGTCCTACCATGAAATCGACGAGGACCAGATATTTATGCAGCACATGGATATAACGGAGACAATGGCTAATTTGAAAATTTTACTGGAAAAGAAACTAGAAATATCATTGGCCGATTACGCTTGTTATCTGCAAGGTACTATCCTGATAGAGGATGATAAAACTCTGGTGGATCAGTGTGTTCAAGGCTCGGGCATTGTCCAAGTGAATCTCCAAATTAAAATAAGCCAAAAACAAATTTATATAGTCGATGTACTTAAGCCAGCGAACGATTATGTTAATAATCCAGAAAGAAATGGTAACAGTCAATCGGACGAATCGAGCGCAGAACCAACACCAATCCCAGATGATCAGAATGTCATCCGGTGGATGGTGGATGCTCAGTACAAAAAAGAACAAGATAGACTAAAAATTCCATGTGATCCTGAAAAATGGAGCATAGCTCATGTGAAACATTGGATACAGTGGGCTGTTAGGCATTTTAAACTAATTTCAGTGAAATTAGCCGATTGGAATATTGCAGGAGAAGAACTTTGTAAATTAGATATAAAACAGTTTCAAAGAAAAGTTCCTCATGATCCTGGTGATGTATTTTGGACTCATTTTGAATTATTAAGAAAATGCAAATTTGTTGCAGTTGTACAAAAACCACAAATAGAAAGTAGTAGCGATTCTGCTTCTCCGTCACCTAAAAGCCCTGTAAAAAACAAAGTTGAAAAGAGTAGCAAACCAAAACCTGTGGCTGTGTCAAACAATCAAGAAGCATATAATTACCAATCTTTTGAAACTAAAGAAACTTCGCCACAACCAAATATGACTGTCAATAGATCAGCAACCAGTGGACAAATTCAGTTATGGCAATTTTTGCTCGAGCTATTGACAGATCATGCGTATCTAGGTATAATTCATTGGATTGGGGAAGAAGGTGAATTTAAATTGAATGTCCCAGAAGAAGTAGCAAGACTTTGGGGCACAAGAAAAAATAAACCATCAATGAATTATGAAAAATTAAGCAGAGCGTTGAGGTACTACTATGACGGTGACATGATTTCCAAGGTTCCAGGTAAACGGTTTGTTTACAAATTTGTGTGTGATTTAAAACAATTAATAGGTTATTCTGCATCAGAACTAAAAAAATTAGTTCTTGAAACTCAAGAAGTTACCTGTGGTTCAAGGGAGTGAGTGCTATTAAAAGTAATTCTTGGTAAACAAGATTATTCTAAGATTGTACATTTTTGTAATATTTATAATAATAGTAGCTCTGTATATAGTTTTTTAATAAATTGTGTATTTCTCTAAATTTATATATTATTAATACATTTTGAATGTTTTTCTATCATGCTAATTCAGAAGTGTAAAAATTATATTCACAATATTTTTATAACATGTTTAGAATTACGAATATAAAAAACAAAACAAAATAAGATTGTTACACTGTTAATACTATTAAATAAATTATAAACAAAGGTGTTTAATACAGATTAATGACATTTGAAATATCATGAGTTTTCAAACTATAATTTATAATGAGTACATACAATCCTCCTCAAAAAATATCATACTTTGGATTTAAGTTTTTAGAGACAGTGGTAAGTATAAGTTGTGTAAATGTAGTGATACAGTCTTCTATAGTTCCTCATTCGCATCAGAGGGATTGTGAGAAAGAGAGAGAGAGAGATCATGTCATACTTTAATCGCTATCGGAATCATCGTCTTCTTTGCTTTTGATGATTGCTGGAACGCATCGTTTGTCATTGAGTAGGCCGTGCTCGATCAGGAATGATTCTACGTCGGATGAGTAAAAGTCATCGCCTAGACTAGCGGATAATTGAACAAAGTTGCCGATGATCTGGCCGTTTTTGTAGACTAATAAGGCAGGAACACCTTCCTTCTTGAAGTGTTTACTGACACCAACCTTGGACGCTGAGAAGGTAAAAAAAAAGCACTGTCAGTCAATATATCCCAATAAAAAAGCTCACAATAACGTACCAATTATCTTGCAGAACTTGACAGCCGGATACTCCTCGGCGAGGGTGATGAGGCAGCCGTTCATGGCGTCGCAGGCCGGCACGTCCTTCTGGTAGATGTGCACGATCACCGTCACGGTCTTGTCCTCGTTGTCGATGGCGTTGAGAAAGTCCTCGCTGCCTGCCAACTCGAACAGCTGGCCGAAGTGCAGCTTCTCGGCCTTGGCCATCATCTCCATCATGCGCTGCTTCTGATAGTCGAGGAGGAACTGGTCGGCCATGAGCTCGGCGAGGTCCGGATCCGTCTCCAGCATCTTTGCCCGCTCCTCGTCGAGCTGGCTCTGGCAGGTGAAGCTGAGCTTCTTCATCAGCTCGACGCGCTCCTTCTCCTGTTCCGCGCGCTTCTCCGTCTCGATCTGCTTGAATCGCTGCCAATCCTGTGTCGCAACAACAACAATTGTTTACAAAAGCTCTGCTACGGAGGAAAGCTCTAAAAAAACAAAAACTCACTCTGATGACACCCTTGGGTCCTGTGTTGCTCGACGTGCCGTCCCACTCCGAAAACTCGGTGGAGGTCTGCTCGGGCTGGGCCGACGCCGCCCCGGCTGCCGCGTCCTCCTCCTTGTCGGAATTCGACTCATCCTCGTCCTCCGACGAACTGCTGCAGTAGTACTGCGACTTCTCGCCCAAAATCTTGTCCTCGAGCGTAGCCATGACTGTCTCTGTGTGTGATCTCTTCTTCTTCGATTAAAGCTCAATTATTATTATCTATTATATTCCGTGAGCCGGCACACAGCTCACCACCGCTCGTTCTCGCCTATACTATAACAAAACACACGAAAAAAAAGCCTTGAGAAAACCTGAGCTTGCAAAAAAAAGCTTATAATATGAAAATGGATCGATGTCAGTATGAGGGGTAGGATATATACGAGTTAGGATCAATGACAGCTACCTCTATAAATGCGTAGAATTCGGAGTCCGACGAAAAGAAAAGATATCGTTTTCTCGAAATCCACTAGTCACACACGTTCGAGTCGAAGGATATGAATAATGAATGTCGTGAGAGAGACGACGCGCGCGAGGCGTCGAATGCACATGCACATACATACGCGATATAAACACAGTGCACAGTGCACAGCGTATTATAAGAAGCATATAGATCGATAGCCAAGGTTATGATGAATCGCGTGTAGTGCTGGTGTTGTTATATATGAAAATAATATAATGTGTCACTGGCCAGCACGAGTCTCGCGGGTGCATCTAACTCGCATGCTCCTCTTTATTTACCTTCTAAAAATAAAAACAGGACGTGGATCGCGCGCACGAGTTTTTTGTTTCTGCTGAGATCGATGTTTTGGTATATATAATAATACAAGATTACTCACTCACCTCGTATTATGCCGCGTATTATCGTATAGTAAGGCGATGATGATGATGATGACTGCCTCGACTCTACTCCGCTCCGCGGGTGTAAGTATATTACCGTAAAAAATACGTAAACGCGCGGGTCAGATCACCACGCATGCAACAACGACGCGAGCAGCAGCAACGTGTGTTTATCAATATTATATTCGCGGCGTGGGCAGCAGCCATATACTACTATATATGTATGAGCATTATTTGGGTGAGCCTAAAATAAAAGCTGGAGAATCTGTTTTATCGACTTTACTTTACACACGCTGCGATATATAACGTATATGAATGACTGAGCCTCGAGGCACGCCCTTACTTACTATACATTACGTCGTTTGAGCTCGTCGTCGTCCGATGGCGCGCGAATCTCGCGCCAATTTTCCCGCGGAAAAATTTCAAACGGCGGCATGTAACACGCGATGCAAAGAGAGAGAGGATGAAAAAATCAGTACACTCGGCGCCAACCGAGTGTCATCGTCGTCGTCGTCGTCGTCGTCGTCGTCGTCGTCGCAAATAAGCGCATAAATCAGCAAAAACAGAGTCGCTGGAGAGATAAGACGACGCGCGAGATGTGCAGCAGCAGCAGCAGCAGCAGAGCAAGAGAGAGCCCCCCTATGCAGTATTAATTATTGTGTTGCGCATGCATATATCCCACATTGGCCGCGCGATATATTATTATAAATTATTAATCGACGATGGCCTTTTGCGCGTTTCATTATTATTTCCACAATTTCCTGCGTCGATAATGAAAGCCAATTGAATCGAATCCCCCCGTGCGCTTAATAGAATTATATTAAATTCCATTATAATTTTTCCCTCTTCGTCTTCTCCTTCTTCTCTCGCTTTCTTGGCATTTGGTTCGATCATTGCCGGACATGATCCTCGCGCGTCGCGTATAATATTGTTTTTGATCGATGATACAGTATCAATCACGTATATACCACAACGTGGAAGCAGAGATTCGAGAAAGTTTTACTCGCCGATGCGCTTAATACCCTCTCGAACGAGGAGGATGAGGGAAAATCTCTCTCTCATTGAGCTTGATCGATCGGATACTTTTTTTTTTCGCGCGTCCTGTGCATGGATGCGCAGGCCTATTTAAATGTATGTCGCAACTCATTTGCGACACGAATCACGACGATGTAGGAGAAAAATCACGGCCTCGGGGACTATCGGGAACGTCCAATAAAAGTTGATTCATTATTTCAATAATGTGTGCCTATTATATTCATAAAGATTTTTCGCCTTCGAAGTCGAACTCCGGAGCTGCTGCTGCTGCTGCTGTCGCAATTGTTTATATTCTCATAATCGAAAGTTCTCTTTTTGTTTTTGCGCGCGCGTGTGTGTACGAGTGTGTGTGTGTACAGCAACGTGATCTCGCTTGGGTCAAACGCGTCGCGATTGATAAAAATAAAAAAGTAAATAAAAAAATAAAATAAAAGCTCTCATCTTACGCGCGGGGGGGAAGTATATAGCCAACAACAGCGGCAACGAAACAGAAAAAAAAAATTTCGATAAAATTTTCCATTGTAAAGATACAACGAGTACGCGCACGCTATCCGGAATAAGTTTTTCCCGACGCTGATGAAAGATTTTTAAGCAGTTGCCACAGCGGCGGCGGCGGCGGCAGCGAGAAATTATGAATTTTTACTATTAGTTTTAAGAACCGTAACCGAACGAAACTTCGAGATGGATATTCCGAGGCCGATAAAGCGTAGTACTGTGAATTCTCGGTGCTGCGCACGGATAGCTCGTTTAGCATTTCTTCGGTTATTTTTCGCGCTCTTTGTCTCTCTCTTCTCTTCTCTTATATTTCTTTCATTATATATACATAAACCTTCGTTGTGCCCACCCACACACCTTCCTTCCTCCTTGCCGATGAAGTGCACCATAATAAATATTCATAAAATGAAGGAGAGAGAGAGAGAGAGAGAGGATATTCATTAATTGTCGTATAGCACAGGCCATAACGAAACCGATAATTCGGAAAAGCGAAATTCTAATTAAGAATTTCGCCGCTGTTATAACCGTGTATAATAGCTCCGCGTATATAGCTCTCTTTCTCCGCGCGGGATGAAAGTCGGGCCAGGATTGTTCCCTCGGTTATATATATATGCAAAAGGTAACCGATGTATAATATTTGAATTTCATACTAGTAGTGCGGCAATGATTAATCGATGGCCCCGCAGCAAAAATCAAACCTCGAACGAGTCGACGTAAAAAATGTAATTCTCGTGTATTCGAATTTAAAAGACGAAATCGAGAAATTAAAAAACAACAAAAAAAAAGAGGCTCGACCTCGTCGATTGCGACACACGCACACACTATATATTTCCGAAAAATCAAATCATTATTATAGTGCGCGATATCGAGAGAGAGAGTAAAACACAATAACAAGAGCGATAAAACAGCCTCGCATTTCGTCAGACTCACTACGAACACACACACACACACAAACACGAGCTAGGCCGCGGGGCGAGTTTTATATACATATATATCGGTAATAATAAAGTGTCACACCTCCCAAGTGGCCGCTTATCGCGCTTTATAACCGGCCGCGCGCGTTACAATAATAATGGAATCTATGGATGATGTTTAATCGACGAAAAATCGCGCGGATTCATTCGTATATATATCGAGGTGCGCAACTATAACATCGACGACGACGCATTCGCTGCGTTATTATCGAACGTAATGCAATTATTGAATGTACGTGAATTAATAATGGAATTATTGTATTACATGTATTTACCGGGGACAAACAAGAGATGCGCTAAGCGAGAGTATAATCGCGAATCGAAAAAAACTTTCCAATCGATCTGTCGGTGCGCAGCACACGACTTTGTCGCAATAATCGAAACGAATTGCGCACGTGAATCCGCATACGGAGATCTCGAACTCGTGTATCTTATATGTTTGCTCTTCTTCTTCTACTACTACGTTTCTTTCTTTTTTTTTTTTTATTTATCTCTTTTCTTTCTGCGCTCACGCATATTAGCTTGGTTTGTTGACCCTGCATTATGTGCCGGTCGAGAGGCGCAATATCTCTTCGATATACATACAATATTGAATTCCACACCGGCGTTTAATGTAATGTTAATCGTCGTCGACGCGCGTGTGTGATGTATGCATTCCTGTGCGGCTTTAACATCGCAAAATAATGATGATCGCGATGATGATCGGTAAAAAAAAAAGTAGGAGGAAGAGGAGGAAGATGATCGGATAATTTTTTTACACGAAAAATAATTTGTAAACATAAACACGTGCAACCGGCAGCAGGCGCCAATTGAGAGACAGTGATCGGTATCGAAAGCTGCGCTTTCTGCGAGATCGAAGTAATAAATTTAGCCAGAAATTTCCGTGCCTCGCGTTACTCGAAGCTTTCCTCCGTTTTATAATTATGATAAAAAAAATAAAGATTATACGTAATAATAATACAGCAATTATTTGTTCTAAATCATTCGGCGCGAGCGAGCAGAAAAATCGGCCCGATTCGATTCGTTTTTATATATTTGACTGCCAATATTAACGCATAAACACACATTTATAATTCGCCTGTCCATCCATCTGTGTGTGTATGTGTCGCTCCAATTACGTCATTGAGACTCGCGCGAGCGAAGGAAGATTATCGGCTGAATTTGCAAATATTTTACTTTCGACGCGATCATCGCCTCGACTCGCCAGTAAACTTGTTATTACGTTTTATTATACATGTCGTATATACTTATATATACAACGCATAATATAAGCCACACGTTGGTGTGTGTGTTTATGCCACTGTATATTTATCAAATCAAAGTCACTCGCCAAGAAGTTTATAATATTGTCGAAATTATTAATCGGATTGCGTAAAACAGATTTTTACTTCTGCGCGTGACTTATTATTCCTCTTGCCGATCTCGTTTCGTCGGATTATGTTTTTGTACAGTATCTAACGAAAGAAAAAAAAAATCACAATCGAAGATCGTTTGCTTTGTTTCATACACCTGCTGTAACGTTCCACGCGCGGGAGGATAATCATCGAGTCTCTGTACACGGTCACGCGACGATACTTCAAGAGTACAACAAAAATAACGATTTACCGATACCCCGCGATATATTAGCCGTATAGGGGGTCCGAGTCGATGTACACGCACACATGTGCGTAAACGTGCGATATCCGCGTATTACGCACACTTGCATATATTATCATATATACAAATTGCTTATCTTCGATAACGCTTAGGTTGTTAATAATATCTCAATAAAGAAATCGGCGTAACGCAGTTGGTCGTATATATTGTGCGACTCGACTCGAGCACTCGATTCGATCGTTTTCGGATTCATTATAATTTGAAGTTTTTCGAGAGAATAAAGAACAATTAGCACTCGAGTGTATGTATAATTATTATATTGCCTCTCCCTCGGAGATTTTTCTTGTTCTTAATTCTCTTCTTTTTTTTATTATTATTATTTCGCCGTATCGCTCGGCCGAGCAAGCGATCGGCTCTTTTTATCTATCAAAAATAAATATAATAAATATTTATACACGTACGTACTCGTCTGTGTGTATATAGTGAAGGCGCACAAAACGTCAAACGATCTCGCACATATACATATAATATGCATACACACACACACATGTATACGAGCCAATTCCCGATCCCCACTTCTGTCACATCTCGTGAACCAGCACCAATGAGGCGAGCAACGACACATTATATGCTACGTTACGTGTATATATAATATAGACGTGTGTACGTGTATGTGTGTGTGTGTGTGTGTGCAGTCACGGCGAGTAAATATCGCGCCGCGCCGAGGAGGCCTCCTCCGGGGAGCTGCGATCGGTATAAAGACCAGCGGTTCGGCCGGACTCAAACCGATACTCGTGCCGACAGTCGTTCAGTACCCTTCGGGCGGATCGCGTGTCTCGACGCTAAGATAAAAAAGCAAAGCACAACGACGACAAAAAAAAATAATAAAAGCGTGAACCAAGTCGTACTGTATTTATACATAAAAAAAAAAGTTATACTTGCAAGCTCTCTACGAGAAAGAAGAGTTAGAAGAAGGAGTGAACAGATTTTTTTGTGAGGATATTTCGAGGTAAAAAAACAGCAACAACAAACAAGATGCCGATGGTCGACAAGAAAAACGGACACAACAACATCAGCGCCGCCAACAAGAGGCCCAGCGACAACGACTTCTTGCACACGGTGGTGAAACAGCAACAGCAGCAACAGCAGCAGGCCCCCAATGCAGTCCAGTCAAAGTGAGTTTCTTTTCTTGCCTTTCGCCTCTCCTGTTTTTTTGTTGTTTTTTTTTCATCTCGACGAAAGTGGCGCACTCGTATTACTCGGCGATGGGGGTAGTATCGTCACGCGGGGGTGTCGAAATACCACCACCCTCCGTTTGACAAGATTATCCACGACGACGACGACGAAACCCTTATGAGAATCATCGTGTTACGCTCGTTTTACACGATAAATCGATATCGTGTATGAATGTAAAATTTCTATACTCAAAATATATATAAAAAAAAAGAGAAAAAAAATCAGAACAGAAGCCAACACAATTCGATCGTTCTCGATTCAATTTTTGTTTTGCGCGTGCTGCTGCTTTTTTTTTCTTCATCTGCGCCACGCGATAACATGTCAGAAATTAGTGTAGCATATAATATCGATAATATTCGCGCGTTGTGCATAAAGTGGCAATTAAAAAAAAAACGAGAGAGAGAGAGAGAGAGAGAGAAAAAAACACTCGGTGCGTGCGTCAAGGTTTCACTCTTTGCTTCTGTGTGTGCATGCTGCGGCACTGTGAGTGGCGAAAACCTGTAATTTACTTACATAAGATGTGTCGCATAGTATATCGTTTATATAGAAATAGTCGAGAATTTTCATTCACCACCGTGTGCACCGCCGCGACCCGTTAATCGCTCTCTCTCTCTCTACTCCTATATCTCTCCGCGATCTACATACATCTATGTGTGTGTGTTGGTGTATTCTAATGTAGATCGGCGTGTGCATTTTTCGAATCGTACATAACTTAACGGCGTCAGTGACATATTTAACAGCACGTGTAAAATAACATTTATCCGGACTGAGAGCGGCGGGGGAGGGGAGTCAAATTCCTCGTGGCCGTATACATATATAAAAAAAAGTTGTAAACGCGCGCGCGCGGCTCGAAGGATGTGTCACCTATATGTCCGCCTGTGTGTTCGGTTAAAGAACGAGACAACGAAAAAAAAGAGTTGCACCGTTTTGGGCTTATACGTAATGACGCGAATCGAATCGCGTCGATTGTTTGCATTAACGCTTATGCTTTGTTTCCTATGATTATAATAAAAAAATATGAACGAAAACACAATTCAGGAACAACGAGGAGATCATTCGCGCGTGGCCATGAAAAATCGACGACCGTTCGTTGATCTTGAACTTGGTTGTATATAACGCTGACCGATCGCTCGCTCGCGGGTATATATATTACAGCCGCGTGTATCGATACGCGATCCGAGCGATCTTATAATATACGTCAAGTCTGTGTATGTTATAACAAAGCGACTGTCTCGGGCGACACGCAATTGTGTGAAAATTGCATCAGCGTACAACGTCACGTATTATTTCCTCTTTCCTTTTTTTGCATTTTTTTTTTTTTTTTGACGAGATCGCGAACTCGTATTTCGACATTCCTCCGCGGGAGATTTATATATTAAGGATACCATCGCCGATGTTCTCTCTATTTTCGTCTCGATTTTAAATGACTTTATAATCCCGTGCACTGGTCCACCTCGAATCGCTCGGCTATTATTATTACAACCTCTCGCGTATATAGTCGCGAATGTTATTTACAACCGATACACCGGAAACCGGCGATCGGATCTCGCGAAATTAAGAAAGTATCGGGCCAACTCTCGTCTCTCGAGTGTATACACACAGCAGCGGAGACATCGGAATTAAATGCAAAAAGTAGCCTTTATTGGAAGGGCGGCGGTGGTCTGCTCTCGTCTAGTACTCTCAACAGAGCCTCCGCGAAATGAAACTCTTCCTCGTTTAATTTCGATTATATTTTCGCGTGTATATAAAAAAAAAGGGGGAAAAAAACTTTTCAATCGCTCGAATACGCTATCGATCCCGTATGTACGGTCCGTTCGAATAATATAATATCGCTTCTAGCCCCCCCTCCCCCCGATAGTATAGACGAGCGCGTGGACGACGAGATAATGAGATTGCGATTTTTTCGGATTTTTTATTGTGTCGCGCTGGCAAGAATGTGTTGGATATAATATATCGTCCCGCGGCGGATAACAATGAAAATCGCTGCGCAACTACTCGGCGCGCGGTGGCCGATTCGTCACTTATTTTCCAGCGAAAATTAATATCTTAATCATGCGCGAGTAATTTATTATAACAAAACGATCTGTCTCGTGCGTCGATGCTTCCTTCTTTCTTACGCAAATTTGCCCTCTTTTTAACTATACTATAACCGTCGTCTTCGGATATTACTCAAAAGTCAATCGAGCACGAAATTATATCCAATGTCAAAAAAACTCATCGACCCTTCCAGAAAAAAAAATTTTCTTACGAGAAAAGACGTTGGGTCGTCTCGAGCAAAAACCGAGAGCGAGGATCGTCGATGTGCCTCGCAAAAAAAAAAAAAAAAAAATAACAAGAAAAGAAGTAACGAGTAGTAGTCTCCTAGTCGCTTCATCGCGATCGAAGGGCCATTAACTCTAATAAATTAATCCCCGGGTCCTTGCACCCTCTCCTCCCTTCATCCCCCTATACACACTATCAATTTTTTTCCTTCTTCTTGTCTCTCTCTCTCTCTTGGCCCAAGTAATTGCCCGAGGATCCCGCGCGCATCGATTATTCAGATTTCTGCGCGCACAGAAGCTTCTTATACAACATTCTCTCTCTCTCTCTCTCTCTCTCTTTCTCTATCGCGGCGAATATCGTGGAAACGATCGATTACGAAAAAAAGAGCAGAAAAAAAAGAAAGAAAAAAAATCGTGACGCAACGTTGTTAACGTCGAGTTTTAATCACACCGTACACACGTTATATTACGAACGTAAACACACACACTCTCTCTAGTGTATGACCCCCCGCGCGATCGCCAATGGATCAAAGCTCGATCGAGTGCGATCGAACATCATCATTACTACACACATAGACACGTGTTTGTGCTTTAAATTATTGCTCGCAAAATCGCGTTAATAGATGCGTGTATATTACGCGGAGCTATTACAACTTAATTAGCGTAAAGTTAATGGAGGAGCTTTAGGCGTGAATCGAGCGTGCGCGTGTCATTATGCTCAAGGGACTTTGAAATGGAGGCCTAGGCCTTCTTCTCCTTTTTTTTCTTCTTCTTCGATGTAAATGAATAGAGTATGCGAGAGATAAATATATAATGGACGACGCAAATAGAGCAATTAATACCGCGTCGCGCGCGCCACAATCGCGGAAATGCAAAAATAAAAAAAAAAAGTATAGAGCAGGTTTTTACGTTACAAGTCTAGGATGACATTGTGATTTTCGTCTCTGGTTCGATCTAGTTATGTATGTAATTGCATAATGAAAATCGTCAGTTACAATCGATCGAGTATATATTCCCGACGCAAATATTGTCCATGTAATAATCGAGAGGGGGTCATCTGGCGTTCGCGAAGCTTTTGGCGCGCGATATTCGACGCAGTCGAGAAGTCGAGAAACGTAATCGTCATGAAAACATAAGGTTCTTTTTTTTTCTCTCGTCGAGATGTCTGTCTCCCGTAATACGAGACACCGACTCTGACTCCCCACACACACACACACACACACAGCACCGAGCGCAGGAAAGGAATTGAATTTCGCCGATTGTCAATTTTTCGTAACTCATATTTCGACGAAAACATCGCTCGCGAATATGTGTGTGTACGTGTGTGTCTATTAAGCACAAGGCTCGTATGTATAATCTCTGATCGAGGAAAAAGGAAAAAAATATATTAAAAAATATCCACACGGAGCAGCGGAAAAACATGTCAATAATAATCGGTTTCACGCGCGCGCGCGAGCGTCGCCGATCAATCAGTCACATATATATAATATCTCGGTAAGATAAGTAAAATTCCAATCGCTCATTGATACTCGCGCGTATATACGAATGTGTTTGCGTATTATATGCGTTCGCGCATGTAATGTCCAGCGCGATTTGCGCGACCCATGCACATGCGAGGAGATAAAATTACGCGATAACAAAACGTTTTTCAAGACTACTGGGGGTCCGCTCAGAAACTTGCATAAGACGAGCGATAGTTTTCGATCGATCAATAATAACGTATTAATCGATCGATAATTACGATGAATAATTAAAATAATTTTCTTTACTTTTTTGTTGGGCAGCTTCTGCTGGGACGCCCTGCACGAGAGCGCCCAGTACATGCTGGAGCGGACGAGCATCAGGCCGCGGGTGGCCATCATCTGCGGCTCGGGTCTGGGCAGCGTCGCGGAGGCCCTGACCCAGCGCCAGTGCTTCCCCTACGAGGAGATACCGCACTTCCCCACCTCCATGGTCAAGGGCCACGCCAATCAGATGGTGTTCGGCTATCTGCAGGGCATGCCGGTCATGTGCATGCAGGGCAGATACCATCACTACGAGGGATATCCCATCTGGAAGGTGATTATCTTTTATTTGTATCGTGGTTTTATTGGAAAAAATATTTACGAAATTTGATTGTGTATAAAGGCATTGGAACCAGGGCGATTTTAATTATAAATATTTAATATTTTTCAAATCTAATTCAGACCGCATGTTTTACATGAAAGTAGATTCAGAAGTAAAAAAAATAACTTCTTAGAGCCTTACACATTGATTTTCAAGTAGTTATTAGCTATTGTCTACATTTCAGATGTAAAATGTTAACTGAATCGAATCTGTAAATTTAAATTTAATGAATTCTTCGCTAATTCTTGTATCGAATTAATCTAAGAGTGTGAAAGGTCCCACAAAAAGTGAAGGGTATTTCTACGTATTTTGACCCACTGAATCCGAATGTTCAAATTAATTGTTGATACAGCTATAATTCCTAAACTATTTACAGAAACAATTTTTTTTCTTACATTCCACACAAAAAGACAAAAATGTCCTCTTTTTATTCGTCTTGATACGACCAATAGAACCGGAGATATCGTTAAAATAGTAAAAAATGACGATATTGCATAAGATCAATGCGTAGAGCTTGGACTGCCATGTCCATATATCGTTCATCTACCACAATTTTTCACTAATAATATTTCTGGTTTTAATGTTCGTATCAAGACGAATAAAAAAAGGAAATTTTTGTCTTTTCGTGTGCAATATAAAGGAAAAATAATTGTTTTGGTAAATATTCAATAGTTTGGGAATTATAGCAGTGTAATCAATTAATTTATTTATAACAAATTACTCGACCATCTGAGCGAGGTGAGAGTTGAAAATTCGGATTCAGCGGGTTAAAATACGTGGAAATACTCTAAGAGGAGAAAACGATCAACTTAATTTTGTTAAAATCTTATTTTGACGTATACCATTTTTTCGACTTTGTCACTTGTGGATTTGCTGATAAAGGTACTCGCCATCTAGCGGTGGAGAGTGACTTTAAACACAATTGACATTTCATAATTTTTTTTGTTCAATTACAAAAACACGTACATTTTCATTCAAAATGTTGAATTCGTAGTACCGAATTAAATATTTTTTTGTTAACTTTTTCATTACAATTAATAAAAAATATAAATTAACTTGAACTGAAATAAAGAAAAATAAAGTGTTAAATAATCTTAATATCCGATCTAAAATTAATACATTATAAATGTATCGTATCGATAACTAACAATTTACATTTTTTCATTTACAGTGCTCGATGCCCGTGCGAGTGATGAAGCTCGTCGGCGTGACCCACCTCATAGTGACGAACGCCGCGGGCGGCATCAACCCCGACTACAACGTCGGCGACATCATGCTCATCAAGGACCACATCAACTTCATGGGCTTCGCGGGCATCAATCCCCTCCAGGGGCCCAACGACGATCGCTTCGGCGACCGTTTCCCCATGATGCACAAGGCCTACGATCGCGACCTGCTGCGCGTCTGCGACAAGGTCGTCGACGAGATGGGCATGTCGCAGATCGTCCGCAAGGGCGTCTACACCTGCCTCGGTGGGCCGAATTTCGAGACGGTGGCGGAGATGCGAGCCCTCAAGATGTTGGGGGTCGACGCCGTGGGCATGTCCACCGTGTACGAGGTCATCACGGCGGTGCACTGCGGCATCAAGTGTCTCGGCTTCTCGCTCATCACCAATATCGGGGCGACGGATTACGAGGACGAGTCCGAGGCGAGCCACGACGACGTCGTGCAGGTGGCGAATCGCATGAAGGGTACGCTGAAGGAGTTCGTCTCGAGGATCGTCGCCCACGTGAAGGAGGAGCTCGACGGAAAGAGCGACGACGAGGCCAAATAGACGCTTATCTTTTTTAAGGATATTATTATCATTGTTATTATAAATATTGCACACGTCTCATGTATCATATCGAATTTATTTATAATTAATTAACGTATAATCGTATACTCGCTGAAAGTCCAAATAAGCACTCGTTATTATTATCGAGATTTTTCGTATTAGCGCGAACGAGTACGAGTGTCGAATCGATCGATATTATTTTTTTTTTATATCGGCGCGACACGTGAAATTTTCTTCGTCGATTGTATAATTCATAAGCTTCAAATTCGTTTTTTAAGTCATATATATAATACATAAATGACTAGAATGACTCATTGTTATCACGTCTTGTACACACATACAAACACATGCATTCACGGTTAGATGCGTAAATGTCATTATATTTAGTTGCACAGAATAATTACTATTATTTATTATATAAAAGTTGTGTTACTATAGCAAATTTCGATGTACGCTCGAGAGCAAGATTTTATACCTCTGATCGATAAATGTATAATTTTAAGTTTTGGCTCGTAGCTTATAATTTCGTCGCGTTGAGTGTTTTTTTCTATCTACGAAAGAAAAAGAAGGAACAAAAAAAAAATATTCAAATATTTGTTTTGTCTATAATATAAGTAACGATTTGTACAAGCGTCGCGATGAGGTGTTTCGTATAACGTTGTAACGCATGGCGCATATAAGATTATAAATAAACGATTAAAATAATTTCACCATTTTAAACACGTCGCTCGATTTGTCATTTTTAATGGTATTAAACATTTTCTACGCGCAAACACGTTCGAGCAACATTCCGCGAGAGATCGAGAGAGAAAGTTCGAAATCGGATTCTATTTTTTTTTTTAAATTATTGATAAACCGTCCTGCGCCGCCAACGTCCGCCAACGTTCCGAGAGATGTCGTTGGACGTCGGTTATACGAGGCGCCCGTAGTAGTTATAGTAGATACGCACACCGGCGCCTACGGTGCATACTATACCGCATACGCGTATCGTAGTAGTGTGTAGAGAGAGCGCGAGGATCACCTGTCAGTGCTGCGCTGCAGCGCGGCCACTGCCTCCGCCGACTGACTCCGAATACACATGCGAAAATCTTTCGCTCACACACACACACACGCACATATTCCGTATGTACGTGTATTGCGGAACGCGTGCGCGAGTATACATGTATATGTATGCACACCCCCCCCCCCCCCCCCCC